GCAGAAACAAAAGCACCTAAGAAAAGTCTGCGAAAACAATCAGCAGTCAGGTGACAATTTTTTGACGCATTCTGACTGCCGAACCCCGACCTGTAGTTCCCTAGCCAGAGCCTCTGATCCTCTGTCTTTTGTGGATTGCTTCATACAACGAGGACACCGAACAAGTTTGGCAGAAGCGTCGCGCAAGCGGAGAGACATTTCAGGCGGAGAAAGTCTCTCAGAAAAGAAGAATAGCAGAAGGTCGGACAGAGAGGGGCGGGACGTCAGGGATCGCCCGTGTTATTAGGAGACACAAATCTGCCATTTTCGAATCCAGTAAACCACCGTTGATGAGCGGACAGAACAGAATCCGGACGTCAGTATCGAGGATTGAGCTGCATCGGTTGCGCGTTAGCGCGCTGGAGATGAATGCAACGTCAAAGAAGCCATCGCTGAAAGTCCATCCTTGACGCCTTACTGAGTGCACGTCCTACAAGGCTCACAGGCGTCAGGCAGACAAGAAGTAGGACTCGTCTCGGCTGCGGGTGCCGACAATTGCAGGCCAAAACAAGGGGGGATCAGCACAGAGAAGACAAAAGCGCTGTCATGCAAACCAAAAACAAGCATGGCCAGGGCACGACAACCAGGATTATCGCCTATCACAAGCGCCGAGCTAAGGAAACTTGCAGATGTTACGATTCTCCGTCCTTGGTTTTCACCGTATTTTCCAAACAAGATACCCGACAAAAGTGCCTCATCCTCGTTAAGTATGTGAAACTCGCAGCCTCGGCCCTCATCACAGTGCATGACTGAAAATGCTTCTAAGAGTTGACATATTTACAAACTCCTTAGCTCGTACAGCAAGTTTCTCGAAAGTGGCTTCGTACACGGATACACCGGAACAGGGACTGGCGGCAGGCACGCCAACACTCGGGCTCGTCATTGCCAGCACACAATAGCATGATTTGCTTCTGTCAAACGAACCGCAAAGAGTGCTTGGTGCCAAGTTCTGAACCCTGACGAATGTACTTGGTGACATATGCGTTGATAGCAAATTCTCTTTCCGCAACCGTTCTAGTCTGCAACAGTCTTGTCGGATGATATCATGACTCAACAAAGGGATGGAAGCTGGCTATCGATAAGTTTCGCAAGACACCAACGACCCTGCAACAGTCCTGGTAGCGACTTTGCTCCAACATTTTTGATGCATTTTGGATAGACGGTGAGGGCACACAAGTGTCAGCAGCGAAGCAAACAGCAGAGCCAACGATGCGAGAGGATGAGCCAATCCGATGTTTGACAGGCCGAAACGCCTCAGTTTTAGCAAGTATAGTCGTGGTCCGTCCGCTTCAGGGGACAGTGGGTGTTTATGGATTCGACTCAATGAGCCCGCTATGGACACTCAAGAAAACACCTTCGCAGTCTCAATGGACGCGCAGCTGGGGACGAAAGGCATTGGAAAAGGTCCATTGTCTAAATCAAAGTGTGCATTGCTTCATGGCCGTCAGGAACTGTAGGCATTTTGTGGTCCATTCGCGCCAGCAACGATGTCCCATCATAGGCCGAAGAAAGGGAAGCTGAAGTGTCACCCAGAAGATACAGGAACGCCTTGTCCGAAGGCCTGTGCCGTTGAGAAGGATTAGCAGGTGCTTGCGCAGGCGTGGGCAGGACGTCGAGTCCCCACCCGCCCAAGTGACAGAGAAAGGATTGGCGGCCGCAATGAAAAGCGCCAAGGTTCACCGCACAGAAGAGAAGCGAACATCACTACCGTCGCTTGAGCTGCATAGAGTCTGCGCAAGTGAGCCAGACAACAATCTGAACCTGAAAAGGCCGGCGCTTCCGATCCACTCTGACTGCAGCGCATTGTGGCGCGTGTCACAAGACTATAAGCAAGCCAACAAGAACAGGGACTGTCAAGCACAGACAATGAGTGAAGCCCTTTCGGCCGTTGTGGCATCGCGTGTCTTCAGTGGACCGGCTTGTGTCAAGGCAGGCGGGGCGCTAGTTCCCGCCGCCATACTTTACGCTTCCTTCAACGAAGATCAAGCAACTCTGGCCGGCGAAAACATGGGGTCGTCCTACGACGGCGTGTGAGGGGAGACGACCATGTCACACGGTTCTCATCTCGGTTGCCGGTGCGAGAATTCGAACCAAATGCAGTGAGAAGCAGCACAAAAGCACAAGAGCGCCATCCGAAGCCCAGATAGATACATCTGGCCAACGCACGACAGCCAGATTGATTGCTCATCACAAGCGCTGAATTGGACTAGCTTGCAGACAACGTCCTTCCTCTCCAGTAGAGAAAGCTCTAATCCAAGGCGACCCTCTTTTTTGAGGAAACGCCCCCATGCTCATCAACAAATGAGGGTTTCAGCTCCGGCCCTCCACACAACGCAAAGGAGGAAAAAGCATCCACGACTCGACATGTGATTTTCTATATTGTACGATACGTCCCAAGACAGTGGCTACGTGTAGATTGCATGGGTGAGTGGCAATTTTGGCACGCCGTCCCGGCTCGTCATAGCCAGCAGACTCTTAAGTTTTGTTCTTTTGTCAGCTTGACAACACGAGCATTCATTACGAGATGAGATACTGGATCCTGCCAACGGAAACAAGATAGTATTGGACTTGTTCCGCAAGCAACACCTTCGTCATACAGGTCTGGGGCTGCGCCAATCGTGCTGTTTGACTGGTGTAACTTATCAAAAAAAGTCCAATTGAGCAAGCAACCAGATCATCCAAGATTAGCGATGACTACAGATCTTCGTATCAACTGTGCCACAGCGTGGGGTGAAAGTTTGACCTCATGGTAGCTTTGGAGGATCTGATAAGCAAGCAACCGAACCACACTATGGATTTGTCAACGAACAAGCGGTTTGTGGCAGTGTGAACCTTGAACAAATCCGCAGAAACATTGACCGGACATCCAGCTTTGTGCCTTTTATTACGTTAGTGTCCAGGTGAAACCAGCCACGGACAGGTACCAAAGGCTTGAAAGATTGGTTCCACTCAGGCTTGGAACAATGTCAACGCTGTCCCTTGTTTTTTTCGTTTCTCTCTCAGTTTTTCGCCAGGAATGTGCATTTGGCTCGCAAATTGAGCTGTCACAGTTACGATTGGTCTCACCGGGACAGAAGAAACTCACCGCAGAGAGCTCAGGGTTACTTTGACAAGTCAATCGTACAAGGGCTAAATGGAAACGTGGACATGATGGCCTGCTAGGAATGATTATACGAAGCCAGAACGCGCAGCCACCTGTAAGGCCGGTTGAATCCACCTCACTTCCTGATCAGTTGCGGGGGCATAGGTGGCCACAACTCACTGCATCTTGAAGCGCAAGGGAGTTCAAGTCTCACCAGAAAAGCAAATGACAGCCCAGCGAGAAGACGCGATACGCCACTTTGGCAGGCCGAGGAGTCTCGGCAACAACAAGTACGCCATTGCTTCGGAAAGCAACCGGTGAATATGAGATTCGCTGATCAGGCCCGCTGCAGTCAAGCTGCAATTTCACATCCTGGCATCCTAAAGGCGGCTCTGCGCGCAACGGGCGTGGCAACAGATTTTGGTACGGAACCGTTACGAATCTAAATGTACAGCGCTAAAGCGGCCATCACGCAGGTCTAATCTGGCAGATTCCCGCCAGCAACAAATATCCCGTCATGGGCCGGCGGAGAGTACGCTAATGGTCAAGGACAGACGACTGAAGACTTCGCTTCCTCATCAAGGATCAGAAGCATCCTTCTAGGGTCATATCACGAAACTCAAGCGTGAAAAGCAGAACTTTACAGAAGAGACCAACGCCGACAACTCTCTGTCTGATGGCGAACCCTGCCTTACGTCTCGACTGTGAGTTGAGTTTGTTGATCGAAAGAGCAGAGGGCGCGGCCCTTGACCCTTAAATGCCCGGCTCGTTGAGGACTATGCGCATCAGTACGTGAGCAGATTTGGAGTGAGACGGAGGAGACCTAGAAGTAGAGGGGGGAAAAGCGCTCTTAAAAGAGTCGAGCAGACCTCAATTCTGCAGACAAAGCCGAACCGGACACCAACGAACGAGATGATTAGCAAAAGCGACCATTCTTAGATCCTCTCACCCACTTTCGTTCCTGTCGGCGATCTGGTGCGTGATCGGTTGGATCTGGTCCAGCCGATTCGAGAAACCCCTTGCTTAACATTGGAGTAGCCAGCGTTTCTGATACTTCAAAAGATTATGGCGCAACCGAAGGTCGACCCCAACGGAAAGAGAGCGAAAAGCTATCAACTTTTCGACGCCCGCCAACCTTCCTTCTGTCGGTGATCATTTGCGTGACCGCGTCGATCGATTAAGTACGTCAGTCAAAAGTGAAGGGAGACAAACAGAAGCAAAGAGAATCGAGGAAACACGCTCAACAAACCAACGTTTTTGTCTCTCGAGACAGTACTGCGCAACCAAAGGTCGACCCAAAAGAAGAGAAGCAAAAAGCCTTAAGTTCGACGCCTTTCCACCTTCCTTGCGGTCCGCAATCATGTGCGTGACGGCGTCAATCTGGTCCATGGAGACGGCCCCCAGGGTTTATAGGAATGCAGCCAGCGTTCTTCATCTTTCAAATGACTACTGCACAATAGGAACTCAACGCAAGGAGGAGAAAAACGAAAGCCACCTTCTTGGGAAACCCACCCACATTCCTTCCTGTCGGCGACCATGTGCGTGACCGTGTGGATCTGGTTGAGAGAACGGCCCCCGCGTGCTTAACAGGAATGTAGCCAGCGTTGCTCAATTGCGGAAGAACGTTACGCCTTGATGACCGACAAACGAGAAGAGACGCAAGAGGGACCCTTCTTGAAGACGCCCACCCACCTTCTTTCCTGTCGCCGATCATGTGCGTGACGGCGTCGATCTGGTTCATGGAGAAGGCCACCCCGTGCTTAACAGGTTTGTAGCCAGCGTTCCTCATCTTTCGAAGGGTCAATACAGAAACAAGAAACCTTCCTAAGGAAAAGAAAAGCGAGAGCGAAAATCACCTTCTTAGGCAAAACCCGCTCACCTTCCTTCCTGTCGGCGATCATGTGCGTGACGGCGTCGATCTGGTTCATGGAGAAGGCTCCCCCGTGCTCCGCCACCAGCCGGTGCATCGCGTCCTTGCCGTGCTCCGGGGAGAAGTTGGCGAAATCTGACGTCACGCTTGTCAAGGATGACGCAAGCAGAGGCATGGATTGTCCAATCAGAGGTGCAGCTCGAATGACTACTTTTCCTAACCAGTGCGTGCATCAAGCAGGAAGTGGAAGATTCAAAAAGCCTCCGTCCAAAACTACAGGTAGAAGTGACCGCGGGAAAATCGAAAAGAACGCCGCTGACTTTCGTACCGAGGATAAGCAGTAGTGTTCGGCTCTGGGAATCTGCTCGCATACGCCAACGCTGGGAGAATCTCAACCGAAGTGCCTTGATGGCAAACGCGGCCACGAAAACCATGCATGAGTCAGTCAACAAAATGATAATCAGACGTAAATTGTAACGTTAGAAGAATGTCAACCCTCAATGCACAAAAGGTCCAGAAGGAGTCAAACAAATGGTGAAAAGGAAGATTGTTTTGAGCGAAGAACCTTCGAAGCGAGAAGGATACAAAAGACGCAGCCGTCGAAGATGGTGCTCTTCTGCTTGACCCCGGACACGTCCGTTCCCATCAGGTGCGCCGGAACGAGCGGAAGCTTCGCCTTCTCCGGCTTGACGCGCTTCTTCTGGGTTCCCGTTTCCGCGAGCTCCGTGTACTGGGAGCCGTCGACCACGTTCCCACCGCTCGCGAGCACCATGTCGTGGAAGGCTGGAAGCAGGCGGAGAGAGTCGGTGTGAATAATCTCATATGTGAGCGTTAATGTGACCGGACGGAACGGCGTTCGGAGTCGTCATCCTTAGCGATGGATTGCTTCACAAAGGGAGAAAGACGCAAGTCTCCAGGAGAAGAGGAACTGAGGGGCAGCGCACTGAGGTACTCCTGCCATGTGGCCAATGACAAAATGACGTGCAAGCAGCGTGCACAGATTGACTATCAGTAGCACAGACGCAAACGGACACGTCATCTTGTCCCCACTTGCGGGCTGCAAACTAGGATCGGCTGACGTGTCCCTTTGCGCCGGAAGCAAGCCTACTCGCTAAGTCCACGACAAGGTAGAGCAGAGCATAGTACGGGCCAGAGCATTGTCTGTCAGATAGTGGGGCCCGCCGCTGACACACGCGCTCAATCTTTAAGCAAGTGCATTCGAGAGCTTACAGAGAGTCAAAGCCTGGCCAGCTAACCAAAGCTGACATAGAGAGACAACTGCGCCCGATCACTTACAGTCCAGATCCAGGCAGTCGTACCAGGGCTTGTCGTAGCGGATCTTTTGGCAGCGGGGAAAGCGCAGGCTGAAGGGGGTGGCGAAAACCTGCAAAAATACGTCGAGAGGTCGTAGTTCAAAACCAAGCGGTGTAGCGCGTGTGAAGGAGGTCTCGGCTTACGCGGTGCGCAGCAAAGGGACTGAGTTTGCCAACGCCCAGTTCAGTGCCACCTCTGGTGATCCAGTAAGCAATACCTAACAGATTCCCGATCGTTGGCGATCTGGTGCCAATGCGAAGACGGAAGGCATCGAGCGCGCGCAGTGCATAAACGCTTGGTCAACCCGGGTCCTTTCGGAGCGTAGTCGAATGCACCTGCCAACTTCACCAGATGCGCCCAATTCCCAATCTGGTGCATGTGAAGATTCAATTTTATGCCGCAGAAACCATTGACTCGGTCGGCGCTAGCTAATGATGAAGTCTTAAAGCATCGTTAGTTACGTCTAGCCGGACGGCCGCATAGCACGGTTTTGGATGGTGCGGATGTCGCCCTTGATCTGCATGATTACACACCGAAGCCTACGAACCCGCAGGAGCCGACCAAAACATTTTCGTCCTAAAAACAATGAGTGAAATCAGGTCCCTCCAAACTCAACCGAAGCCTGCAACCGCCCCGTGAGTCGACCCGAACACGTTCCTTTCTCCGGAAACATTCAGCGGAACCAGGTCTCGCCAGATTTTTAACCCAGCGGCTACGCACCTCGGTTTGGATGGTGCGGATGTCGCTCTTGATCTGCATGACCTACGCAGCGACGCCTGCGCCACCACCAGGTGTTGACCCAAACATATCGGTAACATTCAATGGAGCAAAGTCTCGCCAAACTTGACCCAACGGCTACATACCTCGGTTTGGATGGTGCGGATGTCACTCTTGATCTGCATAATGACCGACTTCTCCGGCTGGTCCACCCACACGTCCGGCCGCTCCTTGTGGTGGCCCGTGCACACGTAGAAGCTGGGCGGCTTCGACCCGCGCTCGTTCCGCCTAGAGACGAAAAAGTTCCTTGGTTAGCGTTAGCCCAAAACCCAAGTTTCTGATACGTTGTTTGTGCGCGGAAGCTGGGCGGCTTGGAGCCGCGCTCGTTCCGCCTGGAGATAACAAACCATCTCGATTAGCGATAATCAGCGGTTAGCGGTAGCCCAGAACCCAAGTTTTTGATATGCTGTTTGTGCGCGGAGGGCTCCCATGAAGCTGGGCGGCTTCGACCCGCGCTCGTTGCGCCTGGAGAGGACAAACTCTCTCGGTTAGCGCTAGCCCAGAACACAGCTTTTGGATATGCTGTTTGTGCGTGGAGAGCTCCCCACAAGCTGGGCGGCTTTGAGCCGCGCTCGTTGGGCCCGGAGACACCGGTATTTTGGTATTTTGGTTTAAGTCGACATGAACCCAGATTCCCGAGGATTCGTCGGTGCAATCCGTTCGTTAGCGTTGATCAGCGTTAAAGTAAATATTGAGAGTTACGGAGTTAGACGCTGAGGACGCGTGGAGGGTCTCCTTGAAGCAAGGCTTCGAGCCTCGCTCGTCGCGCCTGGAGATTCCTTGCTTTCAGATTAGCGCCGGTTTGCGTCAATACAGAGTAAAGGCAATGACTATTCTCGGTTGGCATGGAGAAGAAAAAAGCTAGAATCCTGAGGGTTCGTGAAGCTCAGACTTCAGACAGCTGGGTACGCGTAGGGGCTTTCTTGAACGGGCGCGCTTGTTATGCGTGAGAGACGACAGCTTTTCCGGTTAGCGCTGTTTTCGCGTGAAGAATGCTGTCCGGCCCTTGCTTCACTAGCACATACTAGGGTCCTCGCGCTTAGAAACCCTGATACGGAATCCTGCCAAATAATGAGATATCAGCTGCTTGTAGCCCCAACCGAACATCGAGCAAGAACAGACCAGCTCGGAAAGGCATTAACCTACCTCAGATACGGTGCTAGTTTGGTTCGCAGAGCGTCCAACTCCGTCTCGCTGAAGCCTGTCCCGACACGGCAGAAGGTGTGGAACCTGCATCGAGATTCATTTTCATTTGAACATCCAAGCAACATTTAGCAAAAGCGCTTCTGGATTGTCTGTGGAAGCCAGAATTGTTTTCGACCTAAAGTGGTGTAACAAGCGGGTATTGGAAATTCAGGGGAGAATGGTGAGGCGAAGGCACTTGATTCTTTGCCTTGGCTGGCAAAACGGCGAATCTTCCACAGCTCTATTCGCCAAGGGTAAGACCTTTCGGTCAGAAGAAATGGGGCAAAAAGCGTAAACTGGTGTTCCACCTTACAAATCTCATCGCAAGCGAAGAGTATGCAGATTCCGGGATGAAATGGACGACGTCACCACTTAAAGGCGATCGCGATATAATGATCAGAGGGGAACTGAGGCAGGACCGGGCAGAGAGCTTCGGACGCACACACAGTGTCTTTCGAAGTAGCAACTTTCAACAGAGATGGATGGTCGGCATTCATAGGCTCTGACCAGATGGTCTCAAACGATATGGCACAAATTCCTTAAATGTCGCTCTTACTTGGTAGGAAAGCCGCCGGCTTTTGGCCTCTCCGCAATCCCCAGCAGGAAGTTGGACAGCTGACCCCCACGGCGATGCCCCTCCCCGTACATAGCACCTGCAAAAGGGGGGCGCGTGATTGACCAACTGTCCTCTTATATACATAATCAGAAAATCACTTTGACCTGGGCGTTCCCCTAACGTCATCCTTACGTCACCTAACAACGACTTGTTTACTGGGTAGTTGCTTACTTCTCGTTGCTGCGCAGTTTGCCGGCTTGAAATCTGGCACTAGACACTTTCGATCTCCCCCCGATCTTGGCTGACAAGTCCGCCACTAATTTGGGCCGTCCGGCGATACGAGTAATCAAACGCCCTGTGTGAGTCGGTAAGCATTGTCACCAGGACTTGCCCACAGTGTGGGCGTACGTTTGCTTGCTTTTGAGGAATCCCCAGCCTGAAAGATGACTCAATCCTAGATACACGCTGAACTGCCCTTCTTGGTCTTCAACGGCAAGCGCCCACCATGTGCGAGTGTTACATTCTTGAATGGTTTTCCTCCCTCAAAGTCTCTCCTTCCTGAAAGCTCCTGGAACGGCCAAGAAGAGCAGCAAAGCAGTCCTTTGCAGAATCATGCCTCGGTCTTTCTGCTTCCATCGCATCTCCCTCCGCACGTGTTAAGAGCCGCCCACAAACTTTTCGAAAATCACTGTTAGATGCGTAATAAGTGCCAATCCTATCCAAGACTCGTCAAACTCTGTGCTTCAAACGCAATCTTCGAGTTCCAATGTCCCACTGAAACAAGAACGGGAAGCCTATACTCCAACCGAGAAGCCAAAAGCCTGATCATCCAAAATCGTAACCCATCTCAGGGAATGGAAGACAAAGATATCCAAAACTTGAATCTCGTACTGAACCCTGTCTTAAGGACATGAAAGCTAAAGGATCAAGGACTCGACACTCACCGATGATAAGCACGTCCAGGTCGGTCTCTACGTTGACGTAGTCCGGCTTGATCTTGGCCCAGCGGTTGGGGCTCCGGTCCGCGGGCTCCCACTTGGATTCCAGGTCCTTGATGATGACGCCCTCGTCCCGGTTTTCGACCATCTCCAGAAAGTACGTTTGCGCCTCCTCTGCGCTCGCGGGTATGATGGTCCACGGTTGGACTCCTGCAATCATAAGATTGGGGAAACAACGGTGTTTCAGATTTGTAGCTGGATTAAGGAATCAAGAGGAAGATCACGAGAAAGGCAAACCACAGGTCTCGACCATCTCCAAAGTTCACGTCTACGCCTCCTCTGCGCTCGCAGGGATGATGGTCCAAGGTTGGACTGCTGCAGTGAAACCTGCATAACCCTCGCGCACGCATGCCCCGGTTCAGCTCAATTACCGGCGGCCAGCACTTGATGCGGTGCTTGAGCGGCGTCACTACGACGTCAGCAAATGTTTTGCTCAACAGCTTTGTACCGCCTTTCCGCGTTCAATGCATTAGCAGAATTCCGGTCAGGCTTATTGACGAACTCAGATGACTCGAGATAGGCACTTTACCTGGCTCTCGGTTCAGCTCCGCGTCTGGCACCAGCACTTCGATGCGGCGCTTGAGCAGCATCACTACAAAGTTCGCAAATCTCTTCTGCTCAACAGTTGTGACCGCCCTGCGGTATTCAGTGCATTCAGAAGAACTCCGGTCAGCTTTAATGACATGCTGAAACACAGAGGAAGCGCTTTACCTGGCTCTCTGTTGAGCTTCGCGTCCGGCACCAGAACTTCGATGCGGTGCTTGAGCGGCGTCACCACTTGCTTCAGCATCTCGTGGCGCTCGCGCAGCGGCAGGTGGATCAGGCTGCGGTCGTCGTGGTACAGGATGTCGAAGATGATGTCTGAGTGGCCCAGAGTCAGGGAGATTCGACAAGGAGAGTACAAAGACAAAGTAGGCAGACCACTCTGACGCGAAGTGACATTGACCAATACCCGCTAAAGGGCTTACGCAACCGATGCTTGAGAGAAGAGCCGATAGTTCCTCAACAAATTTTGGAGAGTTGCCCATTTTAAGGATACAGCACAGCTGCAGAAAACAAGAACAAGCGGTCAGCGTTTGAAAAGTGGAAGCAGTACCACGACGTGATTTCGAAAAGAGCGACTGCATTAAGTATCTTGTAAACGCACGCGTTTGCGGAGATCAAGCGGTCCTCTCGAAGCAACACGCGGTGTGGCCAAACTGAAGCGAGTGGCAGGATCGCAAAAGCTTACCGTCTCGTCGCCTTGTATTCCATCTCCGTCCTGCTTCGCTGCAAGAGGAAGAGCATTCGAGGTGAGTAGCACACTCAGCAGAGGGTATCCGTGACAACGGAGGTTACTCGACAACGAAGAAAGTAACTGACGTGAAGGGCAGCTGAGAGCACAGTTGCTGGAATCAGGCCATTAAGCATTGTAACAGACATCACGAACCTTCGCATCCGGCTCGCAAAGTTTGACCGGAAGCTCGCGTTGTCTGTCCGGCCGTCGCCTTGTTTTGCATTCCGCGTCTGACAAATCTGCAGGCTATGCTTTCCAAATAGATGAAGCCAGCTCAGGATAGCTTTCTGATAATGATTCGGGGCACCCACCAATTGTCTTGTTGGTCCCGAAGGGCGTGAAGGACTTGAGTACGTTGTTCCAAACGACGATCTCACCATCCAGTATGCACCTGTGCAAAAAGAGGCGATTCTGGTCATCTTCGAGCAGGGTCTCCGAGCAAGACTTGCTTGCCTGGTTACGGGTTCGGATTTCAGAGATAGAAACCGTAGGATCCGCAGCCGTCTGTAAAATCACTTCAGAATGGGTCGATGCAAATTCAGATGTGAGCAAGTTGTTACATCAACAAAAAGGTACCGCCTTAATTCTTTGCATCAGACGGGGGAATCTGTCCAAGGACGATTTGGAACAACTGCTAGGGGTTTTGAAAATTTCTAAGTTAGGAAAATGGGCGACAAACTGTCAATCCCCAGGCACAGATTGTGGCGGGGTTCGCGAGACAGACCGTGACGACTTGGTCTGCTTGATGATGTCATCCCCGATTGCGCCCCGGTAGATCTCGGCGTGGTCGTTGAAGTTGCGCGAGAAGAAGTTGAGCTGCGTTCCGTCGATGTGGCACTGGATGCGCTCCCCGTCGAACTTGCATTCCACCACAACCGGCCGGCCCCGCATCTGCATAGACGAAGCAGCCTCGATATCTCACAAGTCCAAAGCGGTTTCGCCAAATGAAAGACTAGTGGTAGCCCCTGCTGCAGTGCCTCGTGTCCCCAAGGTAGACAAGGCCGATGTTTCTTCTATCAAGCAGAGCTCGTCTCGAAGATTTCTTGACCAAATGGAGGCTTAACCGACAAACTCAAGCCGTCTTCACTCCCAGTTGTGGCCGGTCTCTGTCGGATTGTGTAGATTACAGTAGCGGCTGAAGGCAACTCAGAAGTCTTCACGCCTTCGCCGACTTGGTTCATACTCTTCAGGAGAGGGTTGATGTTATAACCGTCAATTGCTCATCGACCTACTTGACGAGTATGCTCGCAAGGACCAGAGAGGCAGGAAATAGTCCCTCGCGCTCACCTTCTTCATTGCCTGCTCGACCGTGTTCACCCGGGCTGCCAGCTGTGGCCTGACGGCCTTGCCAATTTCGATGTCCTGCGAACAAGACCGGCATCGGATCAGATCCTGACAATAGAGCTGAATGCAGCGGGAAAGTCGAAAAGCACAACTGTCCCGCTGTGTGGCTCAACTTAAGATCCTCTTAGTTGGCAGATTCAAGTGGAGGCTGCGCCTATGAAACAAAGCGCCATTCTAATGAGTATCTCGGAATCGAACAGAAGGAGATGTCAGCAAAGTCTGCGGAGACGACGCCTGTTATTGGATGTACACGTCCGTAAGGGCTTTTTCGGAGACCAGGATCGAACCAATCAGACTGCAACTCAATCAGCCGTGTCTCAGAACAAGAAGCTTCGGCAGGCACTCCCTCGAGAAAAGCCTTTGGCTAAGTTTCAAAGCCCGACAGGGCAGAAAAAAGCCTCCTGCTTTACCTTGAGACCAGATGGACGAACAAACTATCGGTTTGGAGGGTGTCTGCAGATGCAACTCAGAACCCCATCAAAATTGTGACCGCACATATCAGAAAGACATCAATGAAAGCGACCCCACCTGGCGGGCGAACCTCTTGGTCCGGTCCTTGAGCTTCTCGCAGACTGCGCGCAGGTCGCACGTGACGTTGAAGATGTCCTCTGCATCGGGGTGGAACTCGGAGAAGATGGTCTTCTCGCTGATGCCCATCTTGAGGTCCTTGAGGATGATGTTGACGACCCACTTCATCTCGCGCGCGTTGGTCTTGTTGATCAGCTCGGTCAGGACAGAGGTCTTGGCCTCTCTGCAGATGCAAGTGCGTAGAAGTGCGTAGGCATTGGATAAGGTCGAAGGGAAAGGTTGAAGCAGTAAGAGGAACCGTACTGTCAAACTGACCAGGACAGTGCAGGTGTACAGCGTCATAAACGGGCTGCATGATGCGGCGCGCTTTGAGAAGAGCAACCAAACCTGAGATGTTAGGCGGCAAGTCACAAATATGTGAATTGTGCAAATCCAGAGCTGGCGTTCGAGACACGATGTGTTTGTTAGGGGGCTTACATACGGTTTATATGCGATTATGAAGCTATATGTCTGGAAAAACCTCTGTAACCAAAACGGACTAGTTTGACAGATCTTGTGCAGACTTGTCGCCAATTGATGCTGATCAACAGTCCAAGCTTTGAGGTGGTCGAGTGGCATGAGATTCTTAAGATCAATCGTCGATTGACAAATATGGAGTTGCTGACGAGTAACTGGTCGGACATGACAAGCAGACAATGAGGAGGGGATCTGCAAAGTATGAATGTGGCTGAGCACCTGTCAAGAAGTAGAGATAAGATGGGAAAGGTCATGTGGACTTTATTGAGAGTCTGCAATTCGGGGAAGGAAGTTTTGGAGCAGAGAATCGATAATTCGAAATGACCATTATGGAAGCTGAGGTGAGTCGGGCATATACATGGTGTGGAGTTGATTTCTCTGCACCGATGGTTTTGGGATAATTTGATTGGAGAGATGGAGGTTGTGGGGGTGGATGAGGATGAGGTGTTCTCGGGCAGGGACAGCGCGAAGGGCATACATATGGTGTGGGGGTAGAGCATAAATGGGAGTTGAATTAATGTTGTTAAAGAGATGGAGGCATAATGGGGTTGTTGTGATAGAAAGATGGAGGTTGTGGGGTGGATGAGAATGAGGTGTTGTTGGGCAGGGGCCGCGCGAACGCGAGCCCCGGCTGCCACAAATTGTGCCGTGTAGACACCCCGTAGGGTGTTACTGGGATTCACCGCGACCGGAGTGCAATGGAAGCAGCTCGTCCCAGGCCATCCGCCTTCATGATCACAGATTGACCCCGGCCAGGTAAGTGAAGAAGTGGGTTGAAGCAGTGGGGTTTTGTAGTTCGCGTGAAAACAGAGTCGTTGTGGGCTCCGAGTATAGTGACTCAGCGACCGTGAACCGTACGATGAGCTCAAAATTCAAAATCCGACGGTCTATCGTACGGGTATCGCAAAATTGACGGTCCGACCTACTCTGGCAACTCTTGCTTTCACTAAGGGGTGCTTTCACTAAGACAGGCACCCGGGGGACGGGTGGGGTTGGTTTGGGGGTTAGGGTGGGTACGGGTGCGGAGCGGGTCATTATTTAGGTCAGGGTTTTTAGTTGAGGTGCCCGGGGCTCCTGTATCTTAGTGAAAGCACCCCTTAGTGAAAGCAAGAGTTGCCAGTACGTCCGACCTCGGCCGCGAGTTCGGCCGCGTTTCGAGCTTCGAGCCTCGAGCTCAAGCGCTTGATTAGGCATGAGCCAATGTATCGGCAGGCAGCACTACCAATTCGTGCTCTACTAAGGGAACTCCTTAGGCTAGATCCGATGCAGTTGGAATGCTGCCGACGAATATATAATCGACTTTCGAACAATGAAACGGCCTATGCCTTTCGTGTCGGATTTGTTCAATGGAGATGTCTGCTTTCACCATTCAAACCTAGAGATGCCTCTTACTTCTAATTTAAGCAGTTCAACGGCGCGGCGGAAGCGCTTTATGATCTCGAGAAGTCACTTCTGATCTGAAATTCGAAATAGCAGTGTAGCCTCGAAAAATTAGTAATCAAGTAGATTCAAATGATGGGCGAGATCTGAAATTTCTCAAAGTCCATCGATGATTGGACAAAGCACGCCAGATGTGATAACCAGAAAAGGAACAAAAGAAGGAATTTCAAAAGATGTACGTCAGCAAGCCTCCAAGGACGGTTACGGAGACTTTCAAAGCCTTTTCGACGACCTCTGCCCAGCGAAGAACCAAGTCCATCCACATTTGGTGTTTAGTATCAAATGTAGACATGCAGGCCCAAGTTGGATAGTTCCGGCCAACGCTTCGTGAGCCACTGTTTCTGAGTAATTGTCCTCACCTTTTCTCTGCGGCCACCAGCTTATCCAGAGTCTCGTTCAGCTCCCTGATCGTCAGCCCCCCCGACGTCTCCCTCTGCCTGTTCTGCAGGACCTCAAACGCGACCATCGCAAAGTTGCCGGCGCTTTTCCCCGCCCGCGCGCCCCCCCTCTTCCACTCAATCAGCTTCTTGGCGTCTGACGTGTCCTTTCCGAGGCCTAGAGCGTCCGCTGTGAATTTGGCGAGCTTGTCGGCCCCCACGTTGTAGTTGCCCCTCTCCTTGTCCAGCTGCAAAAGAGACGAGAAGGAAAACTGAGGTTAATCTCCGTGGACGCACATCGTGTGTGTTCTGAGCGAAGTTATCCTGTGGACGCAGATCGTCTTCGTCCAGAGCGAACTCATCCTGAATTGACTTGACGACTTGACTTTGGAACGTCGAGAATTATTCTGCCGCGGTGGTTTATTCGCTTCTCAGCGAAGTGGGAAGGACATCTCTGGCACACACTTTTAAATAGAAAGAGGATTAACGAGAAGCGTCGAGCTTCTGTTCACCCAGGTGCAGTGGCATACAAAGCCAATGGTAACATATTCACTATCCAATGCCTATGCGGAAATTCACAACATTCCGTTCGATCAATGATTTTAATACATTATTTGTGAGGTTGAAGAAAGTAAGCGAAATTGGGGCGATGAACTACAAATCCAATGGACTATTTGATGTTAGGCAGGACGAGCTTCAGCGGACATCTTGGACGAGTCCATCATTTTAACGCCTAAATACTGGCACAATGTCACCTGCTTGCAGTATAAGGGAACCCCCATCACTGCAAAGTGACAATCTACGGTAGCTCTACTTTCATCCCTGTTTCATCGCAGTGGCCACTTGCAAACAAAGCTTGGTCTCCATGCTCCAAAATTCGACATCAAACCTCTGTGGGAGGCTTACCTCTGGAATCATCAAGCGCATGGCGCTGAAGTAATCACGCCCCAAAAAGTTGAAAAATGTACTGAGGTGTTTCCGTTTCATCTGGCCCTTCTTTGCCTTGATGACCGCTTCAAACAAGTCCACCAAGACGGCTGCAAACACCAGGACAACCACTTTAACTCTCCCATACTTTTTTTATGAGCTTGTTGATCTTATGAAGAAGCCCCGTGATCAAAGGGGACTCAAAGGTGCCCGCTCATTTCTGGCGCTCAATTGCAACATAAGTTCTGAGTATGGAACAAAATCTTGTGAGTTTATTGCACTAATAAGGATATTCACCATCAACTACGTGTCTCGCTTCTGTCTTCGATCAACAGCCGCCCTTCCAAAAGTTTGAAATGCCCCCTGGGTGCTCAGCATTTGGTTAATTTTGAGAAAAGATCAGGCTGTATATATATTGCACCAGGCAGCTCACTGATTGGGACTTTGCATGCCAGCTCTAGCTTTGTGATTTCCTGCTTTCAACCTCGAGCTTTTCAAAATGGAGGCTGAAAAACAAAACAAGCTCAATGCAGTGCAAGGAACTTCCACCAGCGGTTGTCTCCGACTCAAGCGAGGAGGTTAATGCAAGTGGAGCAGCTCACAAAAATGTGTAGAGTCACCATGGCCCCGTGAGGAAGTTGCTTTCTCCGCCATCTTTGGAAACCTTGCAGATTGTCAATTGCACAAAGTTCAGGGGCGAAAGGGGTCCAACATGCTGAAAATACTTCCAGCAGAGTGGGTAAGACTAAGTGTTCAGCAGTCTATCCTGCAAGCGGCGGCAGTTTCCGCATTTAGCCGTAGGGCTTGGCTGAAAGTCACCTTTACTAGCTCCCCTGCAAACATACTACCTATGCTTTGGACTTGTTGGACTTGAAGTTCAACTTGTTGAACTAACTTGAAGCAAAGCTGTTCCCCAGCTGTTCCAAGATTCTACGCTGTGGCAATTTCCTGCTCCTGTCCTGCCCCCCCGAAAGAAAACTAGACCGGACTCCAACCAGTTCCCAGAAAGCTATTAAAGCGACGGCCGTGACTATATAACCAATATCGTTTAGGTTCGAGAATGCTCTCATCGACCGAAGTTTGTGCAAGCTCATATCCATCTTTGCTTCGACGAGGTGGAAAGCAAGATGCAACTAGTAGAGGAGGTTAACCAACTTCGCCAGGGATCATCATGCTTCAGCCTTCAAGTGATCAGGCATTCCGAGTTCATTATGATTTAGAAATCTTCAGAAATCAGAAGTTAAAATGCACCATGATCATGGGCGCTTGCATTTGCCAGCGAACTCCAGTGCGGATCGAAGCAATTGGGAGGCCTGGATTTGAAGAAGCACAAAGCAGAGCTTGTCCGCTGTGCTCAATCTGCCTTTGAGCTGTCCAGTGGACCATTATGACGGTTATATTGTTTGGTGCAGGGTGTCACTTCTTTACAAGTAGAGGCGACGGGACAACCTTTTCTCAACACTTGCACGCTCCTGTGCTTCTGAATCTAGAAAGCTTTGATTGAGATCCGAAAGATCAAGCGGATCAATGGAGTCCCTCATTGCTCGCGCTCTAGAATCAAAGCTGTCGAAATGGCTGAAGTTCTTCAAGCGAGATCAATTCAAGCTACAGGGACGCATTGCTCAGCTGACAAATTTAGGTAAGACCTCCATCTGGCAGGCAACATTCGCTTTCTGTCCCTCTTTGGGGGCATGAAATACAGAAGCAGTGCACGACTTTTAGGGTTCAGCTCTAAAATATTGCAGTCATTGCGTTCTTGCTCGAATTTTGCATAGATCCAGATTCTTCTGGTGTTGTAGAGTGAGCCAAAGAACATATCAATTTTTTTGGCCAGCTGCATTCCTTTCTTGGACTGTTAGTAAAGAGCGGGGCACTTGGCATTCACTCATCAATCTTGCAGTGCCCCATTCTTGCCAGATCCTTCAAACATTGCATTCTCAATGTATCCACCTCTTTTGATACTGAATTCCTGGCCTCAGCTTGAACGTTGAGCAGTAGAGGGGTTCTAGAAATATCTGCTGATTGCATCTACAATCTGGTCAGTCGAGCCTCTTTCAGGAGTTCATAGTACAATTGAAGGTGGCTCTTTCGTGCATTTCAACCGCTAGGTCAATTTGTTGACAAGAAGTTGATGCAGATGGCTGAGATGATGCAGGTAGTATGTCAAATACTGCTCAAACTAGGAAAGGGCCCGCACCTCCTTGTTAATGACTGCGCCCAGGTTTCTGAACTGATGGACATCTGATTGAATATCGGTATAGAAACCTTTTAAAAGCTGCGGCTAAGGCCTGCGCGATTTGGTCTAATCAAGATACAAAATCTGTGCCTCAGATTGACGGTCTGAGCATTGAGCAGATCAAATTTGAGCCCTGTCACCTTCTTCTAAAACTTTTTGGCCCTGAAAAAAAAAGAATTGATCACTGTTGCCCTTGCTCGTCAACAGTGGTTGGATGTGACATGGCAAGTTGAGACCTTCTGATTCTCTAAGTCCCTCACAGTACGGAATCTTTCACAGCAAGGGCATTGCACACCTGCAGCTGAAACCTCTTTCGGTGCAGATCTGCACGGAGATGTTCTTCATGCCGCCCTGGGTCTTCCCCCAGCCTTGCGCGTCCAGCAGGCGAAGGTGGGCAAGCTTTCGATCAAGGTGAGTTACTTCCGTCTAGTGGCAAGCCAACCACGTGACATCCCACATCAGTTGAGTTACTTTCTCCTGTGTCTTCATCTCCAATTCAGTCAGAGTGTCATCTCTCACTTGTTAGTGGTCCTTCCTACAGAGAGTGGCCGTGATGGTGCAACTGACCTGCTTGAGCTAGGAGACAAAAGTGTTCCTTGTCCACCGGGAGATGAGGTCTGCTTTATGCACACCGGATTGCTCTGCGCAGTGATAAGCAAGCAGATAGAACCGAGAAAAAGACAAATGGAGGACTTGTCCCCCCTTTTCCAAGAGCGAGGCACCTTGTACCCGGTTCTATTGGCTTCAAACAGTTCAGCCGCATGAGACGAACAATGTTCCGGACCATTTTTAATCAGCACCCAAGTTTATGGGTCCTGGCGCAGGAGAGCGGAAGTAAGTTCAAGTTTTTCCAGGATTCTAAAAGTTTTTAGAAACCAGGTAAGACCAATCCGCTGGCATTTCAAAGCCCCTTTTGAACCCCTTGACCTGACTTTCCATTGCTCCAGCTACCTCGCAATTTCAAGACTGACCTGGCCATCTAACAATGGGGGTACAGGGGCTGGTTCCAAAGACATCCAGCGATTTAAAATCCCTAGTGACTCGCCACAGACTTGCCCTGTATCACCCTCAGAAGGGAGCCCATTTCGTGCCCACCTAAGCAATCATTGATCAGAGCCACTAACCAGACAGCAACCATAACCAGTCTTGATCACTCTTATTGCTGCAGCTGCCCCCGCTGTCCAACCTCAAGACGGAGCCTATGGTCGTGTCCATCGACCGCCTGGACATTGTGCTCGCGGAAAAGGTGGACGAGGATGACGATGACGTGGCGCCAGGGGACCCCGCTGCTGCATCACCAGGGAAGGCCGCGGCTTCTAGCTCAAGCTATGGGCTGGGGGATAAGGTATGCGTTTGGACAAGACCCTATGACCCAAGTTCTTGAGAACGCCCGTATGTGGGACCGTCCCCGTCAGGTGATTGCTCACCAAGATGTCTTCTTAAACCGAAATGTTGACTGACGGATCCGAAATGGTCACACGATTCTCAAACCTTATCCACATCTGGCTTTGTGAAGACTGAACTCTGCTCTCAGACGTGTGCAGTGATATGCTGTTCTTCATTTCGTGGTTTCCAGGCAGGTGATTGGGTCTGGGCACCTCTTCTGCACCGGCCCTCGTCGTTTTGTGCCGATCCACTTCAAACTTCTCAAGAATCGTCTTGTAAAGGCGGGATTTGTGAGGAAGACTTGCACCCCCCGTTTCCACTTTTCTGCAGTGAACTCAACGCATTGTCTCTGGTGCAGATCGCTGACGGGGTAACAATAGAGGTCGCGGCAGTGAACCTGATGCTGGAGACGCTTGGTGCTGTCCGTGTGGGTGACACCGACTCCGCAGCATGGTGAGACCCGAGGGAAGTCGGAGTGGATGTTTTCAGGACACTTTTGTTTCTCATCATAACAAGATTTGTGAGCTTTCGAGAGGGAAGCTGACGTTCTGCAATCCTTGATTATGCCGATTTGGCAGAAATGATTTTGTGGCAAGGTGTCATATGAGGGGGCGCTTCAATAGAACGTAAAGAGATCTAGTCGCTGCAAGGGAGGGAAGGTCAATCAAGTCGACAACAAGACTCTGTATACAAGCAGAAATTGCGTTGTTGAATAGAACGTGTCAGAATGGATTCACACGTCTTATACAGGATGGGCCTAAAGCATCGCTTCAGTCGGCCACTCCCCAACTGCGAATCGCCTTCGTGGAATCGACAGAAGCGTTTCTTTGGCACCTGCTAGTCCTGGATGATAGGCAGCCAGTCAGTGCCTGCTTCTCTTGAGGCCCTACGTTGCAGGCACTACGATCCGAAACGCTGAGGTCTCTCCTGTTTCCGCACTAATCGCAGGACACCCCCTCTGGCGTCCATCACGATGAAAGGCCTTACTTTGTACACGACAGATGAGAACTGGGAGGTAAGGTGACACTCCGCTCTCTTGCAAGCCTGCGAGCACACCTCAAGGTGTTTTCGAGTGTGCCTGCCACTTTCCATACGGACGTTTAAAATGTACCCCACATCTTGCCGCCCACGGAAATTGCTTGTATGCAATGTGCCGGTAGACGAAATTGCGGTACGCCTTCTGAGCACTTCGCAAAGAGGCGACGTAGTTTGCCCAGCTCATTTTGAGGATATACCTCCAGTCTCTCGTCTCACTTCGAGACTTAGGCAATCGTGCTTCTTTCCGCTATGGTTTCATGCAAACAGACTCTGCGTCTTTGCAGGTGGTCACTCTGAAGGAGGCCCGAAGCTTCAGCGACAAAGGCAAGCAGGGCATCTTCGTTTTCAAGGTGCGGCTCACCATCCCTGCAAAACGCTCCTTGCCGAGAGTTTCTGATTCATCGGCCTCGTCTCAGCTAAATACACTGTTCTTTGAGACAATTCACCGTTTGACTTCGTGTGCGTACATTGGTCCCCATGTCGCATACGGCTGCCCCCCGCAGTAGCGTGCAGTGTCAAAGGATGTCACAACGAAAGGAATAAGACGGGCGTTGGCAGGATTGGGTACACTTCTAGCACCATATTTTCTCCTCCGTCACACAACAAGGAGAGGCAAGCTGTCAGCAACTTTCTTCCCACTAAAGCTTACGTCATCTATGTATCCACTGACGTTATCTCTCCCTGCTCGTAGAAGTTGAAATGGCAGTCCCTGTCCATGGACCTGCTTCTCCACCCCAACATGTTTCTCGCCAACTCCGCCCCAAGCAGATTTTCAGTCACCCGAGTTGACGTCATCTATCTTTCTGCTGACGTCATCTTTCCCTGCCCGCAGAAACTGGAATGGCAGTCCCTGTCCATGGACCTGCTTCCCCACCCCAACATGTTTCTCGCTGACTCTGCCCCAAGCCCCTCTATTAAGGGCAAAAAGAGGAAGGAGTCTGGCGCGCGGCGGGTCTTCTTTGGAGGGGAGCGGCTGGTGGACAGCATCGCGGGAGAGGCCCACGTGAGCCAGCTTCTGTCGTTCATTTTGCCTTTCAGTTTGGACGTGTGCTGGCTGTCTGCAAGGTGGCAGTTCTGCATACGTTGGCAACTCATTCCTTTGGTACTGTCGGCAATTTCACTGGGAAACTCCTCTCCGTCTATCTCGTATCTTCACTTTTTTTCAGCATCCTCTTTTCTCGTGACCAGTGTCACTCGATCTCTCTTAATCTGCTTATCATACTTTAGACCTGTCGGATCCAGTCGCACTTCAGGGCTCGTCGTCAAGTCGCGTTTCTGGTCCGCATCAGCTTCTTCGGGCTCAACCCGCGTCTTGAAAGAGCTTTTTGAAAGGGGCCTCATTACGCGATCTGAACAGTAATGCAGATAAAGTGCCTCTCCAGTATCTCTCAGTGCAAGTGCCTAGATTGTGATACATCCTTAAGATCCGCTGCAGATCACGATGGCTAGGACGGAAAAGAACGAACCCGTCGGTCTGGAAATCGAGCTGAGCATCTCGGAAGCGCTGGTTCCCGGCCTTAGCGAGCCAGGTGAGACGCCTCTCCAGTACTTGCTTCAATCAAGGCTCTGACGGTGACAATAAGGTTCGGCTTTGACCCAGCACTAAGAGAGATCGTCTAAAATGCAACAACTTTCCTTCCTGTCTTCCGTTATGAGCTATCCCTCTACCTTCCCAAGTGGCCGTCTCACCGCAGGCCTGCGAGCGCTCCTCCGCTTCCTGACCGGTATCTCGGCATGCATCACGCGCGGGGTGATCGTCAAAAGCTCGCCCAGTGAGGAGGCGGCGTCTAAGTCGCTCGTCACTGTGCAAGTCGACCACGTCTTCGTGCGCATCAAAGAGGCAGGTGAGGGGCAAGGGAGGGTTGAATCTGAACGCTATTGAAACAGGTGTGGGTGGCTTTTGGCGAGACCAGCATGGGAAGATGGGCGTGTTTGCCTTTTACATTGGGCAGTCTTTACTGGGGTAAAGATCTGCACTCAAGTGCAAGGAAAAGTTGGTGTATTGCAGAGGATGTACAGTAGACGAGCGTGAAATAGAAAGCACATGCAAGCTTGTAATGAGCTGAGATGGAGCGGTTCTCCTATGCCAATCAAGCAGTCCGATCGCTGGTTATGCTGAAGTAAGACTGTCCTTTTCGTTTGTCCTTCAAACCTTTCCTTTAGACGGCTTGCACCAAGATTCCAGAAGACCGTCTTTGAACAACATTTCTTTCTTTTGGGACCGGCATTAGGTAGAGGGCCGTGTTTTTAAAGGAACTCTTCCTCCTGCAGACTTCCAGCTGGAGCTGCTGCTGCAGGCGCTCCGTTTCAGCAGGGCCTCAGCAAAGGAGGGGAGGGCCACCAAGTCGCTAGCCAAGGTCGTGGTCGGCAGCATGTTCCTAAGGTGGGCTCATATCTACTCAAACTCACCTCTGTATTTTACATAGAGCTTCTAGATTGGCCTAGTACTTAAGACATCCTGGCACTCTTTCTTCTTCTGTGCAAAGCCTCTCAGCTCTTCAGTACTTTCAATTCTCGCCTCTTCTCCTCAAGTGGACGTAGAGACTTTCGATGTGATTGGTGTTGGGCAGCAAGTCTGTGCTTGAAACGGCCCAAGCACTCAAAGAGCTCGAAACTTCTTTGCTTCTATTGCAGAGATGTGCACTCCAGTCCTCCTTGCACGCTCATCCAGCCCAGCATGACTGGGGTCGCTGCTCCAGATGCGACTCCTCACTTCGGTAAGTGGTATCTAGGCAGTGCCTGTCACTCGTTCTGGTGGATTGGTTGTCTGTTCATCTGGAGACTCAAATGTGGTGAAGATCGAAGCCACTAGGTTTTGAACGGATTTTGCCGGGGGCGAAAAGGACGTCTCGATCCCAAGAGAACACCGACGCGAAGCTGACATCCAAGAAATTGATCAACGTCCAACTTTGTTCTAATTCTTCGTCCGGGCGAGTCCTCTCTCCTCGATTCCGGAACGAGAAGCAGGGCAGAGCTTGTGCCGTCAATCTTATGCTTCACTTTGCAACCCACCAGTTCAAACATTCTGTTTTCAACCACTACAGCTCATTCCGTCTTCCCCCTTGCTTCTTCAGACCTCTGCATCTCACTCAATCTGTTCTTATCATTCAGCTCTGGACCCCGCCTTCAGCCGCGTCTACCCCCTGTCCGCGTCCTCCGACGCCCCCGGTCCACCCCCCATGCTCTTCCTCTACGCCGCAGCCACGAGCCCCCCCCCGGCAGCGCCAAAACTGGCCAGCCAGGGGCTTATTCACATCCACCCGGTCAAGCTGGAACTCGCCGAGGGGCCCCTAACTAGAATCGCATCCTTCTTTGCCGACGGCGTGATCGTGAAGCGGTCCGCGATCGCACCGGACCCGCCGGACGGCGCGCTGCACTCGATGCGCGTGCTGGTGGACGAGGTCGATGTTTCGGTGCACGTCAAACTGGACGCTCAAAGAGGTAAGCCTTTCGATCATGCTTCTCTTTCCTCTCCTGTATGTTCTGGATGCAAGCAGCGTGACACGGTCGTAGCGCGACCCCTGTCTGTTACGAAGTCTTCTCCTCCCCTCACCGGCTCCCTAGCGCAGGATTTTCTTTTCCGCTGCTGAGGCTCTCATCAACCCCCGTCTTTCCATCCAACTACCTTAGGTTGGTCGCCGCCATCCCGTCATCTTCGACTCACTCCCCTGCCTTTTGCAATCTGCGGCCACCCGCTGCTTGACGATTACTCGATCCGGTTTATCTTTCGTTTCCCCTCTCATAGATGTCCCCACCATAGCTTGCCTACCCCGCCTTCTGGTAGGTCACCAACCTTTCTTTCTCCCTCTCCTACAGGTGCGTCATCCGTCCCTTCTCCTCTAACCAGACAACCCACGTTTCGCACGGCGGCAAGCCCCTTTTCGACGGATTTTCCGGCGCCCCCCTGACTCCGCCCTACAATAGGTTATGCTTACTTCATACACTCCCCTCTCCCTTTAACAGATTCGTCACCAACCCGTCCCTCGTCTTCTAACCAGGCCCCCCGCGTCTCGAACAACGGCGGGCCCCTTTTTGACGATTTCTTCGGCGCCCCCCTGATTCCGCTCTTTAATAGCTTATCCTGGATTCATACGCTCCCCTTTCCCTTTCACAGGTGCTTCACCTGCCGGCACCCGGTCGACGAATCAGACCCCCCGCGTCTCGGACAGCGGCGAGCCTCTTTTCGACGGTTTCTCCGGCGCCCGCCTGTACCTCGCAAAGCTTGTGGCGGTGCAGGACCCTTTCCTAGGATTTAGGGTTTTGGAGGTGGACAAAGACCCGGTCTGCTTTTCGTTCTGGGAGGGCCAGCCAGTAGACGCCAGCCAGCTTAGGGCGTCGGTTCAGGTGATCTCCCGCCCCTTTCCCTCACTCAATGTCTCGTTTTCCTTCTTCTTCTGTCGTTTTCTGTTTCGTATTCCTACTTCGCAGGTGAATTTCATTCATTAACAATTCCAAGGTGTTGCCTTCTTATTTGCTCACGCTTCGAGAGGGCCAGCCAATCAACGCCAACTGAGGACCTCCTTTTGCGGACGGTCTCGTTTTGTTCTTCTCTCTGGTTGGATGGAATTGTTCCCTGTCTCTCCCTTTGGTCCTTGCCCGCCCGGCCCCGCTGTTTCTGAGTAGCAGCCTTCGTTTCTGGTGCATCTTTCAGAATTTCGTTTCTCTCCGACGTCTTCTCGGGTCACAGGACATCTGCCTTGCTACCAGCAGATGGCTGTACTCTTCCGTTTTTATTTACTTCTCATTAACCCTTATGAGTAAACACTTGTGTTCATTCTCCTCCTTTCTGCGATCCTTTCATGCAACACTTTCTCCCGTGGCACGCTGGCAGAGGCACGAAATGGCTTTGTATGGATAAAGCCCTAGACCCAACCTCACCTCAAAGGGCAAGGAAGCTCAGACAACGCATATTGTAGCCTATTTCCCTTTCTCAAAGACAAGAAGAGAAAGTTTTTGGAGCCAAAAATAAGACAACTGACAAGGGACACCTAAAAAGAACTGTGTTTGAGCGCTCAGCGAGATCGGCATCCCCCCTCAGCCGTAACGATTGCGGGCCTTTGCCTAGCCACCCTTCTGGTTTACTAATACACTCCCAAACCTGCTTGCTTTTCGATCTTTTCGATTAGGGAGATCATCTTTATAAATTCCTCCCAACTCCCGACCCCCGCAGGCCGCACATGTTTGCGTAGCGCTCGAGCCGGCCGCCGTGCCCGAGCAGACGAACCAGAAGGTGCCACGTGGCCAAGAAGTGGGCACGTGGGGCGAAGGACTCTGGCGGTGCATTGAGTTGCGGGACGTGTGCACCGAGGTCGGCATGGTGTCAGCAGACGGGGGGCCGCTCGGGACACTGCCCCCGCCAGAAGGCATTCTTAGGTGAGTCCAAAAAAGTTCAGGATTGCATGCAACGTGTCTAGCACCGGTTTGTTATGCTGAGACAAGAGCGGGTGGGGGCCATTGGGATGCTGAACTCCTTGGGGAACACTAGACTGTTCAGTTGAGGTGGAAATCTTGGTGAATCAGAAACATTGTTGTTGGCAGACGTGCAAAAGCAGGAAATGCTTCGGTGAGGCGATCACGCTGCAGGCGCGCCTTACTTTTGCAGAAGGTGGCAAGGTCACAGCATGCCATGTCGGCGTTTCTTTGTCGAGCCTGCTGATTCTGGTCCCTGTAGATTTGCACATAGAACCCAAGATTATCGATTAGAGGAGGTGTCAGCCCTCCGGTTGACAAGCAAGCTCAGTCTGACAGATGAGCTTGTTGAGCGACTTGGCCTCCAAGAAGTAGGGCATACTAGTTGCGGGCCACCTTACAAACAATAAAAAGAAGGAAATCCAAGCATGCCACTTTCGGTTGTCGCTTGACGTTACCTGCTTGTGACGAGCAGCTTGATAAGCTAAAACCGAGATTCCCACAACAAGATTAGGACCAAAGACGGGTTTGGACTATGCATTACCCTCCTGCGAGCAGACTGCGATAATGCTAAAATTCAGCTTGACGCCTCTTCTCGCCTTTCCCCCAGGCTCGGAGTCTCAGTCGGGCAGTACACGTCCAACAGTTCCAAGGCCCAGCTCCTCTTTGTCCTGCGCATGGCGGAGTTCCTTCTCAAAGTCACCAAGGCCATGCGGCGCGCCACAAAAGGAGACTGCGGGCCCGCATTCACACTCCCGGGCGAAGAGGAGCCGTCCGAGTCTGACTCCGACGAGGGTGAATGCGCCCCGGAGGAGAGCGCCAGAAAAGACGCCCAGAAGCAGCGGCTAGCGAGCGCGCCGTCGTTCAAGTCGGTGGATTCTTACAGTTCCATGGGGTCGTCTTTGCTGGTGAACTCACCCCCCGCCGACAGCGCGGTGGTCGTGAAAGTGGGAAGCCTAGAGCTTCAGCTGCTGGAGTCTTTGGGGCGGGCTGGCGAGGGGCCCCCTCTAGCGCGCCTCTCGGGGGGCGGGATCAAAGTGGAGGCGTCGCATCGAGCGCTGGGGGGCGCGGCGGCCGTGTCGGTGGGGGGCAAGTGGAATGACGTCAGAGTTGAGTGCGTTGACGTCAATGAGGGGGTTTCCGATGCGGCGAATGGACTGGAAGAAAACGGCTTAGCCGGGGGAGGAAGCGTTGCAGTGGATTCTGAGGAGGGGGGCTTGGCTGGGCTGGAATTAAGCACGAGTGGCGTTCCGGGGGGTCTTCTCCAGCCTTCAAACGACCCCCCTGGAGAAGCGCAAGCCCCAGAAGTTTCGCCTGGATGGGCTGACTTCTCGTCGGACCATGCCAGGGCAAGTTTTTCGGAGACCCCAGAGTCTGAGACCGATCCCCAGCGGGGGCCAACTTTGGACCCTGCCGAGCACCCCCCCTCCACGAGTGGAAACGGAGATACCCGCCCCCCACTCCGCTCTGTCTTTTGGGCGGGGCACCGGGGTATAAACGCGGGGAAGCAGTTTATCGACGGGTCAGTAGTGTACGTCATACCGACGGCCGGAAAGGAGGGCTCGGAAAGCCTGCGTGTGAATGGACACGTGGCAGGAGTGCGCATGGGGGGCAGCATGGCTTACAACGAGGTCAGAATGTCGACTTTGCTTTGCTTATGGGTTCAAATTCTTTCTTGGATTTTGTAGATGCTGCGAGCTTTTGCGTTCACCCAACGTGCAGTGATACTTCCTCTCCTTGTTCATCTCTGTGTGGAATGTGTAGGGTTGGCACAGACAAGTTTGTGAGTCTTCTGCGGTTTCCTTGGGAAAAGTTCTGACCCGTAATTGGAACATGGAAGAAAGTGCAAGCGTGGGCGTACAACATCGGAAACCATTTTTCCCCTCAAAGCGTACTTCACAGATAAAAGCTGCCGCAAGTCAGCACCCCATAGCGCTGACGCACATTCCGTTGCCTCCACTCTAGTTGCTCCTCTACCGGACGGGCATCCTCGCGTCACCGTCCGAAGGCGGCCCGGGCGTCGGGCGGACCGTCCGAAGCGCTCTCAAGGCTCTCAAAAAGGGCGGGCCCCTCTTCAAAGCGCTCGGATTACACGCCTCCAAACCCGTGGTTAGCCCCAAACCCGCCGTCGAACCCGCGGCACCCGGCCCGCTGCAGTCGTGGGACGAGAAGCTGCCGGACGAGGTGGATGTCGACGTGGCGCTCCACGATTGGTTGTTTGCTTTGGAGGGCGTCGGGGGGGCGGCTGGGCGGGGAAGTGGAGGGGGGGTGGAGGACGTGTATTCGCATTGCTGGCACTCGCGGTTTGAGAAGCTGCAGGTAGCTGCGGATTCGAGCGCCAAGGGGGGGAAGAAGAGCGCGCCCTTGCAGGAGGTTATGGTGAGTATTCCGATAGGTGGAGCAAAGGACGTGCTTGGTTGCTCTGGAGCTGAGTTGGGTGAACGGAACGTATCAAATGAGTAGGGTTTCCCTCGACGCTGAGATGGTTTTCTGCGGCGAGTTTCTGAACCTTGACGGGGTACAATCGATTATGGTGCCTTCTTGCCCAAATCGCTAATGTAAAACACTCTCCTTTGGTGTAAAACACTCTCCTTTGCATCTGTTGATCTGTCAGGCAGCGTCTCGAGGACACCGTTCGAAGCACAGGCGCAACTTTTTAGCCACTCCGGAATATTGCGGGGGTCTACGTTAAAGCTCGAGTGCGAAAACGAGGCTTGAGTGATCCTTTGTTGTCAGCCTCACTCCTGTGCCCCTCGCTTGCTTCACCCCGAGACGTCTTCACTGATTTCTACATTGATTGCGCCGGCAGATTCAGATCACACTTGAATCTGTTCCAAAAGCCGTCACAAAACCTCGCTTAAAATGCTTCTCATCAGACCTGCGGTTACCCAAATAAAGTTAACTTCTCAAGAACCCAATCCTTCAGGTTCGGATAGAAGGCCTCCAGGCGCTCAAGCCCACCACCGGAGCGTCTCCCCGGGCTGCTTGGAACCTGCGCTTATTTATCATGACCTGACTGGAGCTTAACCTCTTTTCGCAGGTCCGAATAGAAGGCCTCCAGGCGCTCAAACCCACCACCGACGCGACGTCCCCCGCCCCCGGCAGCGGCCTCGCCCTCCAGCTAAAACTCGTCGTCAACCCCCCGAGCCCCGGAACGATTGCCACGTCACCCGACTTTGTAGTTGAGGACGTCAGCATCGCGGTCAGACAACCCGTCGAAGCGCAAGCCACCAAGCAGGAGATTCGGCACCTGATCGAGCTCTGCAAAGCGGAGGCGGCGGCCGGGGAACGGGTCCTCAAGGGCACGCTAAAGCTTCTCGAGGGCGTGGGCTTGTCCGCCCCTGCGACCGGGGGAGCTTTAGAGGTTCCCAACGGGCTGAGCGCTGAGCGGCTGGTGGGGTCGCTTTTGGGCACGGGCGGCGAGGTAGAAGGGGAGTCAGTAGAGGTTGAGCTCGAGAGCGCGATAAGGGAGTTGGAAGCGCTGAGCTGCTCGGAAGAGGAAACAGCGCGGTTGCAGGGCGTCAGAAGCAGGCTCGAAATGTTGCGGGGCAAGGTAGGGGCTCTCCAAAGACAAAGCAACCGGACAGGTAGCTTGGTTTGAAGCTGAATATGTTAATTGCATGAGCAGCCCGCTCATTACTGTCACAGGATCGGGGTTCGCTACTTCCAAAGGTGTATTTTCTGTCATTGGAAGTGACAATCTGCAGATCGCAACCGGTCCAAGATGCGGCACACTGCCTAACAGAAATTCTTTTTTGAAAAGTGCATGGCTGCATAGGCACGCACTCGATTCGTATCTCCAGCTTGAAGCTTCAGTGTTTTGCCTCTCATGCAAGCCGTTTGCCCTAAAGGCGGGCCGGCCTGATATAGCATGCGGTAGTGGAGGAACAGAAATTGCGCCCCTCTGGCAACTGACCGAAACAACGAAAACCTCATATGCCTGGACTTAGGCAGCCGATTGCTCGCATGGCATTGAGGCTAAGCTTTCAATTTGACTCGATCACTGCAGAGGGCACAGCGCGGCCCGGCTGCCCTCGCTGGCCCACCAAAGTCAACTGCCTATTTGCATCAACACGATTTAAGGCTCAATATATGTTTAGGCATAGCGAGTACATACCTTTTAGCCCACGTTTGGCTTGCCACACTGAGGTAGGTCGCAGACAATCATTGATCATACACCTAATTGCCTATGGCCCCCGTGGTGGCTACCGTCCATCGCCGTATTTGAAAGAGACCGTCTCTTTCCAAACACATGTCCTGACCGTCAATGGTCGGACCATCATGTCATGACATGCATGCCTTTGAGCAGAAATGCTTGACTTAGCAGGCTTGGACTGGCGCAGCATGTTGGCGCCGGAACTCCCATGACTTTTCGTCGTGTTTTAGCTTGACAGCGTACTGAGATCCACGACGGTACATACTGTAGCTATCACATTCAGGGCAGCAGGCTGCGGCACACGTATTATATGCCAGATCGTGTAGGACACGTTGGATAATTAGTGGTACGTCCGACTGACAGTGCCGCCATGGCTACACTGAACTTGAAGTATGATGCATCCATGCACAGGGTACTCAATTGCAGATTACGTACTTCCGATATTATAAACACGGGCCTGATTGTTCCGAAACTTGAAACTCAAAAACTTATCTCCAGTGACTCGTTCAACTGAAGAAACATCACAGATGTTGCAAACTTACGTTGATCTGGATACGGCCGAGTTCAGGCAATTGTCATTGAATGGCTCATCATCACAAAAGTTGATCCGCATACCTCCTACATAAATTATACAGCACACGAAAACCACTTAACTAAACACAGGCACAAAGACCATGCCAGCCATGATGCGCACTGGAATGAATGGTTGGCGAGAAACTCAGCTTTTGTGATGTTTTTTCTCTTCATCACTAGTATCAGCACAAACGAATCCCATCTACTGATGACAAACCGTCTGCTGACTGACCGACATTACAATGGCCGTTATTTTCCGCAAAACCAGCTCTACGATCCAGATTAAACAGCAGGCCCCATCGAGTACCCTGCACCGCAGGATCCCTTCCTCCTGCGGGCAAGTCTCCTCTACGAAACCCACCACATACTACAAACGCTGCTTCCACTGGAGCCCAAATCCCTAAACCCTAAACCCCCCCGCAAATGCGTGGAACTCCCCGTGGCCTCGCCACCGCCTATCCAAAACCCAGTTCTGCCGCCGCTGAGCTAACAGCAGCCTACGAAGAAACGGCAGCGAGGGAAGTCTTGCGAGCATACCACTTTCCTCCGCCACCCAACTCTTGGCAGCCCCCTGGCAGTGGGGTTCGGAAGGACCACCCCCCTCCCCCCACTCCTGCAGGCCCCTTCACTTCTTCTTCTGGGCGGCCTTGGTCACCTTGGCGCCGGTCGCATCCTTCTTCTCGACGGCCTTGATGACACCGACGGCCACGGTTTGCCTCATGTCACGCACGGCGAAGCGCCCCAGGGGGGGGTACTCAGCGAAGGTCTCCACGCACATGGGCTTGGTGGGAATCATCTTGACGAAGCAGGCGTCTCCGTTCTTCACGAACTTGGGCTCCTTCTCGAGCTCCTTGCCGGAACGCCTGTCGACCTTGGTCAGGATCTCCGAGAACTTGACGGCGATGTGGGAGGTGTGGCAGTCCAGCACGGGGGCGTAGCCGTTGCCGATTTGGCCCGGGTGGTTCATGATGATGACCTGTGGAAGAGGGGTCACCGAAGTTAGTGAGCAGTTCAGGCAGACCATTCTTTCCATTACTGTTCTCTGGAAGAGGAGCAGACATGTTTAAAGTGGCAGCAAACATGGGATGAGAAGAAAGCAGACTAGTAGGAACCAAATGGAGTGGATTATATTCATCAACAGTTTGGATAAAACAAAGGAGGATTGAAGACGCTACAGAAATGAATTTTTTTGAGAAATGAAACAAGAAAACCAGAAATGAAATAGGAAAATGCAACACCTTGCACTGTCCAGGAAGAACAGGTCTACGGACAATCCGCGAAACCAATGATTGCCTGATCCCAATGCTGTACACTTCTGCTCTCATAGGTTGCATGACCACCACTGCAAAATACTCGACCATTTGGTGCATACATGAAAGGGGTAAATCAGTGATACCACGCTTGTCACATGCAAACTGCATGCCACCAGCCAGGCTCCGCCCTTCCTTGTCACAAACCCTAGCTAACTACGCCGCATTGTAACTAAGACCTATGCCATTTTTTGGCATTAAACCTTCACTATAAAGTTGGGGCAGGGCAAATCAGCACTTCTTTGAATGCAAAACCAAGGAAAAAGAAACCCTAAATCAATGGAAGGACAAGCTACGAACTAGTTATGGCATGCAGGAACCAGCAAGCCGTATCTGCATTTTGCGCGGTCTGCGTTTTGCAGTGCCGACAAAATGCAACAAACTGCAGGCAACCATTGCCAATTAACTGCAGCGCTGGTATGAGTCATCCTCGCAACGCCATCCTACGACCATCTCAAAACCCCGATTTAAATTTCTGACAACAGCCCAACCAGCGCACAGATCGCTTACCTGGGCAGTGAAGTTGGCGCACTCCTTGGCGGGGTCGTTCTTCGAGTCAGAGGCAACGAACCCTCTCTTCAGCTCCTTCACCGACACGTTCTTGACGTTGAAGCCGACGTTGTCGCCGGGAAGAGCCTCAGGCAGGGACTCGTGGTGCATCTCCACAGACTTGACTTCAGTGGTCAGGCCAGAGGGGGCGAAGCACACAACCATACCGGGCTTGATCACACCGGTCTCGACACGGCCCACCGGGACTGTGCCAATACCACCAATCTTGTACACGTCCTGGAGTGGCAGCCTGAGGGGCTTGTCAGAGGGACGCTTGGGCTCAGACAGGTTGTCGAGAGCCTCCAGAAGAGTGGGACCCTTGTACCAGTCCAGGTTGGTGGAGCGGGTGATCATGTTGTCACCCTCGAAACCGGAGATGGGAACGAAAGGAATCTTCTCGGGGTTGTAGCCGACACGCTTGAGGTAGGTGGACACCTCCTTCACGATTTCCTCATAGCGGGACTTGCTGTACTTGGGGGTGGTGGCGTCCATCTGCAGCGAAAGTCAGGAGTTACGGTGAGCATCCAAGATGTCAACAATTAATATCAGAGGCAGCGCTCAATCCTCGCTAAATTCGAAACTAACTGTGGCTGTGTTTCAGTGACCAACACCTCCTTTTGAGGAATATGCAACCCCAGGACACATTAGTGAGCAGCTGATCTGGAGAAATTTGCTTTGTGTCCATCAGCAGGGTACATGACACAGACGAGATGGGTTAAGTATTGTAGCTGCAGAAGAGCACCATTACCAAGCAGCCAACTCCGCAGAATAGCAAACCACTGCTCACTGCTCCGAGCATCCCGCATAACGCAACTGTTGATGTAATATGCAGAGCCAACTGCAGCTAATGTTTCAACCAAAGCTCCTACAACCATTACCATCTCCTATACTTGGTACTGACAACAAATTGCACCAAGCAGTCAACCCTTTGTTTGTCCAGACCAGTCACTGCTCACCTTGTTCAGACCGCAGATCATCTGCTTCACTCCCAGAGTGAAAGCAAGAAGAGCATGCTCACGGGTCTGGCCATCCTTGGAGATACCAGCCTCAAAACCTCCCGTGGTGGAATCAATAATGAGCACAGCGCAGTCCGCCTGCACAGATGGAAACTCTGTCAGAAATCGGATCCATCTTCTAGAGATGTCAGGCATACCCAACAGCACAAGCATCACAAACCTGAGAGTAACTTAGAACAAGGCGACATAACATGCAAACACCTGTGCAGCTGCATATAAATGCTCCAAACATGTTCATCTCCTGCACCGATACCCTGGATCAAACATGTGCCTGGGAAAGGGAGCTGTACCTGCGAGGTCCCCGTAATCATGTTCTTGATGAAATCGCGATGTCCAGGGGCGTCGATAACCGTGCAGTAGTACTTGGTGGTCTCGAACTTCCACAGGGCAATATCAATGGTGATACCGCGCTCGCGCTCGGCCTTGAGCTTGTCCAGCACCCAGGCGTACTTGAAGGACCTCTTGTTCATCTCAGCAGCCTCCTTCTCGAACCTCTCAATCACACGCTTGTCAATCCCACCCAGCTGGTAGATCAAGTGGCCGGTGGTCGTGGACTTGCCGGAGTCGACATGTCCAATGACCACAATGTTGATATGCACCTTCTCCTTACCCATGATTGCGAACTGCAGCAGAGGAAAGCAAACAGTGAATATTATGAGCAGAAGCAGCAGCACCTGCTTCTGAACAAGCAACAAGCCATAACAACGAGGATGAGCGGTAATGGCTGACATACACTAAAACACCCTGACAATCTGCTAACGAAGCTTCGAATGCAAGCAAAGTTGATAATGCAGAGTCCCCCTGGAGAAATAAAGCAAGAAAGGCAAGCAAGAGCAGGATCCTTTTGCAAAAGTTGCAAGTGATGATAAAAACTCCCTCGAAAACCTTGTTTACTCACCGCCACAACACTTGGACACACAACTCAAATCAAAAAGGGGAAAGAGGCAAATCTCCCTCACCTTTGATAGCGACGAAGGCTTTGCTTGTAAGGCTGTGCGTCCTGATGGCGCACGCAAGCAGTTCGCAGGAAGATCGAAGCAGCAAAAGGACGAGGTGTATTTTCTTCTCAAACAAGGAAGAATCTTGCGAAGCAATGCTGTGGATCTACGGTTTTATAATAGGTCTGCAACCGTCCGATGTAGACGTCGACGGCACCAAATGTCACGCAGCATACAGCAATTTTTGCAGATCTGGTTAGACAACCCCGTCGACCCGGTTTCTGGGCTTCAGTCGACTGCGGGTCCTCCTGGTAACCGAAGGGTTACGTCGCTGTGGACCGGTAACCTCCAGGTAACGTATTAATGGTGATTGGACGAGCCTGGAAGGTTGTAAGCCGTTGATAGGATCGACGGCACTGGCTCCATTGCTGAAAACAGACAGCTAGAAGAACGTAGGAACCGTCGATGGTAAGTAAATTGTATCTTGCGGTCAAAGAAGGGTTGACTGCGCTGAATCATGAGTGGAGTCCCGCCACAAATCCCGTGAATTGCGAACGCAGTTGTCAAAGTGGAGCTCAAATTCTTTGAATTCACAATGTATACGAGTATAACCGTGATCATACAACTTCAGAGGACGAAGCTTCAAGAATAACGATAATTTACATGCAAGGACAGCCCCATTCTTATTGCACTTATGAAAGAAAACATATTCCGTTAAAAGTTTGATAAGGCTGCCTCAAAAAAAGCAGCAATATGAATGCGGAGTCGCGTTACTCCCATGACAATGAGGAAAAGCCGCAGGGTGCCCCATTTGGCATGATCATGGCTGCCGTGCCTTTTGAAGAGCTGGCTACTGGACGGGCATTGGCGCTCACATGGTGCATTCCACGAGCTCACTTGCCTGCATTTGGTGCTTTTGAATGCTGAGACAGCTGAGGTAGTGAGGATCTATTGTTAGCTAAGATTTCAAAGAGTGACGAGGCCTCGCAAGGGTAAAAAGCTCATCTTCTTCGTGTGGAAGAAGGTGGGAGCAGCTGGCTCTGCGGTGTATATGTCAACCAGGTTGAGATGCAGAACAAACAGCCTAGGGCTTCATGAAGGACTTATAAGGACTAGGTGGAGCTCACTATTATTGGTTGTCCTAAACAATGCCGGTGCGGCTGGTGGTATCGCTTCTCTGATGGCGCTGAGCAGAGCTTCTTGTTAGCTGCACATGTGAGGACACTGGCCCTTTTCTTTTTGGCATTGTTGCAGGATGGTCTGATCCGATGTTAAGATGGGTAGCCGAAGTTCCGTTTCCTTCTGATAGGACGCAAGCATGCGAGTCGTCACAAGTTGGAGGTGCCGCCCCGTGTAGGAATCTATGGCCACCCCAACTTCAGCATTCAGTCAGGCAGCGTTGCCTAGTGGCCATTCTCTCGGGGCATAAAAGCTAACACACTGTCACCAGATATCTTAGTTCTCCAGTTTGAAGTTATCTCTCAACTCAAGTGACTTGGAGACTGACATAAAATCTGGACACTGGGAAGCAGTGCACAGTTTTAGGTGGTCCTCACTGCAGACACTGTGCATACTCACATCAGGTTGCCTCATGCAGATTGTTCGGAGGGCGTCGCAAGGTCCCACCAAGGGTTTCCTGGGGTCTTGATGGCCCAGCAATCCCCAAAGGTGATTAGAACCGCTGTCTGTTCAGAGCCGGAGAGCAGCGCACCCCCGTCTATCAGCAGTAGCAGCAAGGTGAGCCTCCGTCTAGACTTGTACTACTTGATCGTACTCTATGACTACGTGATTCTAGTCGTATGACCAAGTCGTTCTAATTGTACTGAGTATGTGATGCAGAGACCGGTGTCTTGTGCATAGATGCGATTTTGTCGATCAACCTCGCCTGGAGGTCAAGGGCTTGGGATGTTGCTTTGCCGTTACTCAGTTATCCATGACGTAGCTTAAAATACATGCAACTGTTGTCTTGGCCATATCCTCGTGCTCCTCCTCTTCGCAACTCTGAAATGATGTTCACCTGCCAACTTGTTGTCGAAGCCTTCATCAAGCCACAAAGTTCCTCCGTGACCAACTTGTCACTCAGAGGAGGATGTCTTGCGAAGAAGAAATTGTGGAACTTTGACGATCGGCACTGTTCTGTGCCTCTGCATTGCCATCCTTGGTGTCTGAAGGTGCTGCTCAGCAGATATGGCCGTATGTGCCTGTCGGTGTACTCTTCCTAGATGCAGAGGGCTGGGCGTGCTGTGGTGTTTGTCCACGGAGGCCTTACATGAAACCTTAGGCGAGTTAGCTTTTAGGAAGAGCCTCCTCAACACTTTGGGTACTTCAGTTCCTTCTGATTACTTTGACTTTTCGTGCCGTCAAGAGCCAACCATTCACCCCGTAGTGCTTCTCTGAATCATCTGTCCACCTACCTGAATCTTCCGAAGCGCCTTGCAGGTGTGCTGATTGCAGACTGGCGGATTTTTGCAAAGATGGGACGAACAAAATAGGCACGCCACAATGCTTAGGTGCCCTTTCCATTTGAGAATCAACGCCTTGCATGCCTCTGTTTCCCTCCCATGCATGACAGGAAGCTCGCGCTTCTGCAGGTTGCGCGGACGATTGACGGGGTCGGTCACGCAGGAGAGCAGTCCGTAGTGTCCAAGGCCATGTGGAAGCACCAGGGTGGGGGGGTGGGCCGAGGCCTGCCCCACTCTGAGGCGGTCCGAGTTCACGAGTTACTCGAGTGTCCAGTCTGCACGGAAGCAATGCTGCCTCCTATCTATCAGGCAAGAAGCCACTGTTCCTCTTGGATTTCTGCAATTCGTTGAAGATCTTTGCAGAAGTCTGCTGGTCGCTGGGGGCAGGTTCATGCATAGACTTCCTCGAGGTATCCTTCGCTTACTCAAAAACTCTTTTGTGGAGGTCTGGGTCCGCTGTAGTGCCTTGTAAAATCGCTTTGCTCATCCTCGCTGAAAAGTTGGGACGAAAATCTGTCATGTTGCCACAGCATTGCCTGTGGCTCTAAGAACATGCCGAACTGACACCCTCCTGCCGTACAGCAAAATTCATTTGACAGTGCCGCATGTTCACAGAAGTTGACAAAGCCCTTGTGCAGTAAGTAAGTTGCCAAGTGTCTGCCCACCTGTCAGAGTTCAGTGGACTGCAGTAAGTAAGTTGCCAAGTGTCTGCCCACCTGTCAGAGTTCAGTGGACAGCGCCAATGCCTCCAAGCATGTCATAACGTGTTTCACTTCCTTCTGCAGTGCGCAAACGGGCACACGCTGTGCCACAACTGCAAGGAGCAGGTGAACCACCGGTGCCCCACGTGCCGCGTGCTCCTCAACTTCAATATCCGCTGCCTCGCGCTCGAGAAGGTCGCCGAGTCGCTCGAGATGCCCTGCAAGTACAGCAAGCAGGGCTGCCACGAAGTGCGCACCTTCTACGACAAGGTGAGGAACTGGACACCGATACTTCGAGTACTGGTGTTGGGTCGTTAATCTACTATCGAGCCTCTTTATGACAGGGGTGTTTCCGAGGAAGATCCGGGAGGGTTCCCAGTAGAAGTCACCAGACGTAAATCTTGAAGATCTCGATGTAACAGTGCATATGCCGAAGGTGCCGTGTTGAACCCCTTGTTGACGAATCCGGGAGGTTATTAGCTCTTGTGTTGCGACTCTACTGTCCTTTTTGCACACCAATGAGGGATATGAAGTGACGTCTGGATCGAAGCAACGTTGCGCTCTGTCTGAGTATGTTCAAGGCTCTGCATCTCTCTTGGGCGAACGAGTAGTACCGTGGTTGAAACAGACCACGAGTACAATAAAGAGCAGCGACCTGGCCGGGACAGACCACGAATCGAACAAAGAAGCTATCTGTAAGATGAGTGACTCCCCAATCAAGCGACAATATAGATTCAAGTAACTGAATGTGGAAATACAATAAGTGAGGTTACCGAACTGCCTGCGTAAACTTCGTTGTGACAAATCAGTGAAGAAGGTTGCTGACTGACCCCTCTTGAAACCCCCAGGTTAAGCACGAGGCCGACTGCACGTTCCGCCCGTACAACTGCCCCTACGCCGGCTCTGAGTGCCCCGTCAGCGGCGACATCCCCGCCCTAGTGTCCCACCTGCTCGAGGACCACAAAGTCGACAAGCACCACGGGCCGATCTTCAACCACCGCTACGTGAAAGAAGACCCGCTTCAAGTGGAGAACGCCACGTGGATGCTGACGGTGTTCACGGCGTTCGGGCAGCACTTTTGCCTGCACTTCGAGGCGTTTCAGCAGGGGGGCACGGTGCCGGTCTACATGGCGTTCCTGCGGTTCATGGGCGAGGAGGACGAGGCGCAGAGCTTCCGGTACAGCCTCGAGGTGAGACAGCAGGGCGTCAAGGCTTTTCCGGTTTTTGGGGGGTGGTGTTACAATCTGAAGGTTTTGGTCCGGGTTTTGGGCTCCAGTTGGCGAGTCTGGCTTTTGTGCAGGATTCTTAAGCGTTTCATGGGCAAGGAAGACGAGGCGTAGAGCTTCCGATAGAGACTGGAGGTGAGGGGCGGAATTTTAACAGTTAGCGGAACTCCCTTTTGTGTAGAAAACGTAGAGCGTCTCTGTACTGTGCGAGACTTGTGGTGCAGCCTGGAGGTGAGGTGGCAGTTCGTTTTCCCGGCCAAAACTCTCCCAGAGATGCGTCAGCTTGCTTGAAGACTATTCAGACCTGCTGGTACTGGCTGACTCTTGTCCGGGTCTGTTGAGAGTTGAGAGCGACAAGACTCGCCATGAAAATCGACCTCTTTGGTGTCCGCTGTTCCCCCTCATTGCTGACATGTGACTAGCATCCCCCTTTTCCCCAGGTGGGCAGCGAGGGCCGCAAGCTTATCTTCCAGGGCGTCCCCCGGACCATCCGCGACAGCCACCGGAAGGTCCGCGACGCGAACGACGGCATGATCATCCCGCGCAATTTCGCGCTCTTCATGTCGGGGGGGGACCACAAGGAGCTCAAGCTGCGGCTCAGCGGGCGCATCTGGAAGGAGGTCCAAGGGAAGGTGCAGGGGTACGTCTTCTCGGACGGGAAGAAGCCTAGCTGACGAGGGGTCTCAGAAGGGGGAGGAAGAAGTGCCTAGCGAGGGGTTTTGGGCGGCGCCCAGGAAGGGGTTTAAGGAGGCATTTGGCGGGCGTGCTTTTGAGAAGTTGCCGACGGAGGACAGGGTGGCGAGCGTTTTGGGATGCAGCCGGGCGGTTTTGGTGGACTGGAAGCGCTTAGCAGCAGGAAGTGTAGTGGTGGTTGGAAGAATGCTAAGCGACGGGTTTGGGAGATGCTCGGTGGCGGTGTTGTTGTGGGCGCCTGGCACGTGCGTTTTGGACAGAGACTGTTGGGTTGAGTAGGGGTGGACGGATCTGAGGTGGTTTGTCGACGGGTTGCGGGTTTGAATTTGAACAGCGGCGCTGTGGAACTACTGAGACGGCGGACGACGTCGGCTGGCGAGTTCTGAGGAGCTTTGCCCATAGCTGACGGCGCTGGTCCTGAAAGAGTGGTTTTGCAAATGTTAAACGGGCTGGGAAGGTGGAAGCTTTTAGTATTGCGCTTACCGGGGGCCGCAAGTAAGACAGCGTTTAGAGTGGTTCTGTTTCCAACGGTGGTTGCGGTCAAGATGTGTTGGGGACACTGGCTGTTCGTCGAACATGTGGATAGGCTTGTCGAAGTTTCAAGTAGGGCAAATGCATGGCGCACTGGAGATGACAGCGGCGCAGAATAACGAGTTTTCATGTACAGACATAAAGCTTGCGTTTGGGTCGGCTGTTACCATCTCGGTGTAAAGCCGGGGGATGATTGAGCAACAAAGAATTGGTTCAACTTGCCTGGGTCAAGGCATGGATCGAGTTGGTTTGGTAGCGTCGATTCCCAGCAATATCTTCTCTATTGCGACACAGCCGTAGTAGCATAGGTTTGATGTCCGCGATTATAGGCTCAAGGAGGGGATGCGATATGTTGCTGCAAGTCAGTTAGGTGGCGGGGACAGTATCAGACCCGGTTGCGAACGTGCAAGAGGGGAGTATTGTTGCAAGGAAAGAGAGGTGAACGGGTAAGAGCGTACTAGGAGTGGTTCATAGTTAGCAAAAATCGAAGCAGTGTAGGTCACCTGAATAGGTTCCGAGGCCGATCGCATCTGCTTGCAAGAGCTTGTTGCCATCTTTGAGATCATTGCATTGGGGTACAATTCAGGTTTTCATTATTCGGGCGAACTGAACAAGGTAAATAGGGACCGTGAGTCTCAGTAAAGCGTGTGCAATGACTAGGCAGGCCGTCTGATATTTGGAGAGAGGTTGGATCTGACTGCAATCGCGATACCGACTTGTAATCGTTGTGGCACACTCAACGTCAGTCTTGAACTTAAGCGCTTACTTTCAAGCCTCTTCCGATGCAAAACTGGGGAGCCTCAGTTTCCAGTCACTGCCGCGGTTTGAGTTGCATCGCATGGAAGTGCTTTGGATCCGGCCACTACTTTTGGACCCGGCCGGGCCAGGCCCGTTCAATAATGATGTAGCTAGCTCGATCTTGCAGATCGAGCTGAAAGCTGCATGATTTGTCATGTGGTTGAGCCTAGCTGCGCGCGCCACATGGCCTGTCTTTGGTCCGACAAGGCCGCGGATCGGTACATGCATACAATGATCGTGATTGATATATTGGCCGCCAATTTACATTGATATATACTGTGCCGGGCTCAGTATATAGTATATCTCTATGCATGTACGTTCGATCTTATACTAAGTTAACTCGTCCCGGCCGGGGTCCATATATAATACTATTAGGCATTTCAGTTGACGCGGCCGCTGAATTTAGGCCCGCCCTGGCAATAAGTGAAGTTTGCACTGCTCAGGGCCCAATAGGCGGCAGGGCGGGCCTCCGATCTGACGCGAGTTGGCACCGGTGCCAGACTGAGTCGGTTGCAACATTGTGCTCCAGGCTCATTGTTGTGTTATTTAGACACGCGCGATCCAATCCTTCAGTCGATTTTCAACCATCTGTACGTCCATATGATTCCGGGGCACTGCAACTTCTGGGGCACTGGCAAGGTAATTGCTGACCGGCAACTCAAGGCCATAACTTATGCCTAGCTAGCTCATATCATATACCGGCAGCGCTACAATGACATAACTTCCATCCCGAACTCGGTCCCGCACGGATACATGTTGCACCACCACTGGATACATGCAAAGCTGTACGTATGTTGTATGCAGAGCTCATATGACAGACCCGCGTGTTAACAGTAGCGGTGACGATACGATCGCATGCAAGAGATCAGCATACGCATCAACGATTGGTTATTCGATCTCGTGACATTTTGTGCCAGTCGCCTACAGGCGCGGTGAGACTTAGCAGGAGCGTCCGGCGAGCGGAATAGCAACGCGCATCTGTGTCCATTGTTGTCAGAGCTAGGGACGTAATTGTACATCACGTGATCGAGCCTAGGTTTCTTGAAGCTATTGCCGTTTGGAAGATTCTCACTGTCAACCAGGTGTGCTCGACGTCGTTTTGCTACAGCAGGTAGACCCTTAATCCTCAGCGGCGTCTTCTTGAAGCGTTTCACGGACTCGATACTCTGCACGACAGGCGGAAAGGGCGTCAAACAAGTGGTGGCAAGTCGATGCAAACAATCGGCATGATTTGGATATAGCCTGGGAAGCCGAAGTAACGGTCAAAGCAACGCCGACACCTTTGCGGGAGGTAAGATCGTCTACAAAAAACCACAAGGTACAAAGAGAGGGCTGTGGAACTTGTGAGTTCAAAACAGAATCCCTCCCTTTTGTTTGACAGGCTGCCCGACAATCAACCGATCAGCAGACAAGATAGTGGCCGGCTCTTCCTGTCCTTTACCTGCCAGGATACGCTCTTTATACCACCGGACGGTTCTCCCCCTGCCTTTCTGCTCGAACATGCTGATATAAAGCCCTTTCAGTTCGTCTAGCGTCATGCTATCCAGGTCCACGTCAGTATCCTCCGCGGCAGCCGGCTTTCCGCTTGACAACTGCAAGTTATGCAGCTTTTTTGACGCTCCTTCTGCTGTCAGATCTGGGGTGCTTGCTAGAGGGGATGGCTTTGCGGGCGGGAGGTTCCCAAGCGGAGATGGTGTCGTTTCCTTTGCCTGCTTCTGCGTCTTTCGACCTCGAGAGACTGCCGGTGCTTCGGACTTTAGGGGCTCCCCTGCCGGTGAAACGTTCTCCTTCCCAGCTCTCCTTGAGGCTGGACCAACCGAGCGAGTCCAATAGCAGGGTCAGTTTGAACTCTTACGTTTCGAAACTTTACGCATCGATTTTCCCCTGGAATGAGCAAAGATTTTCCCCTGGAAGTGACCAAAGATGACAAGCTCTCTTCGGATACCCGTCCTCTTACGAGCGAAATCTTCATTCTTGGCTAGGTGGCTATCAAAGTCTGGCCTCCATAAAAAGATGGACGAAGTTCAAAAAGCAATTTGTCAGAGATACTCACGTGCTGCTCGCCCTTCGCTGTCGCTGATTTTGACCACCGAGTTGTAGTGCTCATTGATATTTTGATGAAAAGCCAGTTGAATCTCTTTCGTGTCCCCTTCGTTTTGTATGAGCAACTTTGGCTTCTCCCCAAGTCGATGAAGAATTATGGAGACCTTGTATGCCTTTGACAGAGCCGCGAGCTCAATGTGTCCTGCCAAACAAAACCGTGGCATCATTTACATAACAGCAAGACCATCTTTCGAAAGGTAGCAGACACAAGATGTAAGACACCTTTGGATAAGTGGAATGGGGCGGACACTACAGGGGTGGGTGGCTTTACAAGATGGGAAGGCTTGTTCAGAGGGACATCAGCTGGCTTACCTCCCCAGCGTCCATCTTTGCGCATGAGTGCACAATACTGCACATGGAAATGCACGACTACGTGATATGGTGCTAGACCAGTCGTTTCTGTTCCGAACCACCTAGTCTGAAGTAGAAAAATGGAGCAGGCTACACTCAGACGGCGTTCGTTTCTGCATAAAGATGTGACTATTCTTTGCAAGCACTTATGCGATTGATGTGCAATGCAAGTCAACCAATGCTGTTGAGACGGTACCTTCTTATATGCAGGTCTTGTCGCAGGTGCAAGAAAGGAGACGAACTCTTCTTCATGTTTCAGCATGTAGTCCACTGTTAGCTGCCGTACCTGCACAAAGTACAATGGTACTATGTGGGGGACTGCTTGCTGGAACTGCAAGACATCTGGAAGAAACCTTTGAAAAGCACAAAATCAATCCTAGTTCAGTAAGCATTTATACATTGCATCCTCAACTTCACATCGAACCTTGATGGATCCAAAAGTACCTTCACAGAGTAAACTAATCTGCAATGCTGCGACAAAAGCGCTTGCTTAAGACGCCTCTCTTACTTCCATATGCCTGTCGTCATCATCAAAGAGTTGGTCAGCCGCTGCTCTGAACATGCAGTTGCCGTCTCCTGCAAGACGATGTGTTAGACAGACTGTGTAAGTATCAAAGGTTCACAAGTCTGCTATTTCTTTGTATAAACTCGCAGCATTTGGAATCAACTAACTTCATGTGATGACCAGCAGCGATACACAACCAGTCAACTGATCGCCGGGGTGGCAAAGAGCTGATGTCTGGCCATGCAAAGCCAACATCAGAACAGCGCCAATTAGAGTTGATTGATATCCTGAATGTGGTGCCAACCGCTCACCTGCAATAGCTCTGATCTGTCGTTTTGCTGTTTGCAATTGATCGTTGAACTGACGCAGCATTGCCTCATTGCTACCACGTGTTGCCCTCCGACTTCGCGTAGCCATGTTTGTCGATAAGCTTCCGTCAAATTTGCTGCCACCCTTGTACGCTACCACCAAACAGCAAACGGCGTATCGCAAAACCAGATTGCCCCCGTGTCAGCATTCTTTGGTGCAGGCCACCTGCCGCAGTTCTAAACTACTTTGCAGAGCATTTTGATAGAAAGACACATGCCTCCTCTTCTCCCACATACATATCTCGCCACGGATGGCACCTTAGGTCCACCAATGGAAGGTCGATCTTCCTCTTTCCTGTAACTTGTAAGGACGCATTGCTTTTCAGAACACCGTCCCACACTGACGTTGAATAAAGCAGGTTTTTCCAATGAGACGGAGTCATCTCCAAGTTCCGCATTAGGGGTGAGAATGGAGCTTGCAACGCGCGCGTCAGTATACTAGTAGACGCGCAAATTTAATTTCCTGAGCGCTGGTCGCATGTCAAGAAATGCGCGTTGTTTGTTTGGTATCGCGCTTTGAGGGAAATCAGATGTTGTGGACCGGTGGTGCATCTCTTTTCAGAAGGTTGCTCAGAGGCACACAAGTTTAGCTTGAGAGCAACATGCATTGCTGCGCAAAGCAGAAGGTTCCTGGTCAAAGAAGCACCTGATGGTTCCGCTTGAGCAGCACAAGTAGAAGTGCGGTGCGACATGTGACGCATTCAACAACATGCCAATACAGCTGCGCAGAGCGTGGTCCGCAAACTAGGAAGAAGATGTCAGTGCGCGCCTTTGCTGCATGATTTGCAGAGCAGGATTGCAATGGAGCCTAACAGGAAGGGGGCAGGAGGTCCAAGAGAAACTTCTGAGAGCATTGCAGAGAATGCTGTTCATAAGCTGCCCATGCGACTAAGCAGAACCATGTCTGATCAGGCTCGCAGGAAAGCCGAGAAGGATGTGAGAGAATCTGAATCGAAGGACAAGCCTGCAGCAAAGCTGACCTCAGGCAAGGCACAAAGAGTACTCAAAGATGTTACCAACCAGCGTTCTGCCAAACATGCAACAGAACTGACAAAAAAGGCTTCTCAACAGAGCAGACCCGTACCCATAGCAGCAATCGGTGCAGGCCAGGCCCCGAATGTGCATCATGCCACAACAGCATCAGCCAAGGAGGCAGAGGTTGCTGTGGCAGACACTTCAGAATACAAACCAGAGAGCGCTTCTCTGCTGGGCAGGCCTCAAGAAGCTGACAGTTCCCAAGGTCCTGTAGAGAAGGGAACAACAAGTGTCTTACCTGAGGGAAGAAGTGGCTTGCCTTTCAACACAGAAGAAAGTCCTGGTATTCAGGTCCTGGAAGAAGGCGCGGGGGCAAATGCAGATACTGAGCGGAAGGCAGATTCCAAAGCCTCCATGAAAAGCAAAGCCTTACCTCTGCCGGTCGCAGTACCGCTGTCAGATACCAGGAGGGAGCAGCGTAAGCTAGCAGCAGCCATGAAGGTGTTTGAGCAACTGGAGCAGCAGCGCTTGCAGCAGCAGGAGATGGAACGAAAAGCTCAAGCCAAGACACTACACGTTCAGCAACTCTTGCGAAAGGCCATGAAAGGTTGGAAGTCTATCAGAAGCAATGCGTCTTTGCCTGCCAATCCTTCTAGCTTGGGTGTTGATGAAGCAGGAAAGTTGCAAGCTCCTGGTCCTTCTGAACAACAAACTGTCAATAATGACATCAAAGGCAAGCAGAAAGTCGAAGAAATCACATCTGAAGAGGGGCAAGTAAACCACAGGCCAAGGCAGACTGGCAAACGGAACGGGTCAACCTCCATGCCTGCTCCCAAGGTGGAGGTGCAGTCCCCATCACAGGCAAGTCATTGTGTCCCGTCTTTGGATTCCAATCGGTGAAGCAATTGTTCCTTTTGAAACACCATGCATCCCTGATGGACTGGGGCTATGTGAGAATACTGCATGACATATGAATTATGTAGTAATTAACTTCATTTGATTGTCAATTGCAGGCCTTCGGAAGTGCAGCAGTGGCGATTGTTGACCAGAGTATTCAGGAACTGAAGGAGAAGCGGAAGAAGCGCGTTCGAACAAGGGGACGGCAAAAGCAGGTAGTGAATCCTGTCCATTTAAGGACGTTTGAGAGGAAACTCTCCTCTTCATGTAGAAGTCTTGAAGACCTTTTCCAGATTGAAATCATGCATTTCAACATCAGCTGTCAACTCATAGCTGAGCACTCGTGCATGCAGGTTGAGCGGGTCAGAATGGTTGAGAGCATCATTGCGCTGTTTTCGGAGCTGAAAGGTACTATACATAGATCTGTGCCGCCTGCACCAGATTGTCCACTGACTCGCGAGCAGAGTTTGAAAAATTGTTCCCTTCCCATCAGCGCTTGAGCAGATTATTGGTGCAATCAGGCCGATACAGGGTAGAATACTGTCAATCATCTCTAACTCAAACGTTCTGCTGCCAACTGAATGCAGGAGAGGAACTCCTTGACGATTTTGCGGTCCTATTCAAAGGAGAGGAAGGTATGTACTAAGAGGACTCATACATTCCGCTGATCTCATCGGCAAGTGCTGCTGCTATCATGCAAAGCAAACCGTCAAAGGTTGAAGGCTTTTTACTGCGTTCTTACTTGAGTTTTCTTCCTTCTGCAGGAATGGATGCTGGTGGCTTGACAGCCGAGCTCTTTTACCTGTTTCTTCTTAGCTGCCTTCGAGCCGAAGGTTGGCTTGTTCACTAGTTGTGCCGTCGATCTCGACGACAGCCGTTCCTGCTCTGAACGGGTCACGCTGCTTCCGGCTGAGAGAGGTATGAAGAGCCTTTCGTTGCTTCTTCTTGTACACTTAGAGAAGTTCTCGGCCTGACTCAGAGAAGTCTCAGCCTGCAGGCCGGGCATTCACGCCACGGTGATCAGCCCGACCAAGGATTGACATTTCTGAGAGTTGGAGTGTTCGTTTGAGCTTCTGAACTTTCTAGAAGAAAAAGCATAGCTTGGTTGCCAAGTCGATTTGTCAAGCAGCTCTTCGCTAACAAAATTGTTGATGCAATTAAAAAGCAAGACTTTTCGATGTTCCAGGGCCCGGCACCGACAAGAAAGAGTGGGCAAACACGTTTCTGCAGATAGGGAAGGTCTTCATCAAGAGCATCCTGGACCAGGTAAGTAACGTGTCAACTTTTTGTGAGTGCTCAAATCTTCCTCGGAGCGGTCTTGCTTTCGTATGCATGCACGCCGAGAGACTCCGCCCGCGGACCTCGTTGCACAGAGGGATGAGTCCGCATCCTTGTACAGGTTCCTCTACCAAGGCGTCTAGCTTCCACCTTCTTCAAGTTCGTCCTCGATTGTCCCCTCGATCTCGGTAAGCACGAGTCATGGACAACCAGCATAATCTGTCCTTCAACTTTCACAGAAGACAGCACCTCTGCTTTGGCTGTGCATCCGCCGACCTATTCTTCTTCTCTTTCATCGTTTCGACGAATGCGATTTCTTTGCCCGCAGACGATTTGGGGTCCTTCGACCCTCAACTAAAACGCTCGTATGAAAGCATCCTGGCCGCTACTTCTGAGGTGAGTTGCCTTTCTCCGTAAACGACCAGACAGGTACGAAACCGGACAGCATATCTGCACATAGCGAGTCCGCTAACCTCACTGCTGCTCAAGGGGAGGTTGTGAAACCACTTTGTGATTGATACAAGTTGCTGACTGATTTCTTTTCTTGCTCAGGATCTCGACAACATGTGCTTGTCCTTCGACTCGGTCGGCGACCCGGCGGACGCCGTCACTTCTGAGAACCGGGCACAGTTCGTGGACCAGATGGTCTACGAGAAGCTCCTGGGATGGTAAGAATCATTTCGCAAGGCTTGAGCTCTTGAAGATGGATGAACATCAGAGACTGATGATAATCCACCTCTTCGCCTGATGAGGATGCAGTTAGCTGCACATCGGGACTGCAAAGACGATTGTCTGTGGAGTTCGACCTTTCGTCCTGGGCTTTCCCTGAAGTCAGAAGCTTCATTAGTTATCTTACAAACGTTCTGCTTGAAAGGCCTGTCGATGTCCTTGACAAGCAGCCGCTTTTGCAGCCGTCTGGAAGCGCTGGAGGCCCTCCGCGAGGGCATGTCGCAGATCGGTCCTCTCTACGACCAGCTTCGCACTCTATCACCCGCTGCCTTGGAGGTAAGGGATATACCCCACTTAAGCAGACAGATCACCTCAGAGAAGTTGCATAGACACTTTTGCACTCTTTGTCCTTGTCAAGTTCCGTCACGCTCTCGTTGTTTGACACTTACGAAGTGTCGAGGCTGATGAGAATTCATTTCGACTTTCAGGACCGCATGTGCGGAACAGAGGTGATGAACGGCCGAGACGTGGCCGTCTTCCTCCACTTCCCCCCGGGAGAGCTCTCGCAGGCGGTCCACAAGGAACAGCTCCTCGCTCTGCTCGACGCCTGGGACCAGAGCACGCTCAGCGACTTCCTCAAGTTCACGACGGGCCTGTGCGTCCTGCCCATCGGCGGTCTGAAAAACCCAGACGTAAGTTCGAGTCTTTTTTTCTAGATGAAATGCAACGGAATTGATTGTTTCGGTTATACCAACTTGTATGCTTCCTAGGGTGTCTCTCTCCCATCTTCTGCAGCACAAGCGGGTGTATGAGAATCAGCGACCGGTTGTTGTTGCTCCGGGAGTGATCAGGCAGAAAAGTGGCAAAGACTGCAGATGGAGAAAGATTATCTTGATGCAAAACTTGAGTGCTTCGGTAACGGGCTTGGTTGCAACGCACTGCGAAAAGGCCTTCTTCTTTTCCCAGTTGGTTCCCCTATATAACGATATTCCTTTGACGGCTTTCGGTTTTGCAGGCCTCTCCGAAGCACATGATCAAGGTGGTCTCCTGTACGTGTGCATCGTGCAAGAAGAGATCCGGGCCTGCGAAAAGCCCGTGCACCCTCCTACCGCAAGCCAGCACGTGCTTCTGGACCCTGAGATTGCCCGTGTGCTCGATTGCAGAGGTAACTTTTGAAGTATTAAGAAAAAGCAAAGAAGCTCTTTGACGTCAGTCGACGTGGTATGATTTTAGCACTTTGCTCACTACTATGCTCATGACGTCAAATTGCAACTGCATACTCTAAGGTAGAGCTTGTCCGCTAAAGACCGTGCACTGAGCTTGTATATTCACCCGCACAGCTGATGTCGAGTGTCGCGTCCTCTCTCAGGAACTCGAGAAGAAGCTGCTGGTGGCCTTCAAGTGGGGGAACGGTTCTTTCGGTCAACTTTGAGACCTGTTCGCGACAAGGACGTTGTGAAATTCTTGAGAGCATACTGGCTGGGCCCGGGCCAGTACACTTTGCGTGTACAAACTTGAAAGAGCCGCTTACCTGCGATTGACCATTGAGCCTGCCACTGTTAGGATTTTCTTTGGCACGACCTTGACAGGACTGTGCAAAGCCGCGGATGGTCGATCCCGGATCATTTATGTTTCGAGTTGGTTCAGCCTATCCAATCATGAGAAGCTGGCTCAGCCTTGGTGCCGCCGCAGCGCCTAAACAAACTAAATCGCAAGCCGAGCCTGGCAAATGCAAGCTGGTCAGTGCATGTCTCACCGCGGCGGATCGAGCGAGGGCAGACTCCGAGATTCATGTGGCGAGACGGTGCATGGCTGTGCGCATATATATGCGCAAAGCCTGCGCGGCGATTGCCAGTCGGCGGCCGGCCCGAAACGTTGTTTGATGTTAGTTAGTACAGACCGTCCCACCATGGCCGGCCGGCGCATGAGTGCAGCACATAATGCTGCATCATGGGCGCAGGCCGGCGCGGCCGGATCGAGTCCGACTGATCAGGTATCCTGTATATATTTATGTGCACTGCGCATACTAAAATCGGATATAGATTAGAAGTTGGTCACGCGTGTTCCGGGCGGATCGGTCCATGGACCATGTGTCGGTGTATATCGGAGCCGCGGCGGCGCGGCCGCGGCCCATGGGCTTAATCAGTGCTCAACTCGTTTGATCAAACCTATGGCATCTAACCGTACTAAGAACCTGCATTTGCCAATCGATCCTGCACCTGAGTCTTTGGTTGTGGCATAGCTACTTCGCATTTTGTCTGTTTCTCAGTGCTTAAGATTCGAACATGCCGTTAAGTTATTTAAGGATACAGTGCTCAGCTGGCCCCCGACCTCAATGACCAAGGCAAGTCTGTAAAGCGTTACCAGCTTTTCGACTTGTACCGGAGATATGCTGCCAATTATCATTTGTTGAAGGATGCAGTGGCCGATCTGGTACAGACATCATGATTGAACAGCAGATAGAAACTGCCTTTATCAATCTGCTTTTGAAGAACGCTGCTGGAGGATGCAATTTAGGAGCGGATAGTTAGTGTCAGCTTTAGCTTCCTGTCATCCAATATACATTAGACAGTGTTCTGTCTCCAAATTACAGTTGACTTTGCCGACTGCGAAGATATAAATACAGCAACATGCTCGCGCACATCTACCCCAGGTCTCGATTAACCATTTTCAGTGGCATCAGCCAAGCCTTTCAATTACCTGGTTATATGTGTCCTACTACTTGCAGCAACAAGGCGGAGTTGCCTAGTGACCTTTCATGTGAAGACGTTGCAGAAACCTCACCCGAGCGATGATGTCCGCTGCATGAAATGGAGACGAGTGTCAATAGCAGTCTTGGTAGTTGAGCAGTTGATCAAAGTCTACACCTCTCAATACGAAGTCTGGTAGCAGAGCCTTCTGAAAGTCTCCCTTCGGAGACTGATCTGTCAAACAGCGTAATGACTTTGCATAGAAAGCTGCCAACTGGTCAAAGCAGCCTCAGCTTGTTGGCCGACTGTTTCTTGATTGACGTACCTGCTTCCTCCCCCGAGTTCGTAACAAAGACGTAGGTCGACGTCTCGCCCCCCTTTTCATTGTAGACAAGGCTGATGCTCATCGGCTGACCTTCTACCGGCTCTATTGACCGGACTTCTCTGATGAGGCGTGACTTCTGCAACAGGAAAGCAGCACAACATCAAACAAGCCCCCCTCCCATCGACATTGCAGCCCGCAAGAGCAAGAGCATGCACATTCTTTACATTCTTCATCTGTTTCCCTTCTCCACCTTACATCAGACATCACTTTTGCAGGCACCAATTGTTTTTGGGTAAAAAACGCGAAGCTTCCGAAGACCTGTTGTCAGCAGCACAAAGTGGGCTGCTCAAAGTCGATGCTGCTGACATGCTCAGCATTAGGCGCTTCAACAGAGAGGCAGAAAGCCCACCTTCTTCACTGCCCCGCTTTTACTCGACAGAAGGCCGCCGAACAGCCCGGCGCCCTTCTTGGCAGACTCCCCGTCCGCCACAGCCTTGGGGGCCAGGTTATAGATCTTATCCCGGTCGATGCCCATCTTCCTGAGCTGCCGGAACCCGTGCCGGTTAACCTTAACGACGTCAAACTCTTTGTACATGCTCGCGGAAAACTCGTCAAAGTGGAAGCAGGAGGCGGTAGCGACCCTCGGCTCTGCCTGCCGCGCAGGGGGGTGCGCTTCTGACTGTAGCGGCAGAGGGGCGCTCGCGCCACTCTGGTCCTCTCTTAACCCAGGAGCAGGTTTAGAGGCAGGGTTTGGAGATTTCGTTGCGCCGGCCTTTTTGACCAGTGCAAAGAAGGTGCAACCGAAGGAGCCAATCTGCTGATTGGCACCCAGTGCGGGAAGGCCCATGTCTGGCTCATCGTCATCGACCTGCAACGCGAAGGATACGGAGTCAGATGAAACCTCATTCAAGCGTCAATCTGTGCAAAGAAGGTGTGCAATTGTTGAAAGGTTATTTGGGTTTCTATCCATGGAAGATTGTGATTGAAGAGAAGCAAGAGGTGCTGTGAGCTCCCTGCGACCAAAATGCCTGAACAAACTTTGGAAGAGAGTTGGTCAAGCACGTACATCAAGCATTGCTACATAATGGACATCTCTCATCAACAAGAGCCCATTTCAAGAGATCTACTGGAATCAGGAAGAGGAGGAATGAGATATAGCACGTTTCATGGGCCAGTTCTGTGCAGATCTGAACTAGTACAAAGGGTCAGCTGATTTGGGGCAGTGGCGCTGACACTGGACTTGAAGGAAGTTGGATTTTGAATGATTGTACGATGTATGATTGCACCTAGTTGTGCATAAACAAAACCAATACTTACTCTAAAAAAGAAGCTTGACATGCTGCACATGGTGTGTGACACAACAGTACGCTCATGCGCTCATACAAAACTCAAAAGAAGCTGCTCTTTGATTGAAAGTAAAAGCAACTATCTGGAAGTAAACAAAGCCAGTACTCAAGCATACAAGAAGCTAGACATGCTGCGGATGATGTGACATAAGAGTGCGGGGTCCCTTACCATCCTCAGCTCAAAGCCGCTGCTGTCGAGCTGGGCACTCACAGATGATCCATCTAGCTTATGGAGAATGGAGACTATTACAGAAAGGATCGACGCGTCCTTAGGAACAACCAGGCTCAGAGGCAAGTCCACCTCTGGTGCTGACACCTTGATTGACATCAGCTCGCTGGAAGGACGCCTTTGGAACTGCAAGGGCCAAAAGATCTGAAGCTTTCAGAATTGAGACGGCTGATTGAAGGGTCCCATCACCGCCTGATTGGTAAGGATACAGCGATATGAATCAATTGTCACAAATTGGAATAACAATCGGAGCCCTGACTGAAGGAATTCCGAATCATTACCAACGGTAGAAGAACGAATGTTTATGAAGAGAACTGCTGGTTTGCCCCAAGCTAGATACGGACAACAATGATCAATGATGACGGGACAGGAGGTATACCTCACATCAGTGTCCAGACTACTTGTGATAAGCTCAGGTTACGAGACCAGGTGGGGTTAGAAGGGGTGAGGTGAGCATAAGCGCAGACATTGGGGTAAAGTTTCTCAGTTTTAGCTTCAGTAACGATATAACTGGAGCTCATGTCAATCCCTCTTGAATATTGTTACCCTCACCTGCGCACTAGATGCCCCAGGACTGTTGAACAACTCGCGCAGCGCGGACGTCGGTCTCTGCCTTGGAGTTTCCTTAACATCTTCCCGGGGAACAAAAACATTGGGGGAAGGCTTTGAAGCGGAGAACTTGACCACTTTCACCGCAGGCGTGTTGGGGGTCTGCGGAGTCGAAGACACAGAGCGATTCCTCTTGATCTCCTTGACCAGGGGAGGAGTCCGAGGGGACGCTTCTGGCTCCTGCGCCCCCCTTTTGTTGTTCTCCTGGTCCCGGGAGGGGGAGGCCTTGATGGCGATCGGCAGAGACTTAGCAATCCTCGCCATTGAAGATGAGTAGTTTGGGGAGAGGATCGCGAGCGGGATGGAGATGACTCTCTGGCGCGTGTCAAAGACCAGCGCGGCAAGGCCAGCAATCTCTTCCTCCGAGCAATTCATGCTGACTGATTGCACCCGCAAGCGACTGGATCCTCTCTGATAAGACAACGGTTACGACTCCTGGACAACCATCAATGAACAATGCGTCCGCTCAGAGGATTCTCAGCAACGGGACAGGCTCTTCGATCAGACTGTCAACGAGATCAGCTTCTAGGTGAGCCGGCTCCTCTTGACAACAGTCGTGCTGCCATTGTGAAGTTCCTATCCTGCTCCTGAAGGCTGAAGATGGAAATGGCGGTCACTCTTCTGCTGTGGATCACATTTGAAATCCCCCTTGCGCGGGGGACCCCAGAATCCAGATTCGAATGCGGGAAGAGGTGACAGGTCACGACTCACGATGCATTCATGTGATCATGATGGAATGGGTCCGATGATCATGATTGAGCAGTCCCAGAACCGGGAGATGTATCCCGGGACCAAGAAGAGCGAGCTTTTAAGCCTTCTGGTGGGCACCTTTAGCTCTGGCCCTTGTGCTCGGAAAAAGCAGCAGAGTCGCCAGCAAATATACAATTAATGCCCGGGAGATCTGCCCCGCGCAAGGGCCGCGGCGATCAAGCGAAAAGTACGCAACCCAGTCGTTACCACCGCCAGCAGGAGACTCCTGAGTCGTTACCAGGTATCGGAACGGCAACATTACGCAGGCAATCGCGACAGTAACACCTTTGACCATAACAAAGGTTTGACCCTGATAACCAGAGGGAAACCCTAAACCATCCTGAGTTTGGACCAGGCGTTACTTTATACAGGTTTCGCGCGCCGTTCGCGAGTCGTAATCGCTCAGGAGCCGGTCACTGGCACTGCCCGGTACATACCAGCTCAGCCGCTGGACGTACCGTCCACGGTCCAACTCAATCATGCAGTCAACGGCCGCGTTTTTGGGAGGTCCCGCCACATTGCACAATCGTCATCATCCGAGGATAGTCAGCCCGGAGCCGTCCGTTTCCCTGACTTTCAGTTCATTCTTCCGTACAAGTTATGCCAGTTATATGTGCGGTTAGTCACATTGCTCGAGTTACCGGTACCCTGCGTACAAAGCAGTTCTGCCTTAACCCTTTGGGTTATGTCGGTCAGTCGATACCGGCCTAGTAAATAAAGACACTGGCTCTTATACCGCAGTAGCAGGCATTGAGAGCATTCGATCGAACTCCATGCAAATCAGACACACACAGTCCATACATGTATGCCATGAGAAACCCATGGCCTACTTGGCTACGGCGAGTACGAAAAGAGACCATCGATCATTGAAGAACATCACTCCTGAAGACCGAACATTGCATCATGAGATGTGAAGATCTGTACGGCCTCTTAGTAGGGGCTAAAGGCGTCCTGCGAGTGTTTATGAATGAAGTCGGAAAGAGACTATTCAACCAAGAAAATGTTCTCTTTTCAAAATGCCATTGCCACAATCATGCTAGCAAAGCGTTGGAAGTCTCGAACGGGATTAAGGTTGATGTTTTGCATCATGCATAGCATAGGAGCTTGTGATCAGGAGACGAGTGGGAGTGTCTCCAAACGTGCTAGAACCACCCCAAATTGCCGGCATGTTTTCCCACGTTCTTTTGCTATCATGTAAAAGGGTGACTTTTAGTTGCTCAACCTGCCATTTCAACATCCTCGTCAGTCTTTGGTACCTCGTTGAACATGAATTGCTCTTGGTACTCTATCAAAAATTGTGTGGAGCGCTTGACGTCTAGGAAGAGGGTGTACACCCTGCTGATATCCTCTATCTCTACTTCCGTCCCCTTCCTTTTTTGGCACGCGAGCGACGCCGCCGTGATCAAGTGGATCGCATACCGGAGCGACGTCTCGTGCCCGATCTTCGTCAGAAGCTCCCGCGCATCGTCGCTCATCTCCACGTCTTCCTCCTCACACCGGATGTCCAGAATGGCCCGGATCTCCGCCTCGCTATACGGCTCCGTCGAGATGATTAGCAACCGGTCTAGGAGGTCGATCGGGATGCCGTGCGGCGACTTGTAGTTGGTGCCACGTATCCTCGTGATGCCCCGGTTGGTCGCCACAACTAGAATGGGCGACATTTCGTTCTCGAGCGCCCGGTTGAGGAAGGAGAAGCACTCGATGTCGAGCATGTGGACCTCGTCGATGAAGAGAACGCCGGGCACGATTTCGGCCTTGCCCTCTTCCCGCCACTCCGCCACCTTGCTGTCAATCTGCTCGCGCACCTCCGACCGGATCTCGCCCGTGTCCCCCGCAAACAGCGCCAGGAAGCCCTGCGTTCTGCAAATCGAAAGGAGACACGTGTCAGCCTGCTAAATCCTCTCGGACCAGGCCGAAAGACAAGCTTCGTGCTGCTGCTAAGGCGGTTTAGCCCCCACTAACACGTCATTTCTGTTTGAGAAAGACACGCAATCCTAATCCACCTGCAGACGATCCAGATGAAAAGTCCGCAAGGCTGACTGGTGACAACGTTATCCAAGAGCACGCTCCTTGCTGACGTCACCGATCCTCCAGAAGGCGTTTATTGCTGGAATTAGAACGAGCCAGCAGACACATCATTCAAAATGAGAGCAGACAGACCGTGCTCCGCATTGGTCCTCGGAAAATAAAACAGGCATGAGTAAGGCCTGAGTAAGTAGCTGAGCATTCCGGACAAGGCGAGACAATAGGTTTGACTTCTGCTGGTGTACAGCACAGGTTAAGCAACCACATCGACAATATCAAGGACCGAGGATGACCCAAATACGCATCAAACGTTACTAATATCAGTCCGACTCTCAGCAAGCGGTGCTCGCTTCTCCAAAGGGCTTTCGCGTAGTTAAGTAAAGCCCGGTTCTGGACCGTAACAGCCTGAATTTGAAAGTCAGTCGAGTCCGATCGATCACGACGAACTGGGGACCGAAAACTTGGATCTTGACACTTTTGAGCGGCAAGAGCTAACATGACAGGGGACTCCAATGCAAAAGCGTGGCGGCACCTCTCGAAGCCGTCCGCCTGAAGGCCATTTTTGAAGGTCACGGCCGACTAACGTCAGGCCATCGTATGGAGACACTGGACTGCACATCCCTATATTTCTCAATCTCGTCCAAACGTCTGAGACGTGCTTTCTCCTTTACAAGGGCGCAGACTCTGCTCCGAGAGCTCCGCCGAGCATACCTCAACCCCCTTCCACACCCTTACACAAGCTCAGCACTCAAACACATGATAACGACACCGCACCTGCTATTGATGACGTCAATCTCGTGCAGGCTGACGACGTGGACCACTTCCTTCCGCTTCTGCAGCTCCCCGTCCGGGCATTGCACGAACTTGGTGGTCGGGCCCATGGCGTCATAGTCGCGCGAGCGCGCGAACGAGCGCCCGAGCTTGGTGATTTTCCCGGTCGCTTTGTCGATTGCGATGACGTCACCGCTCTGCACCTTCTCCTTGTTGAGCGACTCGATCATCTTGGTGCCCAGGTCGTAGATTGTCTCCATGTCGGTCGTCTGCGGAAAAAAGGACGATTTGGGTCTATGTCTTGAGTTAGAAAGTGGTACATTCCTTGTTGGGGGGGTGGGCTGTCCGCAGTGCAGCGAGCAGCCTATGGTCCTTTCCACCGGCTTTTCCCACAGGGCTGATCCAATCTTTTCTGCACGATTGTTTCAGTGGTACTTTTGGAGGTTTCGCATCGAACGGCGTCATCGGAGGCGAGGTATCAAATGCTTTATCCAAAGTCGAAAAACCAAAGCGAATGAAAAGAGAGCGTGCTTTCGTAACTCCGTAAGGAAGAGTGTGGAACACTAAGTTTTTTGCGGGTTATGTGTTCCATCAGCGGAACAGCACTTTGACGACTGTCCTGTAACACCGTCTGCTACAGCCGTCAATGGGTAAGATGCAGAGCGCAATGAAACAAAAACACGTGACCAGCGCCGTGAGAGGGGTAGGTGTCAGAATAAACCCCAAGTTTCTAAACAGCGATGCTTGGTCATGGCAATTGGTCAGGGACGGGGTGGCGCCACAGGTGGGGGTGTTGATATCGGGACTGTTTGCGCAGGGGTCGGTGGCAGCAGCTCGGGCGGTCCACAGGAGGAGGAGCAAGGCAGCGCTGGCTGCTCCCAGAAAGCTTTGCAGCCATGATCGCTGTGACTGGCGGCGCTCAGCTCTTAGCAAAGTACCTATTAGTATTGGCGTGGGAAAGCTGGCGCACAAGACTGTAGTCCAGCTAGCCTACTTCTGCCCGTGTGCCCTGAGCTTGTGTGACGCCTTTGTGCTGCCAGCTCAAGGCCACATCCTTCAGAAAACAGGGATTACATTCTGATGTGGAAGGCCCGCAAATCGTCGTTGTGAAGTTTTGCTCGTTCCGGTATCTCTCAGCTCACTGTCAGGAAGCTGGTAGGATGAGCTCAGCGAACTCAGCTTTGTCAGCCAAACCCACTTTCCTTCTGACTGCAGAATCTTGCTTGAAAAAACGATAGAAAAGTCGGATGCAAAGCAGTCCCCCTCCACAAGCTCAACCTTGTCGGCCAAGATAACCTAAAACTTTCCAATAGATAGACGAGGCACAGAGAATAGCTTCCGGTACAAAGCCAAGATTATTCTAAAGTACTCCCCCTGCCCCCGCTCAGTTTTATTCGCCAAGTGATTTCCATTTACCTTATCCGTCCCAGCTACCCCACCTTTAGTGTGAGCTTCCCAGTCTTTGCCGCCGCCCCGGCCCCAGACGAACAATCTGCCAAGAAGTATAAAGTTTCAAAAGACAAGTGACAGGATTATAAGCGACACACGTTTGAGCCACCCACCTTTAGTGTGAGTTTTCCAGTCTTTGCCGCTGCCCCGGCCGTCGCGGGCCTGTCAATCTGGATCTCCACCACCTCGCCCTCAATCACCTCCGTCTCCTCCTTGATGCGCACACCAATTGCTTTGCGGAACGCTTGCGTCAGGGCCTCCGTTTTAGACATCTCCAGGGAGAAGATCTCGCTTCCGGCCATCATCGCAAACGGAGTCTCCTCCCCCAGGGCTTTTGCCATGCCCATTGCGATGGCGGTCTTACCGGTCCCCGGCTGACCTGTGAACGAGAAAGATCTCGAGTTTTAGGAACAGCTTGTGAGAGCCTTGTGCAGGAAAGGCCTCCGGAGTTGGGAGGGCCTGACAACGAGCGATAGTGGTCTTGACCCCACTAAGCTGGCCTGTGAAGGGATAAAAAGATGTTTAACAGTTACATTCTGCAGACAAGCTTAAGAAATGAAGGCCCATGTAAAGGCTTGCCGGATTCAGGCTGACCTAGAGGCAACGGAATAGGCCATGGAAATCACGTAGGAAAAGGATGTTGTTGGCAAGACGTCTTACGAGCAGATGGAATAGAAGGTCGCTGTACAAAGCGTACATGTTGTTCAAAACCAAAAGTTGCTGTCGACTTAGGCTATAAGTCCCACAGCCATTTTGATCAATGAAGGAGCTTTCGTCTAATACTTGATGCAAGCTGCAATCAACATCATCCATCCGACTATGGTTTGTTGCTGAAGGCTCAGCGAGCTTTACTTCATAGGGGCAAGTAAAATATTTTTTGCCTGCATTTATTGCGACCTGCAATCCCGTGCGCTTAGCTCTTTGACCGACTAGCTCATCCAGTCTAAAATGCAGTTATCCAAAGTCATGATTACCTAGAAGCTTTGGAAAAATAAATCTGTGCCAGGTCAGTGTAAGGAACACACGCCAGAACGCAGCCCCTTGTAGCACCACCTTTTCTACGTGGATGCTCTAAGTTATCCTTGAGGAGGATCTCCCATTCCTAGCTTAGGAAATGGACAACTATGGAGTTTCAAAAGTCGGCAGAGTGCCACCACCAATGGGTCTGCAAGAACTTCATGCACGATATTCTTCTGCTAATTGCAGGCACTCTGGGAACACAAGCTGGAATCTGATCGGAGTGAACAACAAGCTCAGGAAACAACAAAAACACTGAGTGGGGTTAGCAAGGGGGTTAGGGTGGGTGTGGGTGTGCGTAATCCTTTTGATTTTAGTTAATCAGGTCAAGAAGTATTGTTGACTAAGTTTACTGTTCCCTCTATAGGATGCATTTCAGCTGCACCACCGTGTCACTCGTCGAAAATCTCTTACATTCGAGCTCAGCTTATCCCAAGGTAAGCGGTTTCAGTCAGCAAAGGTGTTACCACGCTCCCAATTACCTACCTGCTAGAAGTACACCCCGCCCAGCAATCTTTCCCTCCCTGATCATCTGCAAGATCACCCCCGCCGCTTTCCTGGCCTTGGTCTGCCCGACCATCCCCTGAGACACTTTCCGTGCATCAAGGGCATCATCGAGCCCCAGCCCTCGGATGTGCGAATGTGCCCCAATGCGCTCGATCCGTGTCAGGTCCTTTACATCGTTGAGCTTGAGGTCAGCCATGTTGAGCTAGAAAGAGGTCACGCAGAGCTATACGATCGATGCAAGACCCTTAGAGACGTAAGTTCTTGTAAAGAAAGCAAATGCAAGTGAATGCAAGCCAACCATACCAGCTCAACTGCGCCCTGTCCAGTGTTCGACTCCTAGCTTTCCTGAGCTGCCACTGCGGTCTGACTCTGACTCAGAGTGCTGAAACCTGCAGAACTGGACCACTGGTGCCGGGGTAGAAACTAGAGGCGGTGCGAACTTATTGAAGGACCAGCACTCACTTTGACGAGCAGTCACTTTGATCAGCAAAACTCTGAAGTTAAAACGTATATGCTTACAGCATGTAAAAGACCAACGACTAATCAATGAGCCGAAAGTTGCTAATACCCAAGCAAGTTGAAGCAACTCGGGCGCAGAACATCAGCCTCTCGTGAGCTTGGAATGATTCTGAGGAAGCCTGTTGGAAGGAGCAGCAGCCAATTGTGCACACCTGTCAACAATGTCAATCTTCATCTTCGCACAAGCTGTTTCGTTTGGAGCGTACGCTTGGATTACTTGAAGTTGTGGGACGATCATTGTCCTCAAGACCTGCCTGATGCCTCTTGAAGTTGCCTAAATTGGAGTCCTGGCATCTTACTTTTCCTGACGAAGCGGTAGACAGCAATGTGGGAACCCATTGACCAAGCCAGCAGAAGAAAGTCCAGCAGAGCTTAGTCGGTTTGCAAACTTGCCCCCTTCTCTTTACTCAATCAGCATTAGAGACTGGCGCCCTTCCCTGCTTGTTTTAGTCAAATGCCGACAGGTCAGGGAGACGTCCCACCCCGGCATGTGAAGGGCAACCACCGCCCCCCCGCCATGTCGCCGCTCGCTTTTCTCACCAACCCAGCAACACCCGGAAGAAAGACGGAGCGACACCGGAAGGCCAGATTGGCGGCGCTTGGGGCGGGGGCGCTTTTAGCAATCTATGCCCTTTTGCTACAGTTTGATATGGCGCCAGCTTGGTTGGGAGGGGGGGCAAACAGTGTGAGTGCAGTTGCCCCCCGGAGCTGCGGAGGGCACCACCAAGGACCAGGCAAGAAACTGATTTTTGATTCGTTCACGGTTTATCAGGATCTAGACCCGAAAGTTTTGTCTTTGTTTGTAGGGAAAAAATGCCACTTCTGAGGTCACTTGACTATGCTGTGTGGGATGTTCAAAGGCAGACTGTTGCACAGCAATCCTGGGGCTGTCGATTCAGAGGAATGCTTGGTGGTGGTAGTATTCAACCTCTACCACCCTCTTTGCTGATTACAACCACGCAGATCTCAAGCCAGCCCGGTGATCACAGCCAGTTAGTGTGACAGCTCTTCTGCTCTTTCTGTTCCCCTGTCAAGGGCACATGGAGAACAGATTCAGGCTTCCATTTCCACGCTTGGGTTCGACAGTCTCTGAAATGAATTCTGAACAAATCCAACACCACCAAGGAAAGCCATGTACGGGCCACTGGGAGCCCCAGCTCTGATGTCACAGTTGAAACAGCGTATGCAAGCAAAGGGTTCCAAATCAGATGTCCTTTCTTGCAGCTGTTGGGAGTGAGTACTTCCACAACCGGACAGTTCTGTACGATTCCCTCTCAGGCCCGCAAGAGTACTCGTTTTTGTCAAGTGGGAAAACATCCCAGTCACTGAAGGTGAGCAAAACCATGTATGCACTGACTCACATTTGCTAAGTGCCAAGAGATAGTGACAAAATTCGCCACCTCATGATGAAAATTATTGTAGCTGTTTGATCCGGCTAGAAAGAGCTTTACTATGGCGCACATACTCCCCTTCATGCAGGTTCTCTACTTTCTGAGTGGTGTGCTTAGTCCCGACATGAAGTTTTCCAGTCAGGTTGATTTGAGCCTCAACGCTTTGTGGAAATGTATATGAAGTTGAGTCTTATTTCTTCTCCCCTTCCTGACAGGTTTCTGACCTGTTTGAAGAAAAAGATGGCAAGCTAGTTCCGATCTTGAAGGTGAGAATCACACTTCACATCGAATTTTCGGTCCATCTGTCGCGAGTAGGGCCTAAACAAAACGCGCTGCTGCTCTTCCAACTAAGTTGATTTCAAGATGGTTCCTCTTTGGCTCTTGGTTCACCAACCAGGTCTGCTCTGCAACAAACTGTCAGAAGGTCTTAAACTGAGTCCTCCTAGTCGGTCAAGCACAGACGTTTTAGTTTGGAGCCCTGCGATTCTGCTTTGGCGTTAACATGTTGCACGACGATACACCGCTTTGGCATAGTGTCTCTGCCTCTTGTAATGAAGCGATCAGGATCGAATAGGATGACGTGAGAGGAGTAGGGTCTTGTACCAAAGATGGAAAAGATAGTGAGTGACAAGAAAAATCACGATCCTGCAGGAGCAAAAAGTGGCGGTCAGGGCGAACGTGCTGCACGTGGATCGAAAGGAGGCGCACCAGATGTAGTGAGTATATTGCGCAACGTCATCATCTTTTGCAGACCTGACGTTGTCGTTGCTAGTTACTTCTGCATGCAATTTTGTGGAGGGAATCAGGGTTTGCGCCCTTCTGTTCGTAGCCCACTTAACATGATGTTCTACGCAGTACTTGTCTTATTTCTTTCACTTTGACTTTCAAATCTGCACTCATGGACGTTTTTCATGGGGTGTTCAGCGTTTGGAGGGAGTTAGTCCCTGGCATGCGTCGAAGTGTCCTGTAGACTGCGCAGGTCAAACGCCGTCTTTATTGCTCAAACCCTCAAACTCTTGAATCATTCGTCGACGAGTGGGCTCGTCGCATGGAAAGATTTTATAAGATGCGTCTACAAAAGTACGACCTTTTCCACGCTGACTGCTCGGCCTCCCTTTGTCCAGCCAGACCGTAAAGCGAATACTCTCTCGGTACGGCTTTGGTGATACAGGTAAAAATCCCGTCGCTCAAAGCTAGGGACCCTCGTTTTTCTTACTGCCGTTGGTTTTTTTGCGGGGCAACAAGGGCCTGTGTTTCCAATTGGGTGACAGGGGGACTTCACAAAGAGACCGTTATCCAATTGATGTATTTGCATGGTGCGTTTGGACCTCAGATCAAAAAAGGGAAACTCATAGAGAGCTCTTCTGCTGAGAGTGCGGTTTTTAGGCGAAGCCTTCTTCGAATTGAAGCGTATTTCATACATGGTTCTTGGGCCGACCATTTTTGGAAATTGGCAGATAGGCAAGAGGTGCCCTCTCGATCTTCTCGAGGTTGCGCGTGACATTTGAACAGCGTCCTAGTAGTCAGTATCTTCTCTGTGCGGACCTTGTTTTCAAGCATATAAGAGGCTTATTCATCTTTTGTGGCGGGGCGTCAGCGGCAAGCTGCACTGACGAACCGACGGACTCGGCGAACGAGTTCAATCTTCTAAACCGAGGATCCTAACGTTAGAACCGATGCCCTGCTGATTAGTGAAAGTTTGGTTCCTTTTCTGTGCAGCGGTATGGTACCAGGACCCCGACATGTACCACATGAGCCTCTGGCATGCGTCGCATCACCTAGACCCTGTCCCGGCCTCGCCCCGTGAGGTGGGCCTTGTTTCCCAGGATCAAAAACCGCGTTTCAAAGTGCCCAAGGTTAAGAGGCAGTTCAATAGGCAGGTTAGGAGGCAGGTTGAGACGTAGGTTAAGCCGCACGTTGAGCCCTCTAGCAGGCGTCGCATCATCTAGACCTTATCCCGGCCTCGCCCCGTGATGTGGGCCTTTTGTCCAGATTCAAAACTACGTCTTGAAACGGCCAAGGTTAAGACCCAGGTTGCGATCCAGGTTGAGAGGTCGACCAAAAACAGGACGGAGGATGAGACGCAGCTGGACGTTAGACGAGGATTAAGATTTGAAATTCACGGAAAGACGGAGGGCAAAACGTGTATTCAGGCTCTGGCAGGTTTAGGCGCGGGTTATGTAAAGGGCGCTGGTAAAGCTGCAGGCGCCCTTCTCGTAACGCTGTGTACCTGCTTTTCGAGTTGGCCGTATTTTAGCAGCTTCGTCGCGGAAAGCCTCGGATGCTGTTCTGAGGGCGTCGTCATTGACCGGATGATTTACGATCAACTGAAGCGACAGTGGTAAAGGGCCTTGGCGGCGTATGCTGAGTTTTCTATGGGAGACTTTCGTCTCAATGAAGAATGTTCGAAACGTTGTTCGCAGGTACTGTGCTGGACCCTCGCATCATCTTCTTTCGTCACATTTTGTTTGTGTCACTCGATTCGGATCTGGAATAAATCCATCCCGCAGGCTGCTATTTGAACGCCAAACCAACGTTGCCATTCCTGTTCTGGACCATTTTGTCCGTTACTGGGAGGACTTTCTGGTAAATCTGGTCAAGCATCTGCTACAGAGACCTGCCACCGTGTCGTACAAAGTTAAAGCGGACCAGTCCCTTTCTGCGGACACTGCTGAAAACCTCTTCTCCTCGTCTCGCAGTCGCGGTTCCAAATCATGGCTCATACGACTGCTGGAATGTCTTCTTCTCGTCTCGGTTCCAGATCATGAAACGAACGACGATGACCCTTGATACACGTGCAGATTATTCTGCTTAATGGCAGCGGCTCTTTTTATTTCGGGAAGTTCTCACCTGTTGACACGTGCCGCTTGCAGGTTGGCCTAGAGATCGTGGGAGTCACGCAAGTGACGCACAAAGCTTGCCCGCTGCGGGTGTCGTTGGATCGCGTCGTGCTGACGTCAACGGGGGTGGTGCTGGGGCTTTGGCAGGTAATTTTATGTCTTCCAGTTGCGAGTGCCCTCTTCTATAAAGTAGACCCTCCAAAGAGGCTGTTCTCTCGTCTCGGAAACCGAGTTGTTCTTGAAAGGGGCTCTGCATCTATCGGAGCCTGACAAGTGTACGTACCTTGAGATTGTTGCGATTTGCAAAGAACGCAAAAGGAAGCTTAGCGAATTGAAAAGAAGGGCGCTACAATCAGTACATTCAAAGGCAGACTGCTAATTGCAGTTTTCCGTTCTGCAAAACTGTTCGGTTTTGCATTCATGCAAAGATAGTCACCTTTTAGCAGCTGAACCAGACGAGATACTTTGCAAAGCCCAAATGGTTGGACTGGGGCTTCACAACGACTGGCCTGCTGTGGCGTCCGTCTCTGCTTGCAATTCATTGAGAGATAAGTTGTGAGCGACCGAGCAGCAGGAGACGTTCATACAATTGTCGCCCAAAGCGCCATTTGACCTCCATTCCGTTACTTGCACATAAAGCGAAAGAGCACTCTTCACTTATCTGCCCGAAATTCTGGAAGCAGGAGTTTGCCTGACGTCCGCTTTTCCGGTTCCGTGCAGCTTCTGTCGGGAACGGAACCTTTCGACCTGCGGCAACAGCTGCGGAAAAATCTTCCTCGGTCCCCAGAAACTCAGCTGGTGAGTACCGGAAGCCTAGCTGGTAGGTACTGCGTCAGGTCTCGGTGGTGGGGACAGACAGCAGGTCAGTAAGTTGTCGTGAAGAATGATTTGAGATCAAACGCAGGCCAGGATGATTACGAGTGAATCAACGTTGGGAGTTTTCGGACTTTTGGCAGATCAAGGAGGATGATTGCGCGAAGCAAACGACCAAGTCAAGAAGGTAGACTGTACCCTCGTATTGGAGTGGATTAAAAGTACGTCCGTTGGGAGCGCTTGAGAGTGTTGATTATTGCTGACTTGGTAGTAGGAGTCCTCGACCGCTCGCTCGAAATCCCAATGATTATTTAGTTCCCCCACTAGTTCCAACTTTTGCAAATAGAGGTGTCAACGACGTCAAGCACAACTGCCGAGTCATCGCAACTCCCGACGTCACTTTCGGCCTCGTCTTCTTGTTTGTTTCGCAAGCATCTGCCGCTTCAAGTCGAGCTTACAAGAAAAGATTGTTGTGCGCGCCGGTGTATGCGCTGAACGGACGCTGCTTTTTGCTACGCAGTATGATCCGGTAATGCTGCACACCTCGTTTGCGCGAATCCTGAAAGGCCCGGATAGCAGAAAGGTAAGCAAACTCCATCTAGACTGAAGCATTTGCTGCCTGTCTTCTTTCTTTTGCCTGGTAGCTTGTTCACGTCCACAGCCGACGACCCGCGGCATGATGTCTTTGAAATTGCTGAGTATTGTGCGCGAGGCCGGGCTTTATGGTTTGGGTTTCGATACCCAGCAATCAGCTATTCAGGGGTTGAGATGTCCTGGGTCGTATGATCACAGGGTTCTCTCCGTGGCAAGCTTCGTTCGTTGTTGCGTCGTTCTTACTGTGAGATTGTCTATACCCGCTGTCAAAAGAATAAGGTACAGAAAGCTTCTGAAAAGCAGTCTCGGCGTCTGCCTGCGAGTCTGGCCTTCTCGCCGGCTCCAGCAATTCTTCTCGTCCTCGATACGTTTTCGACTGCCTGACTACTTATGAAGCTGCATATTATCTGTTTGTGCGACTAGTGCTCAACTCAAGACTTTGCTCACAGGACTCTCCTGCGAGCCTTGTCGCCGGCTTACCCCAACTCGTTCTGACTGGATCTCCTGAATCGTAGACGCCGTTCTCATGGTCCCTGGATTATCTGATGAACTGTGGTTAGGTTAACCCGCAGAACAAACCGGCCCAAGGTCCCGGGCGTGTAGGGCGTTTTTCACGGGTCCGGAAACACGACAGCGATTCATACCTGCATGCTGGGGTTTGACGTCAACCGCACAGTAAAATAGTCAAAGCTTTCGGGCGTGCAAGGCGACGTTCAGGAGTCGTTAGACGCGGCTGTGGTTCTTCTCGTAACGGCGGGTTTGGCTTAACCCTTGAAACAAACTGGGAACAATTGCAGAGCGTTGGGCAGAAGTCGGGAAACACGGCAGCGGTGCTTTTGTTTGTGACGAATTTGGGTCAGACCCAAACACAAACTAACCCAGGGTCCCGTGTGAGCAGGGCGTTGGTCAGGAGTGGGAAACACGGCAGCGATGCTTCCCTTCGCAGCCGTTTCGGCTTAAACCTTGAACGAATAAACCCAAGGCCCCGTGCGTGCAGGGGCGTTATTCAGGTGTCGGTAAACGCGGCACCCGTTCTTCCCTTCGGGCGGTTGTGGCATCAACCGTAAAAGAAACTAACGCAAGGTCTCGGGCGTGCAGGGCGTTGGTAACGAGTCGGGAAACATGGCATCAGTGCTTCGGGAGGCTGCGGAGGAGCTAGACAAGGAGCTGTGCGGCACTCAGGTGCGTGCGCCACTCACTCCCATTCTGTTTTCTCCCGTCCTTTGGGAGTTTGCTTTGACCTCCTTTGCGGAAGAATATATCGTTTCCCCTCGTGAAGTTGTTCGTCGCCTGTCCAAGGGATGCGTCGCTTGTCCGTATTTCTTGATCATATTGAAACCTACCGTCTTTCAGTCCTGTCAGTTTGTAACCCGTTCCTGATATGCTCAAGGAAGACCCATCGAGTTTTTGAGATGGTCCAAAAGCCCAGCGCTTATACACAGTGCTCGAAGAGCAGATTCCTTGCAGACAAGAATCGTCAAAGCTTCTTGACTATGAGAAAGTCTCTCATGTTGAGTCGTCTGAGCTTCGCAGAAAGCCGACAGGCTTTGCAAAGCAGGTTGTGACAGTACCAGCTGCTCTCCCCGCAAAGGAAGAGGAGCAAGATGACGTCGCTTCTGACATCGTCTGTGGTGCTCTTGTTTCAGACGACGTTAAGTACTTTGCTGTACGTTGAAGAATGGGACCTTCTGGCGCTTGCGCTGGACGGCCGGATCACGCCGCGGCTGCTTCCCCTTCGGTGCGGAGAGCCTATCACATGATATCGGTGCGACCACACTTCTTGATCTTGTTCGACTAGAATTCTTGATCGGGTTCGACCAGAACTTCGGACGCAATGAATAGATGCCCAGCGAACATCAAGCTTTTTGCACTTGACTGATATCATAAACGAAACGATACACCCTCCGCAACCGTACCCACTCAACCTTCCCAACCCCACAAGTCCCAAGTACTGTTCGCTGAGCTTACGGTTCATAGTTCAAGTGGGATGTTTCAACGGATAGAGTACGCACGCTTCAGTTAAGGTGAAAGGCCGACTGAGGGATTACGAGGTAAACCGAAAGCGCTCGAATGACATCCAAGGACAATGTGTTTTCTCGGTAGTACCGAGCATGGCTGAGACCTACTTTGGCACCACAATTGGTCCCGACTTTTGACGGTCTTCTAAGGCACATTTTGCGTACATCATGGCGCGCATGGATCTCCTGCTATAGTCATTGAGTTGAAAAGTGAAGGTTGCCAGGCGCAGAAGGTTTGGGTCGAGCCAGGCCGCTTTGCATCGTGCTATATCTATGGCGGCCCGTACTGCACAATCAGCAATTTGATCACTGCCAATCGTTGGACCTCCTATACTGAGCGAGTATTTAGGTCGATTACGCTTTTTAATGGTTCACTGATCATCCTTGAGTCAGGGATGATGATCGGATGGATGTACCGTCCGCCATATGGCGGCCGCGGCCACCTCAATCCGACCGGCCGGTCGGACCCTCTTCATGAGCCAGCCAGCCGCCCTGGGGCCCGGGATCGTTGGGCACTAGCAGGCTTGGGAACAGCCCGGTGTGACTGATTGCCAATCAATCAATCCTACATGCTGCGCGGCTATATCAGACAGATCACAATGCCTGGCCGGTTGCCGCGTTCGGTCGGGCGGCCATTGGCGGCAGCGCGCGAGGACAAATGCAAGTTTGAATGATCGCGAGCCGCCACGGACGCCACGACATAAATATTTATCATTTATCATTTATGCCTATACCAAGTGCGCATGGTACGTTGTTGCGCAATGCGGATCGTAGACGTGCCATCTGTATGCTCCTAATCACCTTGACGGGATGGGCTCCCCTCATCGAACGTTTGGCGGCAGTAGGTGGGAGCATAGGTGGGAGCGTAGGCCGGCGAGCAAGTGAAGACGGAATCACACAAACGGTGACACCTCAGGGACACACCACATATCCATGACATGTATGAGAAGCCTATGCAGGCCTTTTTGGCCAGTGGGCGTAACGAAGAGAGACCGGACCATCAGACAGCATGCACGATCTCTGATGCTCGTGACCACGAGCAACGAGCTCACTACCGTACTATTAAGTACGAATACAGTACTAGCTACGGCTCTTCGAGTACGTTCGTCGGTTAAAAGCCGTCCGCAAGAGCTCTGAGCGAAGCCAAGTCGACCGCATCGAACGGCCTGCGACGCGCGTTAGATATAGGACTACCATCCCACGGCGCAGACAACGTTGAACGACAAAGTCGGAGTCACTGCGTGACATCATTCTGATGGATCATGATTCATGGTCCATGGATACCGCCCTCAGGATCGAGACATCCGATGATTCCGATCGCACATATGCAGGCCCCTCAAGATAAAAATGTCCGAGACACCAGTTTACATAACCCATTAATATCCAATTATTCAATATCCGTCCACGGACATCAATATTTGCGTCATGTGGCCGGCCCTGGCCGAGGCCCCGGGCTCGATGTTTGGGACGTATAACTTTTTCAAAAGTTGTTGAAAACCGTCTTTGAAAGACGTCTTTCTTACGTCAAGACGTCTTTGTACATACGTCAGCGAAAAGATGGTCGCCGGAAATATATCACATATCTTTTAATAAAGATAATATTAACCTTTAATATTTAAGTTTGGTCCATGACGTCAGCAAGCGTATACAGCGCGCGCGCTAGCGCGTATCAGGGGGTACTTGGTCATATCCGGGTCCACTCGGAGATTGTACAATCATTGAATGCCCCTGAGCGGCAGACTGGTTAATTTGCAAAAACAAGAGTCTAACTTGGAGCGGACCCGACTGGCCTCAGTGCGGGGCACTTCGTGTCTGTTCAAGCACCACCGATGTACGAGCTGCTTTCCTGCCCCTTTCCTGGTCAAAGAAAGATATATGATCGTCCGTCAACGGTCAGTGTATAAATATGTATATTGTTTTTGTTTCAGACCAAGTTACAGTGCAGTGGGTATATGAGTCATCAAACAATCTTCTCCACCTCCGTGCTGGCACTCTGATTCTTCAGGATTCCGCCGCTGCTCGCAAGAGTTCCGCCGAGCGGCATTATCAAACAGCTAGAGACACTCTTCAACGTAGGATACTGGTAATAGTCTGAGAGTCTTTACCTACCGTACAGACAGTCACACAAATCAACAAATGTGCGACAAATATGCCTTGCAACATTTGTAATTATGATGATTCGTGTTCGACAGACCAGACAGACTACTCCCTTGTCCACCGACAATCCACCGACAATCCGCCGGCGGCCACGGGGCGGCCACATTCTAGGTGGGTCTTAGGTGTCACACGGTTGACTCGGTTTATCGGTTTTGCGAAAGTATTTCAGCCACTGAGCCGCCACTCTTCAAGTTAAAGGCTAGCCCGGGGCTAGCCCCCTTAGATTCTCAGATTGGACGTTCGAATTTTCGGGAAAATGCACTTGCTTCGTACTAATTTACGGCCTAGGTATTTTGGTACGAGAACAGGGCATATATACCCGAATACCCTGTGAGAATTACATCTATATGTCAAGCCCATGTCAAGCCGCCTCAACTCCCAGAATATATTTAATCAGGTATAAATGCCCGCGGATCAGCCCGGGGCGTTTGAACCGGTTGCCGCTGCCTCCGCCGGATCAGGGTTTCCCACGGACTTTTGTCCCGGCCGGCCAGCTGCCGGCGGCCCCCCGGTTCAGCCGGCTCGATAGGCGGTCTTTGGCTGTACCGGCCGGCTGGGCCTAGCAAGTGCCTGCATTTTCTGCCGGCTAGCAGCCGGCGGGGTGCCTTCGGCACCGGCCGGGGTCCCATCTCGGCCGGCCAGGTCCAGGTTCTCTTGCCGGCTGTGGGAAACCCTGCACCGGATCCCCTATCCGCTCGTCCCCGGGCACTTTCACCAGCCGCCGACCACCCCGCCGGCCGGCAGTCACTGTACATTGGAAAACTGTTATGAGACCACGGCGCACGCCCTTGAATGCCGCCGAGCGGCAATCTGATTGATTGAGTCTCAATAAATCATTACTTGTCCGCACTGCATGCTCAGGTAATAGCAGGTGCCTAGATATTAATAGCAGTTGTGTTGCTAATGTGTTGCTGACGTCACTATTCATGACGTCAGCATATTGTTATTAATTTACCAAAACAAATATATATTTCTTGTAGAAAATACAATTAAATTGGCGAATTCAAACTTTTGAAAAAGTCCATACAATTAACTTTTTAAAAAGTTATACGACCCAAACATATAGACTCCCGAGGCCCCCGGGGCCCGGGGGCCCCTTACAAAAAGGCCAGGGCAAGGGAAGTGAGAATAGGCAAGCAAGGCTTTAAATAGGTACTGCCCTTTCCGAGGATCTAGGCTTGTCGCGACTCATGACGCATCCGGCCGACGTAGGGCTGGTACTGAATACTGCCTATCCGCTTCTCCCGAGTACCCCCCCTCTGAGGTGTTCACTTTTCCTCAGAACGTATCCCCCAATGTGGAGGCCGCCATTATGCACATTACTATTAGTGGACCGGATATCCGCCATACCAATGCCAATGGTGTGAGAAGGTTCCGGAGCTCGGTAGCGCCTGCTTGATCTGCATCGGCATCGTCAAAATTCAAATGCCTTTGAGCAAGCTTCTGTTCAGCAGCATGGATCTAGCGACCTGCACTTGTGCCGGCTACATGATGCAATGAGGAAAACTGCTCCGATGGGGATCCTGTAGCACTTTCCCTTCCGTTGTCGTGCGATTGTAAAGTCGCGTGACCTGTCTGAAAGTTATGCCAGCTGGCACTCAAAGCATTCCAGCTGCAGATCGGCATGGGCTAGAGCTATAGCCTCTATTAGATGATGTAGTGCTCAGCAGCGCTTGTCGGCATTGCCTTCTGCCCGCATACCATACGCCAGACTCCAAAGCATCCTTGGGATTCAGATAAAGTCCAATGCCATGTCCTTTGCTTTGACAAAGTACTGGGGAATTGAAGGTGAAATCAGAGCTGCAATGCTGACTCTGATACACCTGTCTTAGCCTTGCAAATTCGCGTCCACGAAAAGGAAGTGGCCGGTGGAAGCGACCGGCGTAAAATGAGGGTTTATGCTCCTTGTTCAAAGTGGCCGGTGCGAAGTGTCTCAGCGTATCGCTCTAAGCAGCAACAGATCCTGGCATCATCTACCGTGAACCCGCACTGAGCAGCTTGCCCAGCTTTGAGCAGCGACCACTTAAGGAAGCAAAAACGCCTTCTTCAAATTGACTGCCACCGCTGAGTCGCCAATAGACTGTTACCTTGAGCGGTCCGCCAGTTGATGAAATTAGCTTGTGCAGTGTTGCAGACCCAGATCCTCACTTTGCCGCATTAAGATAGGACCAATTCTCACAGCAAAGTCTCTGTCCACTTAATCGTAGTCACGGCATTGCATACCCCTTGCTCAGAATGTCCCATCTGCAAACCAGGAAGCTTCAAGAGTGGTGCGCTTCTTTAATTCTCCCTTTCGGTCATCTGTTTCCGAAGCAAACATCAGAGCAGCTGATTTCAGCTTGAGCCTCCCCAAAGGGCCGGTAGCAAATCAAAGTCGCAGCCATGCCCGCGCGGCCTTACACGATCTGCCGCCTTTTCCGCTGGTGGCAGGTCCCTGTAGCTTTGATCCTCTCTGTTACGATCAGCCTATCACAACCAGTTTTCACGGGATGCTTCCGCGGGGAGGGGTTCCGCCTGGGGGGCACGAGAGTATTCTGCCGCGGTTCAAACAGAACCGAAAGAAACCTTCTGGAGGTAGATTGGGGGTTGGAGAAGCGGGGCGCAAGGGTGGGAAACGAAGAGCCACATGCGGGGCTCGGTCAGGAAGATTGGCTTGTAGATAAAAGAGCGGATGAGGAAATGACCGAAATAGAGGGGGAAGGGGAGGTACTTGGTGAGGCTGGGTTAACGAGGGAAGGAAAAGGGTTAAGCGCAGACCGCATTGCGGAACCTGGTCAGCTGCTTGATCTTTTCGAGGGGGGGTTGGTAATGCCTATAGAAGCACCCAAAGAAAATGAAGAAGACAACATCGCACGACAAGAAGCGATAAGGTTGGAGGAAGAAACGGAGCTTGAGGATGAACACGTGACCGGAGACGGAGAAGGAAAGGGCCAAGAGGAGGGTGAGAAGATCAAGGGAGACGCAACAGAAGAGGTCTGGAAGGAAGATGATGAGAGCAGTGCCGAACGGAAGGAGCCTAGTACAGAGGAAAAGGCGGAGTTTCAAACAGACAGAGTAGAAGCGGAAGGAAAGGACGGTGGGCAGAACAGGGAAGAGTACGTGGCATCGGAAAGCGGTTCAGTGGGTGACCTTCTTTTGGAGGCTGCAGAAGATGAGAGTGAGGAACTCAGAGGAGAAGGAGCCGTCGGGCCACACGCAAACCGGGAGCTGAGCGCGAAAGGAGCAGAAGAAGACAGGTGAGAAGATCTTTGTTAGAAGTGGCCCACAATTCGATGGGCATTTTGCGATGGTTCGAAGGATTCTGAAAAGTTCACGAAGCTGCAACATGGCGGATCCTGATCGGAGGACATTTCGCTGGTATGCTTTTTGTTCTTATTGTGAACAACCTGCTTCTGCGATCCAATAGTCTCATAATTCCAAATTGTGGCTTTGGTAAGTGCCAATCAAGGAATAAGGAGCAGAGCATTCCTCCAGACTTTGCCGTCCGTGCTGCTTTAGAAGAGTGTTTTCTCTCTCAGCGCTTATCAGCTCCTCGACTCCTTTGATTGGCTGGCTGCATGTCAGAACGTCCTGGCAAAACGCGGTTGCTCTGTAGGTTTTGATAAGACAATTTGATGAGTGATACGCGCTGAGTAGCTCTTCTTAAGATCCACTTCATCTGGCAATCCGTCATAAGATCAACTCTCCAATTTCCACCTCCCATTCTTCGCTCGCAGGCCCCATCCTAGTTGCCGTCCTCACGAGCTCGTATACGTATACGACCTGCCGCCCGAATTCAACGTGGAGCTTTTCGGCCCGTCGTGCGGCGCCTTATACCTCGCGTACACGCAAGCGCGCAATGCGTGCGTCATCTACTCGCCGGAGTTCGGCGGAATCGGGCCGCGCCTGACCGGAACGGAAACGGCGTTCCTGAGCGACATTGGGAGTCCGGCGGACAGCTGGGCGGACACCGGCCAGTTTGGGCTGGAGGTGATGTTCCACCAGGTGCGGGGTCTCAACCAGAAACTGAAAAAAGGTACCTGGATCTGCCAGGTTATGTTCCTGGATCTGCCCGGTTATATTCCTGGATCTGCCCACTAATGCACCTGGATCTGCCCGTTTATGTACCTGGATCGGCCGATTCTTGGGGGAGCGCCGATGAATACTTCGCATGTGCGTTCGTGACGGGGGAGCGAGTGGTTTTCTAGGGGTCCGCTGACTTCGTGTTCGTCCGATCTGCAGCGCCGATCTGAGCCTCATGTTCTGGCTGGGAAGTTCTTTCAGATGGAAAGAACAGCTGTCCGGTCTAGTCCCGCTTTTCCGGTTCCGAGGTTTCCGTTCGACAAACTGTCGTGACGGCAGGGTCAGAAGACCTTGTATGCGAGGCAGCAAAGTGATTGGCGCCATATTTCCCTCCAATAAGGCACGACGCTCCAGTTTGAGGCCGAACGTTTCCGCTGTATCCTCTCCATCAATCAGAGTACTCCGTTGCAGCGGAACGGAAGACGCCCACTGCTTACGCCAGCTGAACTCTCTACTGTTCCCCTTCATTCCGCAGTACATGCGCGACTCGTATCCCTGCCGCACGACACGTGGCGAAGATGCGGCCGCGTTCTACGTGCCGATTTACACCGGCGTGCTGCACCTCAACCGTACGACCCACTGCGGGATCGGCACGTGTCCCGGGGTGTCTCCGCTGGGCTGGGTAGGGAGATTGCTGGGCGCCCAGCTCAACAAGCTGCCGTATCTTCGCAGGTGAGACCTTAGAAAACCCAACATCTGAGGGTGAGTAATATGCGACCAGTCCAGAATAGAAGTGGGTGTTCAGAACATTTAGACAAATTCAGAGAGAAAATTCAGAGAAAGGTATCCCTGTTGGGCCAGGATGCGACGAGGCAATTATTTGTTGGCTTGTGGCCCAAAATATATGCGAAGAAAGGGCTTAACGTTTGACCAAAAGCTCTGTTGAACAAGACCTGGGTCGATGGGGACCTTGTACGCCGATGAGAACGGTTGGAGCCGCCCCGAAAAGATTTCCCAATCTTTGTGCACAGGCATTTGTCGGTACAGATGAAGCCAACGCGGGTCAAACTTAGAAACAAAGAGGGAGCTTCGAAGCGCTGGAGGTCCTTCAAGATGGTTCTGAATCCTTCTACCTTTTTTGGGCCGTTCGATCGACCCACATGTGCGTTCCATCGAGTCTCTCCTTATGCCTAATGTTTTATCTCTTTACTCTGCCACGTGTCCAGGCACAAGGGCCGGAACAACATCACGTGCACGGGACGTTGCACCTCCGATGGCCCACAGGACGACACGTGTAACTTTTCACATTTTCCAATGCATTCAAATCCTGCCACGTGTCCAGGCACAAGGGCCGGGACCACATCACGACCATGGGGCGGTGCACGTACGACGGCTTACAGGACGACACGTGTTGCACCAATGGGCTGCTCAAGACGAAGCACACCAAGCGTTTTGTAATAATGGGGATCGAGTCGAACGACCTCACGAGCCAGGAACGGCAAGTAAGGCGTTCAAACGTCTCTCCCCTTTGGCGGTCTTTATGTTCGATGAAGTTCCTGATTCCGCCGCGCAGCTGTGATCTTAGTAGAATCCAGAGGCTTCGATGAAGGAGGGAACGCTTGGAGTCACCTGTTTGATGTCGGAAATTTCGCGACAGTTCAACGTCGCTTGTTCCTTTGCGTCAGCGCCGCGCCGCGTTTTTTGGTCAACGCAAGTACTCTCCTCCAAGTTCTCTCCCACTTCTGATAAGCTTCTGTCTCTGACCCAAGAATTCGTCATGCTTCGTGACACTTTTATCTTCTTGCTCTCGTCAACTCTTAGCTCCAGTAACCTGGTCACGATATTTATCCAGTCACTGGAACAACCGTTCCGGCCTTTTCCTTTAGGTCAGCATCCCCTACCTCACCTGCGTCCACCCCTCAACCTTCACTCAACCACAATCAAAGCTGCTGTTGATACTCCGCAAACCCGTTTTGACCCCGATCAAGTTTTTATTTTCCACCGAGACAATAGCAGTATGCCACTGGCAATCGGCCCGTTTCTCTCATTCTCTCAGGTCAACATTCCCTAGGCTAGGCTTTCCCCCGGTGACCCTCAACATAAACATATTCAAAAGAGGTGCATATGTACTTACCGTATTTACCATCTCAGACCTCGATCAGATTTTCAATCTGTAGAATTCGAATCGACCCAATATGCCAGTGGCAAACGGCCCGGTTTTCTGTTTCTCTCAGGTTAGCATCCCCTACCCCACCTGCTTTCATCCAGCAACCCCGGAAGAGATCACCACCCACAAATCCCTCATTCTCTCCGCCAACCGCACAGTCCTGATCAACTTCACGGGGCAACTAGACCGGGACGCGCTCTGGTGGGGCCGCAACTTGCGGAGCAAAATTGCCGAGCAGTGCGCAAATCACCCGGGAGAATGTGAAGTGGTAAACTGCGGCTCGGAATGCTACTGTACGACGGTCCTCAGCGGGCAGCTCCGGGCGCAATTTTGCCTGCAGCCGCCGGGGGATACGCCAACCCGGCGGAGCTTCTTTGATTCGCTCCAGGTAAGAAGCAAGCTCCCGGGGCCAAACTTTGAAAATCTGACTTTTCGGGTCAATTCTTGTGTTGTTTGCGGTACGAAAGTGCTCGAGGAGCACTGGCAGCTCCGGGCGCCCTTTTACCTGCAGCCGCGCGCTGGGAAACACGCCAACCCGGTGGAGCTTAATTGCTTCTCCGACTCGCTGTAAGTCCGTTTGATCTACGGGCCCAGAATTCGAAAGTCTAACCCTTCAGGTAGTATCAAGTCGTTGCTTCTTTTTTAAGCCACTCGTTACTGCCAGCTTCCGGCGTTGTTCTCTTCGATTGTTCGGTCAGGTCTTGCTTATGTACAACGGTGCTTGGGGGGTAGCCCCGGGCGCACTTCTGCGGACTGCAGCGAATGGAAGACACGCCAAGCCGGTGTGCTCTCTTCGACACGCTGCAGGTCGGGTTGACGTACCGAGATTGAGCATTGAGGTTTCCGTTCGCCGTCAGTTTGTGACCCTTTTGATTGTGTTTATTCTACTCATATCGCTCAAGTGCTTGCGGGTCAACCGGTGTTCGGCACTTCGAGAATGGGAAACTGTGTCTGGATGGATCTCGCCAATCGATACTGGCAACTAAAGATGCGGGTTTGCGAAGCGTTTGAACCGACCCTTTTCGTTCAGCGGCCGTGCGGTCCAGGGCCCCAGCATCGCAACACAGATGCTTCGTCGACAGGACAGACTATCAAAAGCAGCAAGAGAACTGTTTGCACGAAGAAACAAAAGGAAGCATTTTTTGCAGGCCGGCTGTATTCTCCTGGTTCTTCAGCAGTCAACAGTTCTGAAGAAAACGTGTTTGCGAAAAGTCTGGAGGTTTTGAGGACGGCTTTACTTTGTCTACGTATGCAGGCGGGCTGCATCCCAGTTCTCTTCCAGCGCGCATCCGCCTACGACGAGTACACGTCATTCCTGCCCGCCGACGAGAGTAGCTACTCCGTCTTCATTCCGGAGGGTGACGTCACTTGGGGCGGAGCTGACATCATCGAGACGCTCCAACGGATTCCGGAGGCGGAGATCGAGCGGAAGAGGGCCGTCATCGCAAGCATGCTGCCGTCCATCAGCTACGAAGACCACGGGAGAGCGCGCGAGCGCGCGCGGCGCGCGGCCGCGGGGCCGCAAGAGTCGCTCCCCGAAACCCAAAACCCTTTGGGCGAGAAGAGCGCGTACGGCGTTGCGCTGGCCGAGGCGCTCAGGCGCGTCGAAAGAGCGCTCGACGCGGCCGCCGCGGAGGCATCAAGCTGAGCTTCCAATAGTGCGATAGCCCCATGCACGTGGCTTTGACGCACTCACAATTTTAGTGAGAGCGGGATCGCCTTCACTGCTGCACGCAAATTGACTTACTTCAAGAGGAGAATCAGTCACAGGTTTGCTGTACAAGAGGGCAGATTGTCACCAAACCCTTTATCTAATACGCAAGGATTCAAATTAATCTCCTCCCTCCTGAAGTAGCAGCAGCAACTTGAGGGGGAAGCTTGAACCTAAACATAGTGCTAGGATGCCGAGTGATGCACGCCTTTGAAAGCTAAGCGATCTTAACGGCCAGACCTTTCAGAGCAACTGATAGTTGAGACTCTTGTTCAACTTCGCAGAAAGAACGGTCCCGTTTGTTGCGTGAATTGAACGGTGGCTGGCCAGCTTTTGTGTGGTCGATCAGTTTGATAGGGTGTTGTCCTCTACTGAAAGTTGCCGCATGAGCGGCTTCACAAGACGGCTGTGACAACTTCGGCGAGATTCATCAAACCCAAGAAGTTTGTGTTTGCAACTTGTAGCCAGGCGCTAAGTTGCGCTTGCTGTTCAACGGTGTGTATTCGGAGGAGGTATTCACTTCCATTCTGCCCAATTGTTCTCCATACCGTCTCTTGTAGCCTGAGAAAGCTGCCCTCGCTCAACAATTGAAGCGCGCGGCTCTGCTGTAGTCTAATTGGTTGGTGCGCACCTCAAAGAGCTGCACGCATGAACGGAACGTGCTGTACTGCTGACGATATGATGCGCAAGCTGAAATATATATCTCCCAGCTTGCGAAACGAGCAGAAACGAAGTACTGAGCTTCCTTCGTCCCTGTGTTATGATGTGCGAGCTGAAGTACTTGACTTCCTTCAGCCCTCGAAGCGATTAGAAACGAAGTACTTGACTTCCTCCGTTCCAATATGCGGCACGAGCTGAGCTTGCCGCTCAAGCGCGTAGGGATGATGCAAGCGCGAACGAGTGAGAAGACGTGACGGGCAGCCCCGAGGGGCCGGGCTCCTGGGCCTGAAACGAGTTGTTGAGGCGTTCTCGAAAAACGTGGTGCTTCGTTGTTACAGCTTGTGTTGTGTTCCGTTCACAAGCAGCCTACGAGTTAAGACGAAAGCGCGACCTAATTCGGAAAGCGCTCTTCAAGTCCGCTTCAGATCGACTCACAGCTTGAACTTAGTTCTTTTGGGAAGAAGCATCAATTCTATTTACAGCCTTGCGATTAGTACTTCGTAGACTCCAACACGGAGCGAATTCATGTCCATACACTTATCGAGCCCGGTCTCTCTGTATCTCGATCTACCTATATTGACACGCTACTCCCACGTCACACCCCTGGCTTATACTTGGCCTACGACTCTCCCCTTGTCCCGCTCCTCGTGTCCGCCAATCTTCGGCAATCCTCCGGGTCTTGGCTTGACGAACGCTTGAGTCTTGAACGCCTCCAGTCTTCAAATAGAGTCTACACGCCAGGCTAGCTATACAGCCATGGTTCTCAGCCGGTTGATTACTGTTCGAGCCTCTTCGAGGAATGTTTGAATGTTCGAGTCATCCGACCTGATCTTTAAGACTTGTAAACAGTACTTGAGGAGTTGGACGATACAGTCTCGACTTTTAGCTGACGAATCAAGAAGGCGCGCGCGCACTGCGCATGCACTCGAGCGCGCGCTCGTTTCACTTTTTTGAGACGGTTCAATCTTTATGGCTACAGCTGTAGCCTCCTCCCCTTCGCCGAAAACTTCGCGTTCTACTATATAGTACCTATTGAAGATTCTTATGTAGTATTGAAAACTCTGGGCAAATTCGAAAACAATTGATGCCCAACCGGCGTGTTGTTACTAACGGGTTATAAGCGAGAGCACTACCTACGTACCTAGTACGACTATTTACACTCATGATCCCTGGGTGGGTACCGGGGTACGGTAGCCCTGGACAGCTTTGAAGTTCGAAGTCCGTACATTTACGTTTCAACAGAACTGTCTGACAGTCTGGACTCTGTCTGACATTACGGGACCAGTAAAAAATAATCCTGTCTGCCGTAATGTACCGTACTGACGTATTATGTGGACAGCTCAGAGTCCAGACTGTAGACAATGTGTTTAACCGTACCAATTTCCAGACTCCAGATAGGTACCGTACATCGGTACTGGTCACTACCATAGCTCGTCAGTGATGTACCGTACCAATGCAGGAAATGCAGTCACGAGTCACGCGACTCACCAATACCGCGCCCACTGTCCCAGTGCCGCAAAAAGGTCGAGGCACTGCACTTGGAAAGTGTGAACAGCCCGTGGACAGCTGTGTGCATGATTGCACTTCGGGCCATGACAAGTGCCATGCTCGGCCAGTCTGAGTGGGCACAAGCTTTCCATATTCAGAAGAGCCAGTACCATAACGTCCTGTTCGCTACACGCATCGGATCGCCCCGGGGCGGTCCGACTCGAAGAAGGATATCGGTGACGGCTCCAAGTCATCTCTTCCGGCCGTAAAATCGACGGGCCCTGATCATCCTGAATTGTCGGGCCTGGAATAGGTAGGTACGGTATGCCTTCCTGCCACCTGGATTGACACTTCCTTTCCCAGCTGTCATTGAACACTGCCCAACTCGCATCCCGGCCTGCAATATGTACCTAAGTACCGGTTCGGTAGGTCTGAACGACGACCTTGTGACGGTCTACATGTCGACATTCTCGTTAGCAACGACATGCCGGATTTGTCGTTTTAATAGGTAACTCGGATGCAATCCTGCACTCTGACAACAAGTTGAGAAAGGACAATCGATCGTGTGCAGTAGGTAGTTGGTAGCACGTCCGTACTAGTAGGTACGGTACGTCACGTGCAGGCAGGTCCTGGCAGGAATCATCACCCATCATTCATCACCCCGTACCGGTACATGGCAAAAGATCCTCATGCATGGTTCGCTTGGCGAGGACCATGCCAATAATGGCGAGCACCATGGGGAAACCATGGCGCAGGAAAGTATCAGGACGTACATCAGAGTCATCCCTTCGAGCCTCATCTTTCCTAGCGAAAATAGCCCTTACGCCAGAAGTTCGGTAGAAGTTGTTGCAGAAGAAATGCGACCCGCTGATCACGTCGGTCTTTTTGCTTAGGGCTGCAATGATGCATAAGGCAAATCCTTATGGGGCAGCGAGCCCGCAGCGAGCGCTGCCTTGCTCCTCCTCGTGTGGACCGCCCGAGCTACTGCCGTTGATCCCTGCTCAGACAGTCCTGCAATCAATGACCCCATCTGTGGTGCCTCCCCGTCCCTGACAGATTGCAATGACCAAGCGTCGTTGGAACAGAATTTGGGGTACTTCATACGTCACACCAGTGGCACAATGATATAGACGCCGCTGGTACTTACATAGATTCTAGTGATGTTCCTGCAGCTTGTTGCAACTCATGCCAGATGAGGTCAGACTGCGATGCTTGGAACACTATTACACTATACAAGGAATTGGCTGCTACCACATTTTGCCTTCCGATTGCAGCGGTAAGGTGTATGAACGGATTACGCTAGGCAATCCTGATAACTCTGGGACCGGTGGCACATCCGCACAGAAAAGGTGCAATCCATGTGAGTTTTTCTGGCTAACCTTCCCTGTGTTACTGTTGTGTGTTTGAGTTTCTCGCTTCTGTGTGACTTGGCATCGTACAGGTCTAGAGGCAACTTCGACATGCTCTCTGTCAATCAAGCAATGTGTCCACCCAGATTTTGTTACATTATACAAGCCTTAAATGTTGTCAGATCCCCTTCCTACGACCAATGCTCCCCTGTTCTTTCCATCGGTCCTCCCTCTAACTTTCTTGAGCATAACCTCTTCCAAAGCTCCTCTTGAATCAATGGACGGCAACATGTTAGTTCTACTATTTTATCGATTCTGAATTGGGTAAACAAGCTGGGACTGGTATCGCTTGTAATTACTCCTTCCATTTCCATTGGTTCACTACTTATCTGACGCTTGTACAGTCTCTGTTCTTTGACATTTCTTGTGTCTGTTCAACAGCGGCGGGAATGGCAACCGCCCGGCAACCGGAAAGCTGGATCCCCACCTTGAGATAACGCGCCTTAGCAGCGGTGACAAGCTCAACTCCTCTTTCACATTCGACTTCCATGGTATGGACGGCAATAACTACTGCGCAATCTCGGACAACCGTCTGGAGGTAGGTATATTTTTTGGGCATGCTTGAGCAGATTTTGGTGAGCTAAACAAATGCAAGTCGCACGTTTGCTTAGGAACAGTATCCCTAGAGGCCACTCATAACACTAGCAAAGCCGTCTCAGTTTTTTAAAAAGCACAGTGCTCTCCTCTTCTAGTTTAAAAGCGATTGGACATTTCTCAGCTGCATACCCAATAGCTACATATTTGGATTACCCACTTGCTGTGAAACTTGTCTTGACTCCTTGCACAGGTGAATGTACAGATGTTCAGCCTTCCCTCGGAAGCTGTTGTCCTGGAGCGGCCGGTGGAGGAGGCTGACCCGTTGTTTGAAGGCACTTGGATGAAGGGCTTTGGGATCCTGTACCATGACCAAAACCAAGAGCCTCACAGAATCAGCATTCTCCTTGATCCAGCCGCTGATAGGCTTGGCGAGCAGCCTTTCAATGCAACTTGCGACAAGATTCCTGTGATGGCCCTAGATGTAAGCGGCCGCTTTGTTGATGAAGATCTACTCTTGTTTCTTGAATCTATCTTCCTTTAACTGCCCCTGGCTTTTCTGGGACTCCTTACGCTTTCTGCTAGCTGCAATTGCATTATAAGCAGGCCTTGCTCACCCTGGGTGGCATAAGATAGTCAAACCAAACATATGCCGCTCGTCTGCTTAGATTTGTACCGACACTTACCTGCGCCATTTGTTGTACATTGAGCGTTTCTTATTGCTTGCAGATAGTTAGAACGCCCTCCTATACATGCTTAGCCCAAAGTTGCGTTGATATCAAGGGATGACACAGCATGCAGCATGTACCTACTTGAGTGAACTCGTATAGATGGATCGCCTCTTGTTCTATCCAGGCACCAGGCCCGGTCGTGTGGAAGAGCCCTGACGGCCTCGCGACCATCGTGCGTGAGGCTAGCCGCATCAACTCCCTCGTAATCTCTTTCTCCGACTTGCTCGAGATGGAAGTGCTCACCGACTCAGAGAAGGAGCTGATTGCAGACCCGCCCGTTCACTTCCTGAACTTCAATGTCAGGAATATCACCACCACTCCCGAAGTGCACGGAGTAAGTCAAATCCGCAACCCCGGTCCCATGCTATCCTTGTACGAAAATTCGAGAGTTGATCTGGAGATGGCTAGTCTTTGTTGGCAAAGTAGGGATGACCTAGAAATCTGGTTGAGGAAAAATCCCACCTGGAGCATCCGTTTGTCAGGTGCTTTGCTCATACAGCCCTTGGAAAGGTTTCTTCAAGTGGCGATGCTCTAGGAATAACACCCCAATTAAACCTTTATCACGGCACCTTTTGTCAAGATAACCACTCCACAGATCCGCTTCAGAATCCTCCTTCTTTCGTCCTTGACCATTCAAGTTGGTCCAATCTAACGCTGTCAAGAGTACTCGTGTGACACAATGATGTGCGATAGCTGCATCAAGACTACTTACACGAAGCTTCTCTGAGATGCAGTTCCTCGGACAAATGTTTGCGCCGGGGGCTATTCCTGAGAGGCTGAACATGGGCACCCTGGATGGGCTACGTCACCGGGAGTACGTGGAGGGTACCGATGAGGAGTATGCTACCTCAAGTCTGACCGAAGAAGATTGCTCTTTCAGTCGCTTCAACAAGGTGTGGCTCCTCGTGTCCCTGTTTCGTATACTTGCAAGTTTGAGGTCCCTTCGACTCGGACCGAGTTTGAGGACGTTTACAAATGCGTCTCGTCAATTCAAAGTAGGTCCGGACAACAATCCGCTTTATGCAAAGCAGGAAGTTCTGCATCGCGTCAACTTGAACAGGTTCGTATACATTGAAATGAAGGTGCCATTCTCGACTCTGAGCCAAGTTTGATTACCAACTACCGTCTGCTTCCTTTTCTTACAACTGCTTGTCTGATCGAGAGGACCCTTGACTCGTGCGAAGCACCGGTGGGCTGGCGCGCCCCCCTTACCTTCGGCTCCTAGCTGCTGCTTAGAAGACCGCCAGCTGGCGCCGCTGTCCAATCCGCAAGAACAAAAACGTGTCGAGAGGTCTTATGCATAGCATAGAAGGCAAATGTAAAGTCGGTTTTGCACACTCACAGCACACAACGGGGATACGGATCAAGAGCTTCGCGTCACGGCATGCGGGAGTTCCAGATCTGCCCTTCGAAGTGGTAGATTTCATTAGCAACCCGATTGGGCTGAGAGCCAGGGTTTGGTGCGTCATCACTCTCTCGTAAGCATGGCGGCCGTTAGCTCGTTCCTTGTGACTACGAAGCCCAAATAGGAAGGGTTTGGCTGCTAGCCAAGGTCGGTTATCATAAGCAGACTCGAGGCTCGAGCCTGGTTCTCCACCCAATAACCGGCCTTTAACCATGTCAAACGTCAGATTATTGCCCGACTTGAAGATCCCATACTTGCTCGAGTCTGGTCACCGGACAAGTAACCAGCTTTTAACCAGCTCGTAGCTGCCCATGGTTATTCGTCAAAAACCCTGTTCAAAATCATTCCCGCCGACCTGTCCAAGCAAAATGATGTTCTCCTCTGCGGTTTGAATTTTAATGCAGGAAGGCGAGAAGAACGATGCCGCCGGACTGGCTGGTGCTGTTGCAGGGGTGCCGCACGCTATCTTGTCCGGCCGCCGTCTCCTCAAGGTCTTAAGGCTTTAGGAGCCCAAAATGCGCTGGGACTAAGTTAGGAGACCCCGTCTTCACATGATCGTCGGTTTAATAGCTTGCAGTCTTCGCTTCTAGGTGTGGAAGTAGAGAAGGAGGGCAGCCATTTCGGAATTGGTCGGAGGCAATCCCCATTCTGATTGTGCATGTTTGTCTAGGCAGAGTAAAGTGTTTGGTTAAGCCTTGGATTTTATGCAGTATATAGCCGGGAATATAGCGGTCATGGCGCCTGCAGACACCGCACCGTGCCAATTTCAGTGTTTCAAGGACTCGACGGTTCAAAAATGGTTCAAGAACGGTTCACAGGACTCGAGGCGGGTGCCCAGATCCCTTGACCAATACATGTTGCAAAGAACAGTCGAACGAGGTCTGGGTTTGTAATGGTTAAGTATTGTTGCTCAACTTGCGAGTCGCGGTCCAGCAACACAGTAGCAGTTGACCGGACCCTCATGCATACACAGTCTCAACTAGTGTCCGGTTGATAATTTACATGGACTGCATCTCTTAGCAAACTAGATGTTGCACGATTTCGCTGGTTGATACTCTCAAAGTCCCTGTCAGCCTCCATGCAGTACTTAGCTCACACTTCGATGCATTGTGAATCAGATTCAAGCAATATATCATCGGGAATTCTTTCAAGGACTTGACGAGTAGTATTGAACCCTTTTGCCAACTTTGATTATATGCATTATCCAACGTACAGCGAGTCGGTCCTTACTTGCATGTGGTATATGGTATGACACTCAATCGAGTTCAATCGTAAGACTTTGCCTAACTCTGGTTGGGCTTCCACATGTTCGCAAAGTTTCATAAGACCTCGTAATTTAGAGCCGATTAATTCGCTCCCATCTTCTCCTTCCTTTGGAGCAGACGTACGGTTCCGCTGTAAAACCAAAGGGCTTGTGCAGCGCTTTTAGAGCACTTCGTTGAAGCGTTTTCGGACCGCCAACGATCCAACTCGCAAATATTACCAAATGCGGATCTTACTCGTTTGCGCAGTGTATGCGCGACGCATATCCCTGTCAGTGTCGCACAGCGCGTGGCGAAGACGCGGCCGGGGATTTCTACCGGCATGCTGCACCTGAACCACGCTCCACTGCGGGATCGACACGTGTCTTGAGGTGTCTCCGCTGGGCTGGGTCCTGGGCCGCCGCCCACCTAGGGCCATCTCCGCCTGCCGGCCGCACTTCTGCCAGCAGGCTCCCCTGCGGAGTCTCTTCGACTCGCCGCAGGTCCGGTTACATTCCGGGTCTGGGCGTTTCTCTTCTTTGAACTTGACGCGCTTGTTTAATTGCTCATTTCGAGACGTTTCTGCTCGTGTTTGCTTACTACTTCCGCTCAGAAGGTTTGCAGGGGACCGGATAGTCGGATATGTGGATAGGACCCTTGTACTCAACAAGGAAAACCGTACGTGACTGTGACAACCCCGCTGGGCGAAGCGCGCGGTTAAGGAACCTCGCCAGTCATATCCAAGTCAAAGTTTGGGAGAATTACTGGAGGCTTTCCCTTTTGTAGGCCATGCAGGGCAGAGCCCTAGCATCGTTATACAGATACTTCGACGGCCGGAAAGGGCCTTAGAAATACACGAGAAGGTTGATGTCACGAAGTGCTGACGACGGGTAAAAACAGGGTTCCGAAGCCTCTTGTGTTGCCTCTCTATTCTTCTAACAGCTGCACATACGACGTCAGCTCTATTTCCGTCCGGTCAATTCCGGCTCATTCCGTGCACGCTCGCCTTAGCTCCGCCATCCGTTATTCCAGTGAACCCCGAAAGCGCGCGCGCGTCAGGGCCGCGATCAGCGCGCGCGTCTCTCCCGCCATCCGCAGTGTGTCTTTCTCTTCTGGCACGATCTCGTCGCTTGGCTCGGCCGCTGGCAAATCCTCGATGCGAAGCAAATCGCTAATCCTCTCGTGTCAGGTGTGCGCGCGCGCGAGCGAGAGCGCGAGCGCAGCTAGGCGGCCGCGGTCCCTAAGCGCGGACAACTCACGTCAAGAAGTCCGTCCGCAAGAGGATCTGCTTGCAGTCGGTCGGGCAGCGCTTGCTTGTAGCGGGACAAGATACCCTCAATCACCTGCGCCGATCACAATGGGAGAAAATCAGAATCTCCCGGTTGCATCCAGATTCTGTTTCTTCCACATCAATCAGTCCAAAGTACGAGAGAAATTGGTCGCCAGACTCAGAGAGATTTTACTACTTGACCTTCAATTACAGGTGGGCTGCATCCCGGTTCTCTTTCAGCGTGCATCCGCCTACGACGAGTACACGTCATTCCTCCCCGCCGACGAGAGCAGCTACTCGTCTTCCATTCCAGAGGGTGATATCATTTGGGACGGGGCTGACATCTTCGAGGCGATCCGACGGATACCGGAGGCGGAGCTCGAGCGGAAGAGGGCCGTTATCGCGAGCATGCTGCCGTCCATCAGCTATGAGGACCACGGGAGAGCGCGCGAGCGAGCGCGGCGCGCGGCAGCGGAACCGCTCCCCGAAACCTTCAACCCTCTGGGGGAGAAGAGCGCACACGGCGACGCCCTCGCCGGCGAGGCGCTCAGGCGCGTCGAGACAGCGCTCGACGCGGCGGCCGCCGAAGCGTCAAGCTGAGCTTGACCCGGCTCAGGAAATTCTCCGGAAAGTGACTCTCATGTAAGTCGAGAAAGGCGCCCGGGAGACGTATGTACTTAAGTTTGTGATTAGGGTGGGTTCGGGGTGGAGCGGATCATCCTTCGGTTCAGCATATCATCCATTTTGTTGAAGTACGGGCAACGTACTCAGCTTCGTTTTCTTATTGAACGCGAGTCGCTGGGTTCGTGTTAACCGCCGCAAGCGCATGAACAATTGTAAAGAAGCAGGGGCAGTCCTAGCGAAGCACTCCCTGGCCGTATCTCTCTGCATCACGGAACGGGTTCATTCCTTCACCGATAATTTTTAGCATTTGCAGCCAGAGGCAAATCTTCGGCAACTGAGATTGGTGCCAAAACTCGACGCTGATACACGATTCGGGGATATCACAACAAACATATCGTATCCGAGGCGACTGATACTCTAGTGGCCGCTTTTGATCAAGTACGAGGGAGAAAGGATCCCGGTTGCTGCGGTGGAAGGCACCTGGCGAGCTTGTTTATGGTCACTCTGACAGGATGCTGAATTTTGTAGACTGCTGTGTGACCGGTTGCTTTGTTCACATAACGGAAAAAAACAGACGTGGGCGGAGACTTTCGTTTGCCGCTGGAAGTCTGCATAAGAGAGATTTTCGCCAGACATAACCTTACTAGACTTGGCTCATGTTCTGAGGAGGCCGCGCTCAGTATAAACAGCCAGGAGTCACACTCGGACTTTGTTCAAGTCCATTCAAGCACCTGAGTTTCGGTCACAAGTGGGAAGCAGCCTTGGGTGCCGTTTTGTTCTATTGCATAATCTGCAGGACGAACTTGATCGAGGATGGTGTACACTTCTGATACTTCGCAGTGGTTCCGCGCGGTTAGGGCGCTCCAGTTCGAGCTGGAGCGGAAGAGGCGGAGCAAGGAACGGAGAAGGCGCGAGCGGCCCGTGCGAGTCTGGGGCGTTGTTACGTCATGTTTTCTGTGCTTACGTGGGAGTAGAACATGTAGAACGATCGCCGAACTCGAACTGACTTAGAATTTGCAATAATCTGCAACGATGCCTCGCGTCATCGCGTACACGACGTCACCGTGAGTGGAGTGATTGCTCCATAGGACGTTTATTTAAAGTTCGCCAGTCAATCAACGATTGCGCGCTTGAATGATTGTACATTCATTAGTCACGTCCTACGTTGCCAGTGATATTTGATCAACTTAGAGTGAAGCATTTGCGAATCCGTGCGGCTTTTCGTTTGCGAATCTGCGTGTATGGATGTGGACTATGCACCGCAACCGCGAGAGTCGCTTGTGGAGCCCCAAGTGCAGGGGCGCGTACGTCGTAGCGCTGGCCGTGGCGCTCAGCGCGGCCGCGTCAGAATAGCGCTCGGAACGGCGGCCGCGGAAGTGTCAAGCTGAGGTTTGGCCCTTCCATTTGATCTGACAGGGCATGTGACTTTGGATAGGCGCCTGGGAGACATGTGGGGTTAGTCCCATGCTGTTAGGGTGGGTTTACGTGCGGAGCGGAGTATTTGGTTTGGGGGTTTTAAGTTACTTCGCAACTCGTGTCCTGAGGCAAACGCCGGCCGCTGATTTCACGGCCCCTGACACGAATGGGGAGTGCGCTCCCTTTCCAGTTATCTTCACTGCCGCAAATGATGATCATATCTTATACCTGGCGCAGGAAGCTTCGCTGTACAACTGTACGAGCGCGCCGAGAGTGCGAGTTTCCTCAGGTTTCGGACTGACCAGTTTTCAGTCACTCCCTCTCTCCGGCGATTATTTGCCATTGTATGGCGTATATATAGCGCCAGCACGCCGGACGGGTACACGCCTCCGGCACTAATCGCAAGTTCTACGGCCTTTCTTTCATAGAAGTTTGCGATGATCAGACCAATAGAAACGAATCCTAGTTGACGGTTTTACTCTGCTGCGCAGAAAGAAAGGTTCCGTTCGCAACGGCAGAGGGTGCCTTGCCTAGACGAGTTTGTCCAGAATGGTCAACCGGACAGGGTTGCTTGAGACGTTCCAGACTAGTATGTAAGCGAAAAGAAATTGGCAAAGACTTCGGTAAAGCTGCAAATTAATTGAGCCTGCACTGGGAACCTCCAGCCAGGCGCGAGCTGACTTGTGTAGTCTGAGGGGGCCAGGCTGAGTCGAACAAACATTCGGTGTTACTCTGCCTTTTTCTTCCAAATCCAGACCGTTTCTCGAAGACCTGGAGGTCAATTACATGCAAGTTGGATGCCGCCTGGCGCAGTTTCTTTCTCTTGCAAGCACAAGGGAAGGCACCTGATCAGAATCGAAAATGGACTCTTCTGAAGTCGTGGGTAAATAAGTGGTACTTCGCTGCTATTTTAAGTTCTACGACATCAATTCGCGCTGAAGAGGATCAGGAAGGAGCAAATTCGGCGCAGACATGGCGCTTGTGGGTTTGGGGTGCTGTAACAGCACCTTTCTCGTGCTCACAATTCAAAAGAGAGCCACAAACGATTCCGAAAAAAGGCGTCAATCGGACGGTGCACAGCATACCCTAAACAAATACCCTAAACACGCCTCAAAGTGGCATGGACCCAAGCGAGCGAAGCCTGCCGGGCTTAAACTAGCGGCACAACTGGCAAGAAAGTTTCCAGGCCCGTCGCTTGATATTTATATGCATGCCGCAACATAGCTAAAGCTTGTAATAATGGGGTAATAATGTTCGGAAGCGGCGCTCCAGACTCTTGTTTCAACCTGGCCCCCAGTCCTTAGACGTAAGCGACTTGAGTGTTGAGGAACATTGTTGAAAGTTCTGATGAAGAGTGCTTGAGAGAAAACATACGCTTTCCCCGAACTTTAACTATTGCATGTGACTTGTTTTATCTTTATCGATCCTTAATCCCGACTCGATCTTGCGCAGGTTCTTTTCGACAACTAAACTTCGCTGATACAGCTTCAAGCTCTCAGCTGCGCGCTCGTTCATAAAGCACTGCTTCTTCAACGACACGCTTTTGGTAGATCATCGGACAGCAGATCGATCGTCGAACACGCTAATAAATCAGGTTGTGAGTAAATAAAGTACTAGGCTTATTTTGATAGCGCAGCGCCACGTGCCACGGTGCCGGCCATGCATATGGTACGTTCATTTCATGCCCTAGGTAGGTTGCCGTGCTAGCTGTTCACCGGCCAGCCGGCCGGCCGGCGGCGCGGCGCCAAGGGCCGCCTGCAAGCTATAGATCAATTGCGGACCCGTGTCTACATGAACATGCAATTGTATGAATGATGATGCCATGATGTTTATACATGCAGAGGTCAATATTGGTCTATCGAGTCCAATCATGACCGACGGTACTCAAAAACCGAGTCTCTGCATTGAGTTTTAGTATAGTCAAGTTGATGACTGCCAGCCTCCCGGAGTCCTGACTGACATATGCGCCGCCCTAGGTGCTTGTTGCAACGGAACTCATCCAATGCTTCTTCAAAATCGATCGGGATAATAATGTAATCACAAAAACAAGGCGCTTCTTTTCGCTCGATCTGATTATCACTGATGGTATTACTGAGGGCAATGACGCTTCAGGCTTGGCAAATAGTTGGACAAAAGCAGATTACCTGCTGTGGATATGTGACACAATCTGCCTCTGGAAGCCACTCTAGCTGCGCGGCAGCTTGCACTCAATTTTGCTCGGTATTACCTTCATATATGAAAGTACGATGCGTCTTCGATTTTCAAAACGAATCTATATAACTCGCATGCCAAGCTAGGTGCCAAAGCATGGCACTCGCTTCCTTCTCTGTGTGATTGAGGACTCTACGGAGGGGAGCGCTCATATACGTATACAACTTTGACTATGAATATAACATCTTTATCACCTCAAAAGTTGGTGACGTCTACACTCCACGCTTGCAGAGGGGATGGAAACCCCACGACGCGCCATGCTCAAGCTGGTAGATTGTATTGGCGCCGCCCAAGATACCTGCAAAAGCAACGTACTGCAACGCTAAGTTCGGTACAAGCTGGGCATCTGGCGATCCTGATAACTGTCCCACAAGACTTTAAGTGGCAGCAGTACGGCGATTGCCTGCTTCTGGGCGGGGCTACTTTGATGACAGCAAGCTGTCCTTGGGCAAACATTCTTGTCATTCAAGAACTGCCCAGTTTTACCTCTAAGCCGTACTCTGCCCATTTGCAAATGCCACTCCATTGGAAGTAACGACTTCCAGAAAGCCTCCTTCCTCTCAACACTATCGACAACACAAGAGTAATCTGGGTAGCCTTTGTTCCGGACAGGAGAGGACGACAGATTCTTCCGATAGAATGAAGGCCTTTTGAGGAACGAGGCGGCTGTTGTCAGAGACGCAAAAAGCGCATCTAGAGCGCCGTGCTGGTGATCATGCTGCCCGCGAAACTGAGAAACGATGTGAACGGAAAGCTTCCGCCGGAATGCAAACCGACTGCAACGGAACAAGCCCGACGAACCTATAAGCGCCGTGCTGATGATCATAACGCAAACACGATGTGAACGGAAAGCTTCCGCCGGAATGCAAACACATTCCAACCGAACAAGCCCGACGCACCTATGAGCGCCGTGCTGGTGATCGTAATCCCCACGAAGGCAAACACAAATTTAAACAAAAAGCTTCCGGCGGAATGCAGCCGGAATCCTACGGAACAAGCGGAACGCACCTATGAGCGCCGTGCTGGTGATCATAATCCCCGCGAGCGCAAACACGATAACCGACGCGCGCCCCTGCTTCGCGACGATCAACCGGACGGTCGAGTTGCCGAGAAACGACGACCCGGCGCATACCACGCTAAAAACGAGCGCTGCACGTACAATATAGAGGATCGAGATGAGCTTTTGGGCTAGGTTACGGATTGGACTTCGGGTTTGGGTTGGATTTTGGGTTTGGGTTTTGGGGTTTGGGCCGTGTCCGGGTGTGGGTTAGCGCAAACTAGGCGGGGAAGTATGGTGGAATTGCATGCGCTATAGTTAGTGTAATCGGCGTGTGACAGAATGGATAGAGTGCCCAGTCAAGACGACACGGCGCACACCGTTGTGAACACGAGCGTTTACAAAAACCTTGCTTTATGTGATATTGGACAGTCTCCGCAAACTTCCAATAATCGGCGACTGGAATGATCAGATGCTGGAAAGAGAAGGGGGCTGAACACGAATTTTGCGCACCTGCGGTGACCGGCAGTTGGCCCATGATCCCAAACTGGGCGGCGGCCATAGAGGCGCAGAAGAAGATGAGCACAAATGACGTGGCAGCCGTAACCTGGGGAACGAAGTATTGGCGACGAGATGTCAGCAAGCGGACAGCAAAAAAAGCTGGACATTTGTACGCAGCTTCTTTTCGGAGCGAACGGCCAGAAACGAGAAAAGAACCGGGAACTGAACCAACGGAACCAGAAAAAATAGGACGTCAGAAGCCTGTCGCCATTCAATTGTGTCGGTGTATTTGACCACAGTTTACTCAGAATGATCAGCTGGAAATGCGCCCGTCGCTTTCTGACAGAATGAGCCGAGAGAGAAACTCAAGTGCACAGGTTTGTTGATGTACGGAGCTTCCTTCCAGCAAGCACATTTGGGAGCTTTCTATTGAGCTGCAAGGAACAAAATGGTTTCTTCCTTTCCCATCTCACGCTCCGCTACACTTGGGAGACAGCTATCGGAATTTGTCCACTCGAATCGCAGAAGCCTTTCTCCCGAAAACGTTGACATACGGACTTCACCCCGGACAGGTCGTAGCGTAGAGGCGTCATCAGTAACCTCCTTCCCCATCTCAACCCTGGTTTTACTCTTCCAGGGGGGTGATCTCACCTGCGGAATAACCCCCAGCTCCAGCAGCAGCGGGTTGATTAGCATCCCCCCCCCGATCCCGAGCATGCCCACAAGCGTGCCTGCTACAAACGCATACGCCGGATACCGAATGACTTCCCTTTTCGTCCAAACAACCCCCCCCTCGCTTTCTCCGATCTCCTCGTTCTTGATAAGCCGGCAGCCTTCTGCCCATATGAAAGCGACGGCTATGGGAATCTGCAAGAAGGGGTGGAGAGAAGAGGTTTGAATCGGTCAAACGAGCCTTGATTCTGGTTGACGCCCAACGAGGGCATCTCAAGAATTGTGTCTTGACCGGCCGTCTGCCAAGCTCTCAAGCAAGTCCCCGCCAATCCTTCAAATCGACCTCTACCTGTCCCTAAAAGCGACTTCTGCCTAGGTTGAAGAAGAGCGCTTTGTTTCACGGATAAGATGGTTCTCATTTGCGATGAGGTGAAGGGGGCAGAACTGCAGAAAGCGCTTGGTTGAAAAAACACGAACGCCTGACCGCGACCTGCGGCTAGCCTTCAACATTGTAGTACTGGCTTTAAATGCTTCCCATGATGTTCAGCGGTTGACCTCTTACAGCCAGGCTGACTTCCAGTTCTAAGATTCCACGGGAATCGACCATCATTTGGCACCAAGTCATGACGAAAGCCTGACGAAAGCCCCGGTGTCCAATTCTCTCGAAATTACTGATACTCAGCAGACGATCAGCGACTCAAGCTTCCAGGTTGTTTCCGCGTGCGAGAGGAGCCTCAGGAACGCTGGTGCCTGCGACTCTGACCTTGCAAATGGCGGCCTGTCCGTAATTACGCTGTGGGCACGTGAAAGAAAGTTTCAAGTGGACCATTCTATACACTTATCAAGAACGTCACTTTACATGGAATCACCAGCGTAGTGGAGTCCTTTGTAGAAGGCTTCCAATCCTGGTTTTTCACAGGGCAAATCACTAGATATAACATCACAGGGTCCCAAGACTTACCTGTACCAAGTCGAGCGCCCAGTACTGCCAGTCGCACGACGTGATACCAAACACGCTCGGTGCGCTCTTCCCGCCCTGCAGCATTATGACGTGACGTCAGTAAAAGGACCATGGGAGACGTCACCAAGGATCAAGCCGCGATCGCGCGGCGGGCAACGGAAACGGAACGCTCGGGAAAGGAGAGCAGATATGCAAAGCGAGAGGCGACAATTGACGCCAACGCTCTGTAGCCAAAGTCCTTCGATTTGGAGCTCTTCGCTGCTTGATCAAGACAGAATGACACGGGCATGCCGTTTTCCCACTGCAGATTGCTGGGGCTGCACCGCCTTTTTCTCAGGGTTTAAGGTTTTAGGGTTCCATGGTTCCAAGGTTTCGAGCTTCGGGCGACTCCGCACCTGAGCAATTGCTGGCCAAAGAAGACGAGCCAAATCAAGGCGGCCTGCCACATCGAAGGCGTTCCCACCTTTCTTCCAACAGAAATGCAGGGTTTCGTAACTTCAGCACTTCTGGTGTGTGACTACTCCGCACCATGAGCACTTGCAAGCCGAGAAAGACGAGCCAGATAAAGGCTTATTGCCACAGTCAAGGCCTTGCCCCCTTTTCCCCCCAGTAAAATGTGTTGTATTTGCAGTTCTTTCGGTTTTTTAACACTCCGCACCTTGAGCACTTGCAAGCCGAAGAAGACGAGCCAGATGAAGGCGGCCTGCCCCACCCGGGGCCACGGCACCGGGATCGGCGTCTCCTCCATGGGAACCTTGAACTTCTGCAGCCAGAAAGCGGAATAAGATGACATCCTTACAAGAGGGGCGCTCCAGTGGAACCAATCTCCGGTTGAGATACAGCCAGGTTGAGGTAGGTCAGTGCTTGGGACGGGTGGGGTTTATTGTGGGTAAGGTGGGGTTTGTGATTAGGGCTTTGCGTGAAAGGGTCCGCCCGGTTCCAACCCTGTATCTCATCTGGCTCAACTTAAAGAAGAATCAGAGTTGTGGGCGCTTCCACTCCAACGAATCCAGTCTGGTCAAAGGGTACGGGTTTTGTCAGCGCCTGAGGCGTTCCCCGGAGAAAATTACCTGTCAAACTCCGCGAAAGGGTGGAAACAGAACAGACCAGCTCGCATTGCACAAACGAAAGAAGCAAAATATGGCACCCCGAAGTAGGTCAGCATTCTTCTTGTGCCGAGACACTCCCAAAGTCGCCAAACGCACAGACGCCAAACACCAAACGCCAAACGCACAATCTCGAAACAGCTTTGCTCGAATCACAGAGTTTCCACGCTTCGACTCTAGCCTTCCAACCGCCTCTAGACAAACTGCATGCGTTTTCGACGTTGCAAACGGCCGCTATCTTTCGACGACCAAAAGAGCTTCCCACACTTACATCTACCGGGTTGTGACTCCCCGGGTACTCCCGCAGGTTTCGCAGCAGGGGGACGCTATTGCTGTTGCGCGACCCCCCCCGCGCCTTCTCCGCTTCCCCCAGGAGGTCCACGTGGCCCGCCATTCCCTCGCTCCCGACCATGTTCGCGTCCAACGCCTGGAACGCTTCCTCTTCGGGGGGGAGGGGGATGGGCGACTGGTCCCGCTTGATCTGAATCTGTCAATGGGGCGGGGAGGGAATCTTGAAAGTCTGCAAAAATGACTTCGAAGAATGTGAATACCCGCTTCTTCTTTGGGGAACAGACGAATGAAAGGGTAAGAGGGGGGAAGGGAGCTGAAAAAGATGCGGAACTCCTTGAGAGGAAGGAAAGGTCCTGCTTCCCCTCCTGAGGAATGGGGATAGGCGACTGGTCCCGCTTGATTTGGATCTGTAGGGAGGGGCGGGAGGGTGTATGAAAGAGGGTGTAGATCTCCAGGACTGAACGGGACTGTACTCAGGGTGCGAATACTCGCTTCCTCTTCGGGGGGAACGAGGATGGGCGACTGGTCCCGCTTAGTCTGGTTCTGTAGGATGGGGGGAGGTGAGTTGAGAATGAATGTGGATTTCCAGAGCTGAACGGGAATGTACAGAGGGTGTGAATATACTCGCTTCTTCTTTGAAGGGAAGGGATAGGCGACTGGCCCCGTTTGGTCTGGATGTGAACGAGGTTGAACAGCTAGGATATGCAAAAGCTGCAAAACTCGTTCGGGGAGAGAATCTACCCGCTTCTTCTTTGAGGGGGGGAGGAATGGGGGACTGGTCCCGCTTAAATTTGGATCTGGACGGTGGGGGGTAGGATCTGAAGAAGAGTGCGAAACTCCGTCGAAGGATGAGGTTATATCCGCTTCCCTTCGGGGAATAGGGAGGTAGGCGACTGGTATTCCTTGATCTGGATTCTTAAGGTGAGGAGTAGGTGAAAAAAGCTGCAAATTCGTCGGAGGATGGGAGTTTACCATCTTCTTATCCAGGGCGCAGAGGGACAGGGGACTGGTCCCCGCCAACGTGGATCTGAACGGTGGGGATAGGGATCTGAAGAAGACTGCAAAAGTCCTTCAAAAAAGACAAAGGAGGATGGGCGACTAGTGCCGCTTAATCTGGACCCTGACGAGGAGGGGTGGAAGAGCGTTGAGATAGTGCAGACCGTTCTTTTCGTTTCACTGATCCAATCAAGGTGTGGGACAGATTGCTTGCGAGTTCCAGGACATAAGAGCAAAGAGAGTGATTTCGGGGCCGAGAACCGATTTCTGGGCCGTGTATGTGAAAGGCGTCCTCTTCGAAGTGGGAGAGGGCTCGGCGATTGCTGCTCCACCTATCAATACGTGCAGTCCACTCCGAATTCCGTCTCTAAACGAATGTCGTGAGTATCTGACTTAACATTGTGTATTAAAAAGAGCAGGGTGTATTTCGCTAGGACGCTCCAGTCAAATCCTGATACTTCAACAGAAACGAACGGACGGTGGAGTCGCATGGAGGCTTACCACCGCCAGCTTGGTCTCGTACTCCCACAGCCTGAGGCCCTTCCGGAGGGTAAGGAAGCTCATGTCTGCAGGAAAAAGGGGATTCCTTTTACACAATGCTTTTTCATCAGGTTCCTTTATCAGATTCTTTCATCAGAGTTGACAGAGTTGCCTCCTCCCTTGCTTGCTAAGTACGAGGGTTTCAACCCATCACTCGGACCAGAATCTGAGCTCGTTGTCGCTTTGAGAGGAAAGCGCCCACAGTAAACATGGACTGATGCTCTTCCATGACCGTTTGGACAAGAAAGCAGCACCGAGAGGCTGAGTTGCCCCACGGTTCATCTGAACGGTGACAGGCTGAGAACCTCAAAAACCCTGTGATGGTGAGCAGACGTCAAACGAGGAGAAGACGGTCCAGAATGTGTATTTGAAGACAATCTCACCAAAAACACCGATCACATTGGCACGATAACATCAGCGAGAAACGGATGAAACTTTCCAGGACTCCGCAGATTGCAGGACTGCAAATGAAGTCATGAAATACGCCATAAGAAACTTACATCCAAGCAGTACTGTCAAGAGCAGGATGATGCACCACGTTGGGAACAGCTGGTTCAACACAACGCCGACAGTGATCCCTGTGAGCAGCGCCGGAATAAACAGCATGACCAGGTCGAAGTCGACCAAGGACGTGTCCTGCGACGGGTGCTTCCGCTTGATGTTGTACAGGATTGACACTAGGGACCCGGCCGCAATCACAGCTGCAGGGCAGAGGCGCAAGATGGTGTCAGCTGAGGAGTGGTAAGGGAGTGACAGAAGCGAGACCTTTTGAGAGCGCCTGATGTTACCAAGAAAAGATAGTGTGATGCTTTGTTCAGAGGCAACTTTCATTGGCCGGTGGTGCATGGGGATGCATAATATCTACTCCAGCTTTCCGCCGCGCATGACTGCTGATGCCCCATAAAGGAGAAAGGACCGCTTGCAATTTTGGAATGCGTTCACAAGGTGACTTTTTTGAAGCTCATGAAAACCTCTCACGGCGCTTTGCTTGGACTCAAATCACTACCCACCCTGAGACAGGGCTGTGGATGTCTTGGCATCGTACTGGAGCGCGAGGTTGAAGATTGGGACAAACAAGCCGCCCCCCCCGACTCCGGCTGCGCTTGACAGGGTGGCCCCAAGGGAGCAAAGGACGCCCCCCAACACATTCCGAAAATCAAAACGGAGAGGCTGCAGGTACAGGAATCAGAGTGTTAAGCACTGCAATGCAAGCAGGAACTTTGGTCTCTCGTTCTGCAAGATCACCCTCGTTAGAACAAAGTCAAAAAGCTTTGCTTTTCTAGTCCAGCGCTTGCTGTCAGCTTCTTGTCACCTTATCGGATTTACCAGTGGTTAATCCTTGGGACGTTTTGTGGTAGTCCACGATAGTCCATTCAAGGGTCGTCCTGTGAACAAGCTTTCACAATTTTGGTCAGGCCCTTGCTGTCAAGCTCTTTCAACCTCTATCATCCCTTAAGTTTATAGGTAATCTATTTCAATGTCTTCCTTTTTGTTCAGAACAGCTCTGCCTAAAAGCGACCCAAAAAGAAATTTCGCCACTCATACCCTGATGAACAAAGGCGTAGGTGTGTCCTGTTTCTCTAACATACACAAGTGACTTTTATGAACATCAAACACTTGCTTACAAAGTGCACAAATGAGTGGTGTTATAAAAGTTCCAGCTCAGTTGCAACCAGTGGTTCTCAGATTGTGCCAATGTCATATTCAGCAATCAAGGTCATCACTCCTGAAAAGTTGGCACTAGCTTCCCTGTTAACAGAGAACACAGGGCGCCTCAGAAAAAAGGAGAAGGAAGGTCTGTAAAAAGCACGATAAAGACTGACGCACACGGTTGCGAGCGACATTCTGGAAACGAGTGAGCCGAGAGGTCTTTCCAATTCTCACGTGCAGCCTGCGTGCAGGCTGAGAATCGAAAAAGCGCTGCACAATCTTTCGTATGTGTGTACTCTGATACGTGTCAAGGTCAAAATCATGCGATTGAAGGCATCAGACAGCATCAGACGGTCTTTTTGGCTAGAGACTCCATCAAAGGCCCTTGACTTCTTTTCAAACAACCACGGAGACGTGTGAGCGCCTGAACTTGAACAAGCTCCCTTTTAGAGCCAGCAAAATTTTTTCAAAAGTGCTCTGATTGTGGAGATTCAACATAGAATCTAACTGATGCACATCGCTTTTCGTCTTTCAACAAAGCAAAGCTTTGTTGAATTGAACAACGGTGCGAAGAACTCACCGGCCAGTGGTGGTCGGTTGGAGCAGCTGCCATATCCCTTTTGCCAAGACTTTCTGGCGGTCCCACTCCAAGCTGAGTCAGCGTCGCCCCTACTGACAAAGTCCCATTCTTGACACCGACCAGGAGTTGCGTCCACCCACCCAGACCGGAAAGGAGGCCCGGTGTCAGCTCATCGAGCCTATTCCCGGGGCGTTGATAAAGCGCCACCGTCTCCGCAAGTGAAGTTTGCAGGAGGAGAAAGGCGAGGTGGGCCACCAGCATAGCGGAAGCTATACAGCGGCCCATTGTGCTGGCAACGATCAGGACTTTGTCCTAGGAGAGTAACTTACTTCAATTTAAACTTTTCTATGCGGCGTACATAGGTGGTGCTACTTCTAAGAGACTCTGCGCCGGCCCAGGTCCGCTGGTTGAGAATGCCCCGTCTTACAAGGCTTGTTCTTAACCTTAAAAGAGTAAAAAGGCGTATCTTGTGAAGCTCAATCATGCCCCGCTGCCAGAGCCTTCATGTAGCGCATGCGAAGTGCTCCAAGCCGTTTCATGCAGCAAGGCTTCCTGAGCACTTTATAAGGATTCTCATGTCAGCTCAAATCAGAACGGTGCTCCTCGACAAAGACGAGGTTGTGTCTCTTTGGAGTTGCGGTGCCCATCATGCATTTGAAAAAGAGTCCCGAATTCACAACTTCTTACGTGGCTGGCGCAAACAAACGCCGCAGTGTTCCAGCAAGGCACTGATCCAGCACAGAGTCGCAACAAGTCCTTGCCCAAAATGCAGCTCACCACTTGATTGAAAACCAATTGCGCCTCCAGTTGCCCACAAATCAAGTGAAGACAGGCTTCCGAGTCCAGCTTTGAATTATGCAACACCGTTCAGGATGTCAGAGAAGAACTCCTGAGTTCAACGAACCCAGTTCGTCATGTGCCCGCCCATGGGCGCTTTCTTGCGCACTCCCTGTGCCCGTCAGATAAAAGGGACTCTCATCGGACGGCGCAGGTATTCCCAACGATGGTCAGATCACGCGCACGGTGACGTCAGACTTGCAACTGCCACACTAAGTCAGATCACGTGGTTTTCATCCACGGCTGGAATTTGCTGCGATCGATAAGAAAACCACATGGCCATTGGCCGGCCGGCGTGCGCCCTGCGGGCCAACTGAAGGGCCGAAACCAGCGCGCGCTTTTTCTTGATGTCGCTTCCCTAGTTGCTGCAACACGCCACGTCGACCATGTGCTGGTCTGAGTCACATATGCTGAGCTCAGGCTGCTCAGCCCTTCCCCCCTTCATTGCTGAGCCCTGGCTTTTTCATGAACTTTCTTCCAGCTCTCCTCCTCAGTTTGGCGGACAAGATTGTGCTTCTATCCATCTGAGTGAGCTCCCTTTGCAAGAAAGGGCGACTCAGGATACGTGACCATTCTCAAAAGCATGGCGCCCGCTGAAGGGAGCTCGAATGGTTCGCACAAGCGCCAGCTCGTGGGGTTTGACAACTTCAAGCGGTCGAACCCCATGACGGACCGGTTTGAGGCGCTCCGCTTCCACCACATCGAGTTCTACTGTGGAGACGCCAACACAACTTTCCGGCGCTTTCAGTGGGGTCTAGGGATGCAGCTAGTGGCCAAGTCTGACATGTCCACTGGAAACCAGAAGTATGCGAGTTACGTGCTTCAGTCAAACGAGCTGGTTTTCGCCTTCACAGCCCCGTATTCTGGCAAGGTTGAGAAAATTGGGAGCAAGGAGCCGCACCCTGATTTCAACCAGGAAAGCGCAAGGGACTTTTTAAATAAGCATGGCCTGGGGGTGAGGGCAGTGGGGATCCTTGTCGGCGACGCAGAGAAGGCATATGAAGAAACCGTGCGGAACGGGGCAGAGGGAGTTATGGAGCCCAAAGAACTGACGGATAGCGCTACAGGGAAGGCCGCGGTGGTGTCTGAAATTAAAGCATACGGCGACGTAGTTCTCCGGTTTATCAGCTCAAAAGGGTTTGAAGGCCCCTTCCTGCCAAACTACGAGCCCGTGCAAAGTTTCCAGCTCTCCTACGGACTTCAAAGGTGGGTTCCTTGTGTTCTAGTCTGTAGTCATCGTTGAAAGAAAAGAAAAAGCTCCAACAAGGATATCAAGTTTCTGGTTTAGCACCTGGGCGACAAAAAGTGGGCAGGAAACTGCAGTGTTGAAGACACGATGCGTTGGGCCTTCTCTCAATGATTTCGATGTTTTTCTGTCGATCTCTCTGCACACAAGAGCTACCTGCTTGTGAGTTAGATGTCCACTTTGTGTCCCAATGGTTCCTTATGCTGGCCTGACCATTAAGCCCCCGGTCATACTTGCGCGACACGAATTGGCCAAGAAAGTGAGAACGTTGAAGTGTGTCAATAGGTAGCCGCTTCACGGTCTCAGCTCAGCTGATCTGCTTTTCTGCCCTTCAAGTCTCCAGCTGCAGTCGCTTCGAGCATCGCTCGGCTACCTGCTTGAGACGTTTCTGGCCCTTAAAGACTATGCATAATCAAAACCCTCGTATTTCAGAAGGCTGAAATTCAGGACGCCGAAGCTTGCTATGAGTCCGATCTCCACAAGTCCATCTTCACTTGGGACCCTTCTTCACGATCACTTTGTCTTTCCCCTTTCTCACTTCTAGTGGCATGATTTTTGCAGGCTCGACCACGCTGTCGGAAATGTCCCTCACCTTCTGGAGACCATCGACTACCTCGCCAACGCCACGGGCTTTCACGAGTTTGCCGAGTTTACTGCAGAAGACATTGGCACGGTGGACAGCGGCCTCAACAGCATGGTGCTAGCGAGCAACAACGAGCGGGTCATCATGCCAGTCAGTAAGAGCCGCAGCGTGCCTCTCTGCCCATTTCTTGACACAGCCAAGCGGGATGAGGAGACAGTTGTTGGTCCGGCTCACTCAGACTAGAGGTTTAAAGATAACACCAGAGATAAGACCAGAGGTGTATAGCTAACAGGAAGACTTTCACCAAAGCCCTTTTTGAAAAGCTTTTACGGTCGTTACTGTGATTAGCCAGACATATGTCAGATGAGGGAGCCACTCGCGGTCGTGATCGAGCCCTTCTATGCGGTGCCCTTGTAGTCCCAAGGTTTACTCAAAAAATGTCTTGCATACATCAATAATGTGCTCACGACGACTTAAAAATAGTGCCACATGCTTATCGTTCTCCTTCTCGCGTTGCAGACGAACCGACCTTCGGGACGAAGAGAAAGTCACAAGTAAGTCTCACCATGGAATCTGGTTATGTTTGGAATTATGTTTGCCTGTCCAGGCTCGACGTTCGAGTCAGCATGGATACCGCAAGTATTGAGTTTCTATGTTGGATTCTACGCCCTGTAGCTTCCTTCTCGTGAGGGCATACTTCGTCCAAGGCTCTTAGAGGTTTGCATTTTTTTGCGAAGCCGCTAGTCTACTGCAGCTGTCTCCGTTTCCCACATCCCCAGAAGGCGAAACTACTTGCATATGTTTGTTCTCCCGTTTGGCTCCCAGGAAACGCTAGACTCGTCGATGAGCGCCTTTCATCAACCCTGGCAAAGCGCAGATCTCGTGCTGTTGAAGTGACGTACTGTAGGATCCGTGGCACTGTCATTCGCCTTCCCTCCTCTGTGTTCGTTTTGATTTTGTATATTGACACTGTACAGCTGGATACCAGCTTATTGCCGCCTTCAGTCCTGTAGTTGAGGAAGAGTCGTACGCAAGCTTGAATCCTCAGGTGTCCAATATGTACCCCCATACTTTCGTGACCGGATCCGAACGTACAGTAAGATCGGGAGTGATCCAATCGGACGCTCTTAAAGCCCTTCCCTCGTCGTTACCTTCCACATACACCGCTTCCTCGCTTCTGGTCTCCCTGGTTGCGTTATGCCCGCTCAAAATATCGTTGGTTCTGGTCTTCACCCCACTTTTCGTCCTTTTCCTGTTGGCCAGCTTGACCAATGCACATGCAGGGTTCTGTTGATTCCTGGTCTTCACGCCGCTTTCCGTTCTGTTCCTCCTTGCCACCTCGAATCCTCGTCAAATGCAGGATTCTTTTGCTTTGTGGTCTTCCCTTCCTTCCGTTCCGCTGAGAACCAGTTTAGATGCCAGGGTTTTGTTGACTCTCTAAACCTTGCTTTACCTCTGCTAAACCCGGTTACCTTCCCTTGGGCAGATTCAGACGCAGCTGGAGTTAATGAGGGCCCCGGGTCACAGAACCTGGGCTTACGTATGTTCTGAGTCTTAAACCCAGCCTTGGCATGCTAAAGCCGGTCACTAGCTAAGTTCGGTCACATGCTAACCCGAGGTATCTTCCCCCGGGCAGATCTAGACGTGACTGGAGCACAAGGAGGACCCCGCGCTGCAGCGCCTGGTTTTCAGAATCTTGATTTTCAGAACCCAACTTTCCCATGCGAAGCCAGATTACCTGCTAATGTCGGTCACATGCAAACCCGGTTACTCTCTTCCGGGCAGATTCAGACGTACCTAGAGCACAACGAGGGGCGCCGCTTACAGCGCCTGGCGCTCAATTGTTAATCCTTAATCTGGAAACACGATTTTTTCGTGTTACGTAAACCCGGTTATCTTGCCTCCGTGCAGATCCAGACGTACCTAGAGCACAGTGAGGGGCCCCGGGCTTACAGTACCTGGCGCTCAATGGTTAACCCTTAATCTGAAAACTCGAACTCTTTCGTGTTAAGTTAACCCGGTTGTCGTTCCTCCGTGCAGATCCAGACGTACCTGGAGCACAATGAAGGCCCCGGGCTGCAGCACCTGGCGCTCAAGTGCGACGACATTTTCACGACGCTCCGTGAGATGCGCCAGCGCACTGAGGTCGGAGGGTTCGAGTTCATGCCGCGACCCTCGGAAAACTACTACAAGAACCTGCCCGAGAAAGTGGGGAGCGATCTGACGCCCGAACAGCTCAAGGAGTGTCAAGAGCTCGGGATCCTGGTGGATAAGGACGACCAGGGGATTCTGTTGCAGATCTTTACCAAACCTTTGGGGGATAGGTGAGGCTAGTGATAATTGCGTTCATCAGAGGGGGCGGGTACGGTTATCTTGTTACCTTCTGATTGTTTGATTTGCATGGTTCTTGTTGCGTCAGTCGAAGGGAGGCTGCATTTCTGTTCGTAGGGACGGCGTGTAGCTCGACTTAGACTGGCCGGATCCTTGTTGAATGGAGCCAAGTCGTTGTGGGACCGTTCAAACTGAAAGGGGGCAGTGCTTCGCCGTTCGGTGTTCATAAACCTTTTGCAGTTCGCCCCAAGGTTACATGATTTCCCCTGTTCGTTAGAAATACGTGTGGTTTTTGAGTCGCATTCTTGTGCGTACGAATTGGCCGCGTTCTTTTGATGGGCGTCGTTGGAAAGTTGAAGAGTTGCGCCTGTGGCATGCGGATGGAAGATTAAAATTGAAGGCGCTTCTCGATATCATGAGAAGAGTGTGTTCAGCCACTTCTCGATACTTGTTTTGTATAGCGTCGCACTTGCTTCGAACACCTAATCTGAACCCGCCTCTTTCAATACGCACATGCAAGAGTTAGGTCAAAGAAGATACATGGGGCAGGCCCCGACTTTATTGTTTGTATTGCCGACAGGTTCCGCAATCTATGCCCCTGCCAAACACTTTCGACTGTGACCTTGTGACGATGTGACGAGTCTGGCCTGATTGTCGTCATCTCCTTGACTCGACTTTTCGGCCCCAATTGATGGTAGGAACGGGCGTTGTGTCAGGACTTTCAGCAGGTGTGTATAAAATGAGCTTTTCGATCCGTGCTGCAGGCCTACTATCTTCATCGAGATCATTCAGCGCATCGGGTGCACCTACGAGGAGAACGGCAAAATGGAGCAGAAGGGCGGCTGCGGCGGTTTCGGCAAGGGCAACTTCTCCGAGTTGTTCAAATCGATCGAGGATTATGAGAGGACTTTGGATGCCAAGGTTTGAGAGGCATCTCCGTCATGCATTTTTGTCCTCATAAAGGAGTAGATTGTACAAGCAGATTGGAACCGTATTGTAATTCTGGCAGATCGAGTACGTGTGCCCATGTACAGGGAATCGAGGTGTGCGAAATGCGGAGAAGCAGCTAGTTGTATGATAGCAAGTCTGTAGACGTGTCTGGACAGCCGCGCTGCGCAATATCCTTTTGTAGACGGCTCGTCATATTGAACGCAACACTGACAACCGTTTAATGTGTTGAGTGGAAGTCCTATGTAGCTATTGATGCCAGTGACCGTCTGACGTACAGCTAGTCTTGAGTCACGCAACACATGATCGCAGCGAGGCATTTTAGCCCGTGCACTCGCAAGCACGTCCGATCCCAATCTGACTTGAATTGTGGTCTTATCTCCCATCGTGTACGGTATCGAACATCTGTTATGGGTGGATTCTAGATGTAGATGCCTAGATGCGCCTGCCATGCGGGCGCCCACCTCATGCTTCGATCAGCTTGATATATCCAAATATGTCCATTGCCAATACGATCTGACGTGCATGCAATCCCGATTCCCCAGCCATATATCATAAGTTAGGTATTCGAGACAATAACTTCTGTAGAAAGCCTGGTACGTCATGGGTGCCAGGCGCCCGCAAGACGAGTCCCGCGGCATTCACCGACATTCACCAGGCCCTCACGTACATGGTTATGCAATCAGATTTCGATATATAGATATACCGTACTTGGACTCAGTGTTGTATAACGACAAACAACGTACAGCCTGCATATGCATCTGTGTATACTATACTAACCGTCAGTACTGTATAAGAGGCATTGCTTTGCGGCGCGCCAATTGTATTATCAGTGTATCACCATGCCCAGACTTGGCTGATCGGAAGCGTATGACAATATCAAACGGATGCATATAACTTAACGGTCAGGCTTGTGACTTATGAAGTTATTGAATGGCCGGGGGTCAATTCAATCAAGGCCGGGCCCGTGTTGCTAAACTGATTACATCGAAGCAATTCAGTGATTTGTACCTGTCCAGCACAAGTCCAAGCTCGTTGTCTATGACCCGTGTAAGTGGTTTACTCAATCTAAGCTTCAAGGGACTTTTGGAGGAATAAGTTTTGTAAGTTTGACTCCGCGCGTATTTCGAACCGTCTTCGAGCCGTCTTTGAACCTAGAAGCTTAACTTAAAGCCGCCTAGGCGCCGATCGCCACTGTACGTAAGATGATCCAACGACGAACAGTGATCAAAATTTACCAGATCACCAGACAAGCATATGAACAATGAAAAGGCTGCCTCGACTGCCCCTCCCTTTCAAATACCAGAAGCCGTGAACTTGCAAAGAGTGATGATTGGGCTACTTCATATTCAAACAGACAAGCTTCTGAAAGAGGGGTCGCTTGAGACTTCTACTTCTACTTGACTCTCAGCGCCGGCAGATTTCTTGACACATCGATCTAAAGCCTGAGGAGACGGCGGCCGGACGAGACAGCGTGCGGCAACCCAGCCGACGCACCAGCCAGTTCACCGGCATCGTTGTTCTCGGCTCCCTGCAGCAAAACGAACCAGAGGAGAAGTCAGTTGCACAATTCAAAATCCAGTGAGCTCGGGAAGCACGAGGGATTGGCACTGGCTGCAGCCGAGATGCGTACACGTGATAGGAGAGAGGACGCACAGAATCCCCATAAATCCCTCGGCCGTGAGTCCAGAATGATGGACGATTGAGAACCCCAACTCCCGAAACAGAACGGGGCGCGCTTAGCTGTCAACCGAGTCTCAGCTGTATGCTGTAAGCATACTAAAGCAAGATCTTAGTGCTGATCTGCTGTAATTGACAATCTTCGTTTTGTCTTCACGTCTTTCTGTTGAGTCCATGCGACTGTACTTGCGGCGGCACCTGGCGGTCTTAGCAAGAGCCGAAGTCAGGCAGACCAATGGTCCAGCTAGCAGATTAAATCAGCAACTGTTAGAATTCAAGGGCCAAGGTAACAGATGGGGTACTCAAACTTGGTTCGAAGTTGGAATCAGCTTTGAAACAGACTCATCTCAACGGAGAGACCGAACCTGTTTACAAGCTGACATCAGAGACAACATACTGCTTAAATCGTAGGCAAAAGTGGAATATTGTAACGAACACCCTGCGGTTTTGAGGGGCTGCCTTCCAAGATTCCTAAAAAAGTCTGTAGCCGAGTGTCTACATCTGAAAGCATCTTTGTTTGGGCATTCGAACCCGAAACTGAACCGGCCCAAACGCAAGGTTCTAACGAAAGTACTGAGTTAAAAATTGACAGCGTGGGCCAGACACAAATCTCATGCATCTGAGTGGCCTGATTGGTTTTGAACTCGTTCAGGACGTTTACGATGACTCTGGAGCACCCTCGTTTGACGAATCGGAGAGGAGAGAAGTGTAGATAAATTGCAAAAAGTTTCGAACAGAGTCTTGTGGAAAATCTACCAAGAGAAGCCCCATAAGTTGTAAGGCCCTGAGACACACTGGGAGCCATACCTTGCCAAAGCGACTGAAACTGCAGTCTGCCTCGGTCAAACTCGAGGCAGCATAGTCGTCATCAGTACCCTCCACATACTCTCGGTGACGTAAGCCCTCGAGGGTACCCATGTCCAGTCTCTCTGCAATAGCCCCCGGCGCAAACATCTGCCCGAGAAACTGCAATCCGGAGGGAAAGTTTTGTGTTGCTTATCGCTCTTCACGCAATATGGTTGCACGTTCTGTCTCAGTTGGCCAAGTCGAAGACTCCACCGTCAGACTCTTCTCAATACCAAAGTTTCAGGAAGTTGCAGGCGGGTTGTATACGGTCGAGGTTTGGCATGGCCAGGCTTGGCGAATGATGCAGCAATCTGAGACGTTGATCTTATTGGGGCAACGTTCGCCCCTTTAAAAGAACCTAGCTTTGGCATAAGGTGCACTTCGAAAGGACACGCAGCTCGAAATTTCTGGAGCACATGGAGGACTCCCGAGTCGTACTTCAGTCAAGTGGGATTTTCTGTCGCGTGAATTTTCGGCCCACGACCAGCTCGCAGACCGGCCATGCATAGTCTGCATAGACTTCCAAAGCTCCAGAAAGGACCAAGTGCGCTAATTAGAAAGGACCGGGGTCCACGAGTCAACTTACTCCATGCACACTGGGAGTGGTGGTAATGTTCCTGAAGTTGAAGTTCAGGAAATGAATGGGCGGGTCAGCGATCAGCTCCTTCTCTGAGTCGGTCACGACTTCCATCTCAAGTAGGTCGGAGATGGAGACCAGGAGGGAGTTGATGCGGCCAGCCTCGCGCACAACAGTGGCAAGGCCATCAGGGCTCTTCCAGAGGACTGGGCCCGGTGCCTGGATGAAAAGCGAGGGGCAAATAAGCAGGGTATTCCTCGAGTAGGCAAATGATGACTCTGGTACGACCCTAATACAAGGATAAGTGATGGCAAAAGTACGTACCGTTCAATCTATCCGCAACTGTAACCGCTCAGAAACAGATGGCTTAGGTAAAGACTATCATGTCTGTTGGACACGAATCATGTTCGGTAGCTGCAACATAAAAGCGATATTTGGCCCGAAGCAACGTGCAAGATTCTGCTGAGCTGAGATTTTAAAACGTGCAAAGCTTTGGTTGCTGGCTATTGCAGCCAGCAAATGACTGCGTGATGGTTTGCTTAGTGCCTTACACAGAAACCAGAAGGTCCAGAGCAAAGACCGTGAGTCCAAGAGACAAGAGTGAAACTATCAGCAAAGCGGCCTGTTTGAAAAGTTTTCCCTCACCTCCAGGGCCACCATGGGAACACCATCGAAAGTTGCATTGAAAGGCTGCTCGCCAATCCTATCAGCAGCGGGATTGAGGAGGATGCTGATTCTGTGAGGCTCCTGGCTTTGGTCATGGTACAGGATCCCAAAGCCCTTCATCCAAGTGCCCTCAAAAAATGGGTCAACCTCCTCCACCGGCCGCTGCAGCACGACAGAGTCCGGGGACAGGCTGAACATTTGTACAATCACCTGCACAGAGGTTTGACATTTGGTGTTCAGTTCTAAGCATTAGTTGAACAAAGAGAGGAATGAACAAGAATGACCATGGGAGGGCAGACGTTCCGCAGGCACGATGCACTTGATGAGCAAGTAAGTTTCTGGAGGTCAAGCTTCGTATAACCCAACTGCTCACAGACTGGCAAATGGCCGCTGTAAGGTCAGACTGCTCACATCCTACCAAGCCTTAGGGCCTTGCAAGGTACTGCCAATGGACTGCTGCTTAGGATACTTCCTATTAACCTATGCAAATGTGCAAACACTGTGATCTTGTCACACACTCACACCTCACCTCCAGCAGGTTATCCGAGACCATGCAGTAGTTCTTGCCGTCCTCGCCATGGAAGTCAAAGGAGAAGGAGGAGTTGAGCTGATTGCCGTTGTTGAGGCGTGTAATCTCAAAGTGGGGGTCCAGCATCCCAAAAGCTATGCCGGCCCATGGCATTGCTGTACGGTAAAGAAAAGGTATGGTCAAGGAAAGTATGTAACAAGCATGAGGTACCCCGGTGGCCCAATGAATTTGTCAGCAGGAAAAAGTGTAACTAGCGGAAGCCCCAGCTCAGATTCCTTGCCTATTCCATCTTGTGATTCAGAAAGGTAAGCGAGTAGAGACGAATAAGCTACTCTAGCCACCGATCCAGGATGGAGCTCAGCCGGGAGCTGAGAAAAGACCAAGTGACCAAGCATTCTGCCCCTAAAGAAGGTTCTTGATGGGAAGGAAACATTGAAGACATGTAGTTAACTTCCAAAGAAAGATGTCTTCGAAGGTCTGAATACACGATGCTAGGTCAGTGAGGGCATGGAAGTTTTCCCGCACATTGCTAAGAACAATCAAGCAATCCTTTCATACAAATTATAAGAAAAGCTTGGCCAAAAACTCACGTGGGATGCATCGTTGTTGTGCCAAGATGCCCCCAGTGCCATAATAGCCTGAGTCGACGAGGATTGTCGTACCCCCAGCATCGGTGTAGGTTTCTGACGAAACTTCTTGAAAAAACTGGAACATGCAATTAAATGCCGAAATGTGGTAGCATCCTAAGGAATGTAGGACGTTCCACGCGTTGCAGTCCCGCTTTGCCTGGCATGAGGTGCAGCAAGCCCCGAGATCTTCGCTGTCACTTATGTGAGTGCCAAAATCACCAGTTCGAAAGAATCCGCGAAAGTTCCCTTCAAGAAAGGTCCCCTCGTGTCTGGTCAGCGATGCGTGATCATTGCAATTTGTCAAGGACGGGCTGGGCCCACAGATTGGATCATTGATTGGAGGGCTGTTTGCGCCGCAGTTGTCCCTGGCAGCAGCTCGGGCAGCACACATGACGAGGAGCAAGGCAGCGCTGGCTGCCCAAGACAGACCTGCCATGATAACCACTAAGAGCTCCGCAAGTAGAACACCAACGACAAATGGCAGCTTTTCTAGAACAACAATTTCTGCCCGCCGCTAATGAGGTTTTTGAGAACTGGACAACGCAGGTGAGGCCCGGGCCAGGATGCCAGCTGAAAGCTCTGGTGCTATGGGCTGTCCTTCCAAAGTTCTCAACGGTCCACCAGCTGAGCACTGATCCAATTGCAAAGCTGTTGTGATGGACTGGAATCTGGATGGATGGACAAACGGGTCTTTAACTTCTGCGCGCCGTTTCGTATTTGTTTGTTGAGTTTCGAACACCTACGTTGCAAGCAAAGTGACTCCCAGTGACCAGCAGACCAGTGCCAAAGTACAGTTGTCTGCCAAAAGCTAGCTAGGTATGCTTTATACCGTAGGCTAGGTAGCCTACTTAGGCTACTAACCGTGGAGTGACCGAGAGCCTATACCGGTACCCTAGTCCGGACTCCGGAGTACCGGGGAGTCAACTCCAGTACCAGTCTCTCACTACCTATCACAGTGCACTGACGTTGTGACGTCACTAAAGAGTCCCGTATCGCCGCCCAACGTTGTAGCTCTGTGGCTGCAAGCTCAGCATGTGCTCATGAGTCATCTGTTCAAACGTACATACAGTACACTGTGACTGGCATTCCTTAATATCCAATTCGTGCAGGCTTCGGAAGTTCGGAACTCATGTTGCCGACGTTTGCCGTGGCTTTCGTGCCGTGGCCGACGCCAGCCTGGAGTGACTCCGGCCTGACGTACTATACAGTAGCAGGTAGGTACCTCGTTCGACTGGAGGAGACGATGTCGACGTCATTATGGATCACAAATGTGCATGCGCCAGTCCCCGTCGATTACCACCCGGCCGGGCGTTCTGCTGCATAATACCGGTACCATGATTGCGATAAGGGACCAGCCTGAGGGTGTTGTAAGAAGTTGTAACACTGCCACATCATGTTGAAGCTAGAACTGGAGGCAGTGGGGCTAGTACGACGAAGTACCTAGACTCCTTTTGTTAGTGTCTCAGGCTCCAAAAAAGTGTGAAAACATTTCACACGCGGGATCATGGGTTCACAGGGTCTCCGCGTGGACCGTACTTTCAGTTCAGGTCCTTTGAGCAATAATGCGTCAGACTGTCAGCTTTACCGTACACTTTGTGGTACACTTTCTAGTACGGGACCCGGGTGGGTTCGGGTCAGGATAAATGGCTTTCAACACTAAAACCAAAAGAACTCTGCCCGGTTGTCACTGTCAGTGACTAACCCTAATGTCACTTGGAAATGGCGTAACCCTAACAAAGCGCTCGTCGATTGCCGTGAACCGTCACAGGTTTGCAACGTAACCCTAATGTCACAGAGAGTGCCCCGGGTCAATGTTAATGTCGATGTCGATGTCAATGTCATTGTCAGTGTCAATGTCAGTGTCAGTCTCATTGCTAACCGCTGAAAGATTGCAATAATTCAGGTGCTTCCAGGTGCTTGAGAGTGATTCACACCACTCTGAGTGGCGGAAACACTAACAAAAGGAGTCTACTTTGATAGTCTTGCGGCAGTGGGCAGTAGCTAGCAGCTAGCTGTTGGCACCTTTCTCAGAATATCAGAAGCACAGAAGGCCTCCCTATATATGCATGATAATGCATCCCTTCCTGCCCTCCCCCCCGGCCTCCCTCCCCGTCCTAGCCATAAAAGAGAGCGGCCGGCACCGGACGTTCAAGGCAACGGACGGTTGTATGTTGGTGCCAGGTGGCAACCATTGGTCGCGGCCCTAATCATTGAGTTGCACCACAGTTGCACATGCTCTCGTCCCCCTCTCGTCCAATATCATGCATGATTCATGCACCCTAGTCCAAAATCCAGAGCACCAAGCGCGCACGCTCAGTAGTGGCCAAGCCGCTAGCTGCGGGGATCAAAACGTTACGTCTCAGAGAGAGTTTCCGGAGAGTCTCCGGATTCCGCAGAGGCCCTGCCCAGGTTGCTCCAAATTGTGAGGAATGTCACTGTGTCCGGCGTTGACTGACGTACGCTTCCGACGTCTCGGCAGATTGCAATGCTTGAACGAATTGGACAACGGCTAGCTTGTCAAGTATACGATGTGCATACACCCGGTGGTGAAATACCATTGTACAGGTAGGATGGTTACACTCCGTATCCAGCTACCTAGCTCCACCCAGCTTCTATGAATAGGCTATCATACAACTTACCGTATGCAAGCAAAGAAGAAGTACAGAGACGGAGGAATCCGGGTGGAACCTTGTCCCACGTGGAATGTATGTGTGCAGAAACCACGTGCATGCATAATGATTGTAAAATTCGAGTCAATAAGCCATACAAGAGCTCATGCGGCCGCCGTGCGGCTGTATGGCCGGGCCATATGCGAGTCGACATTCATGAGCCAAGAATGCAACCCCGATGCTTATGCGGCATTACCATAATAGTCTCACAAGCATCATGGCATGCTAGCGTAAGATTTTATACGGCATCCAGAGGCTAAGTTGGTCAAGGGCTTAGAATCTGTCACCCGATAAAATAGTTTGTAAGTATCTGCTCAAAGGACTTAAAAAACTCAACGTCCACCAGTGCATCAAGAATCGAGCAATCGGAAGGCGCCACCATCTGGTCAGTTCCAATCGACTTGAAAGAGGGATTCATGATCAGATATACGCACAAGTAGTCCGGCACGCTTTGCAAAAGCATCCGGGTTCTAAACAGCGTCTGACTCCATTCAGCAAACGATCGCGTCTTCGTTCCTCATCACATCCCATCCCCCGGCCCGCGTCAACTTAGTAATCCAATTTCTGCACCTTGCTCATTTGCTCATCCTTCCGTTCCTCTCTCCTCCGTTTTGCCTCCGGTCTCCGGCCCCCCACCATCGCGCCGTTTGATAGTACTCTCACCTCAGCTCCTTGTACAGTGTCACCCCGGCCTTCCCATCCGGCAAGTTGCAACTGCTGCAGTCCTTATTCGGGCCGGCGCTAATTCCGCTCCTTCCGCCCGTTCCGTTTCCCGGCCGACCGCCCGGAGCTTCTTCTCGAGCACTGCTCCAGCCCGGTACCCATCCTTAAACCCCTGACCCACTCGCTTGCGCCTAAAGAGCACCCTGCCCGTCCGCCTCAGAAGCGCGGTCTCTCCTACTTTCTTCAACCGGAGCGTTTGGGACTGGGCCCCCCAGCCCAAGCCCCCCAGCCCAAGCCCGTCCGAAAGAACCGCCGGCTCACTTTCTTGCGTCCTGATAGAACCTTGCGTGTTCGTATCAGAAGCACTATCTCTTCTCCTCCTCAACCGGCGCGCTTGGAGGAATTGCCCCGCCTAGCCCGGTACCTACGCCAGGAACTCCCGACCTGACATGTTGCACCCCGACAGAACCTTCCGTGCTTGCGCCAAAAAGCGCGGTCGTGACTCCTGTCGACTCACTTGCTTGCCCCCCACGGCAGAATCCTGCCACATCGCCCCTTAGAAGCGGGGTCTTTCCTTCCCCCCTCAGAGAAGCGCTGGGACTGTCTCCCCGAGCGCATCTGAGTGACTGGCACCAGCCCCCTCCGTTCCGAAGCTTCCACCATTGAACCCCGGCTTCCGCTTTTGAGTACGAGGGGAACCCTTGCTGACGTCCGCGCCCACCATCCCGCTGACGTCACCACCCAGCAAGTGCCTGAATATTGCGGCGACGCTCGCTTGACTGCCGGGCCCCTCTTTCTAACTAGTCCGGGCGCCGGTTTACTCCACCGGCCCGGCTCAGCACTCAAATTCCCCTCGCTGCGCCTGTTAATCCGATCACTAAAGAACACGGCCACTTCCGCTCTCACTCTCCGCCCAGCAATGCCGTTGAGGCCCAAAAGCCCCGCCCTTGTCTCGTGGCCCCCATCCCTCCTTGAATTTCCTTTTCCGCCTCATTTGCTGAGCTCGCATCCCGTTGCCCTACCCCCTCACTTCCCTCTTCCCCGTTTTGCCCGTTCTCTGTTCTCGCCCCCGCTCTGCCCCTCTCGTTTCGCCACCCCAACTCGAACCTGCTCCCGATCCCCCCCCTCTGTTTAATCTGCACCCAACCCCCTCGGGACGACAGCATCTCCGCGATTCGCGGCTGGTTGAGCGGCCGGCCCTTCAGCCGGTGTTACTGCGCGACGCTCATGTGATCGTACACGATACTGGTAACTCCCATTTCACTTAAGAGCCATTTCACTTGGGATCCGAGCTACCCGGGCCAACAAACTAATAACGCTAACCGAAAGAATCACCCGCTCCGCACCCGCTCCGCACCCGAACCCACCCTAACCACCACACCAACCCTACCCGTCTCCCGGGCGCCTATCCTAGGTGAAAATGGCTCTAAAGTGAAATGGTAGTTACCAAACTTCGTGCACGTACGCCGTTCAGGACTTTGCCCACATTCTCCAGCGTCCGCCGCACCGACTCCCACATGATGTCGTCGGACGTCTCCTGCATCAGCCACGTCGCCCCTAATGAGTCGTCTAGGCAAGCCACCACTGGGCAGTGCACTTTCCGGTGTCACGGTGGAGAATCTGTCGAGATCGACCTGTCGCAGCTTGACCGGATTGAAGGTGGCACCCACGTGGCATCTCAACGTTGTCAAAGTCGAACAGATTGATGCGCCCATGAGACTTGCCTAATGAGAAACAAAACTCCACAACGGTTCCGTGCACGGAACCGTTCCATGGAAGCAGATTGAAAAGTCAGAGGCTGCAAGCGACCGCAGGCAGTGCAAGCACTGGAAGATTGCAAACGGCAAAAGTGCCTGACTCTCACGTTGGTTCGATGGTCCCTGAAACGAAATGGCCCGGAGAGAAAACTCTGAAAGATCGAAATAAACGCTCGCGAGTCTAGGCCAGTACATGTACAGGACCGGCAGCTCTGCCCCATGCAGTGGCACCGGTCCTGCACGGCGACGTCACACCAGCGTCAGTGAGCGCGTTGGGGCGCACCATCACACGACAGTCGCGAATTGTGCAGGCCGTTGACGAAAAAGGGCTGCGGATTTTCGCTCCAGGCCTTGGACAAACCGCGGCTCCAAACAACTACGCAATACGCCAAGTTTCACAATCTTGCTAGCGACCTTCGTTGGCCGGCCGACTTTTGCATGTACGAGCATTGAGCCTGGGATTACAGGAATGCGCACGCCCTAAAGGATGGAAGACAGTGCCGTTTCTTACAAAACTGGCGTTCTTTAGGGACGGGTTATAGTTGCCCGCTCCTCAGATTCTCCTGGCGAAGAGTCTGATTCTTTCCACAATGTAATGTCAGCCCAGCTTTTCAAGAGTCCGCCAAAGCATTCAGTGTCCGTCCCAGCGTGAATCGAATTGTATGCAAGCTTTCCGCACGTCTCTCCCTCGATGCTGCTCTGCAACCCATTGCACCATCCGTTAGGTCAAACCATTCCCAGGCCCGCCCAAACGCTGCTGTCACAAAATATAAGCTCACCTCCGCTTGCAGCAGATCGCCCGGCAGCCACGACAGCTCGATGAACACGACGGTCTGTGCAGCGGGCAGAGTGCAGGGTCAAGCCGACTCCGGCAGCCTGGACAAGCAGATGCGATCACATTCGCGGCTGCAACAATTGTTGTGTCCTGATTCGTTCAGCTCCTTTCGGTGCACGAGCTGCAAAAGACTCTCAATTCCTGAGCTCCACTAGCCAAGTTGAGTTCCCTGCTAGCGTTCAAGTTCAAGATTCCTGGTGAAAACAGGGTGGAATTGCATCGAGAAAAGCATTCTGAGCTCCGAAGTCGGAGGATTTCAGGCTAGCTCAAATTCCGGAAAGTTAGGTGCGCTAGCGGCCTTTTGACCGACTCAAAGCTCAACGTACTTCCGACGTTTGTCCACCTTCTCGTCACTTTCTGTGAAGTCTGCCTCGGGCAAGCACATTGTCTCGGGATTTGGAGCTGCCTCGCTCCGAAAGTACATTACAGCAAGACTTCCCTCGTTTTTTTAGCTGCATTATACGGCAAAGCCCGCAGACGTACGTCAAAGTCCCGCGGGCTTTTGAATCCGGTGTACGGACTGGTCGAGCTAACCGCGGGTATGCAAGTGATGAGTTACAAGCAAAGCTTGATCACCCACCTTGATGCTCAGCAGGGCCACCTTGCACTTCTAAAGGCGGGCTCCTCTTGGCAGCAAACGACCTGCAGACTCGACAAAATTGGTTCAGGCCTTGGATATCTCTCAGGCTTGGCAGAGGAACGACGAACAGATTCGGAAAGCGGTCCGCTGACAAGTGTATCAACAGCTCGACCTATTTCCAACACATTCTGAACGCAGATCTCAACGGCTTGGGAAGTCCTCAAGGCTCGTGAGTACTAGGATTTTTCCATCTTAACCACCGGAGGACAACATACATCACCAACGGACATGTTTTAGATACCCCCCCTTTTAATCTCCAGCTATGAACAATAGGCGTGTCCACACCATCAACTTCAGGTTAGGGGATTCGTCATGATTGTTACCGAGATTTACCCACCGTCAAAGCGCTTACCACGCCAGTCCGTCCTGCGCCGGCGGTGTGGAGCCGTCGATCCTGGGCTGGCCTGCTTTCTGAGCGTCGCTTCCGTTCGGTTCTGCGTGCAAGCAATTCATTTCAACGGGTTAATCTTCGCAGGCAGCCAATGACCCTGAACCAGAAAGGGGCCAATATTTCCAAACAAGCCAAATTGAAAGACGATTAAATTAAAAAATGGTCATACAGATGAGAACAGCGCGTCCAGCGCATGAGGGGTTAATGAGGCACACCAGACCTGATCCCCTGAAGAAGTATGCTCGCATGCTGTGCTCGTAACGACACAATAAGCATCTCAAAATCGGCTATGACAATGGGCCATTTAGCAGCTAGGACATCCCCCTGGTTGAAGAGTTGGCCACCGGTTCTGCTTGCGGCGATAAGATGGGACGCCTGTTACAGTTCCCCAAACCAGCAACCACTTCACAAGCCGCTATTCAGCCCCTCCAACCACGCATAAGTTTTCGGAAGGTCCAGGAAAGAATTCCTCTCAACCGCTCCTCACCTGCATCGCAAGGGACTCATATCCCCATTGTATTTGCCTCCGATACTGTCATTTTTCTGTCACTCATGCGTGCCCGCCCCCCTATCCTGTGCCCCTGGGTCGCCGGCGTTCCCTGAGGCCGCATGTCCGCCCAGTACGACGTCGACACATGTCAAGCTTCTCCAAATGACACATTGCCAGAACCATGTCCCGGCGCTGCTGCGAGAAACGCACATTGATCATGCTGCGCAGAAGCACAACAGCATCAAAGATTTCACAGTTGATCTGGTCACTAACTGGCAAGGAGTGGCTCTGGGGTAAGAGACTTCGTTAAAAAAGATTTCGATGCATCAATGAAACGCGCAGAATTGCATCGGATTCTTAATTAGAGGCTTTCAAAGAAACTTTTTGGAAGTAGAAAGGTGGACTGTCAACATAGTTGTGAGGCCAATCACCGGTTCCCAATGAAGTCCGAAGCCCCATAAGAAGTTACTCTCATTTTCCTGCATTACTTCACAGCTTTGCTGCCTCAGTAACTTCCCCTGCTCCACCAGCAGCCTAGAGAACAACATCCTGATCCGCTTGTCTTCAACAAAGAGGCTACTCACTTCTTGGGCGAAACTTGCCCCTGTCTATTGCGCAGCCTGCTCACCTTCTGGTTTGACGGGCAAATCGTGAATGCTGAGGCATGTACCAAGCCATGTCAACTAATGAGAGCAATCTTCCCTCCGAAATCGCCAGCTGTACAATGTGGCAACTGCGGGCCAGCACCGCTTTCCGCAGTGCCAAATGCACTCCTGAATGTAAAGAGTTGCCACCACAGCTTTGTATTGCAGTTAATGGTGGTGATTTGATCGTCTGGATGTACTCCGACAACACGGAATAACTGAACAACCGGCTGCGCCTAATTCACTGGGAGACGCAGCTACACCCCCTTTCCGGACACCCTTTCCCTCCAAAGAACAGCGATCCTCTGTTGCAAGCGGCTCTGCCTGCAGCAGCCATGACCATTTGAGCTGCTAATAGTACCTATTAGCGAGACAACCGCTGGCTTCCGTGACCACTGAGTCTGACGCCACAATGACGGCTAGCTAGCACCTTAAATCTGCTTGGAACATTTGAATTGCATTGGATTTGTTGTGCGAACGGGACGGCATTTTGAACGCTGTAGAAGAGAACGGCATGCTTGAGTGTCAAGAGTATATGGAAGGGGTTAGTTTCAATTTTCTTGACACACATTGGTGGAAGGAGCTTGACTTTCAACCAGACGGCTCGACTCGCACTCTGAATTTGCAAGCAGCAAGGCAGCTGAACGCAGGGCGCTGGAGGTGCGCTGGGCACCACTTTTGAGCGTCTGCGTCTCTCCGACATGCAATGGCGTTTCACGAATTGTCCTTCCAGCACGTCCTCTCTTAGGCAATGCGATCAATCACCTCTGGATGGCCCCATTGACCGCTTTTTGGTTAGGAAGCGTGCTGATGGAGCAGGTTTGAGGACTCCGCTCCAAAACTTAGACTCACAGCGCCACTCATCATGACACTCGAATCTTGTTTTGGAGCATCTACAATGTGACGGGCCTGTTCCGGGCATTCTTCCCGTTGGTAAGGTGAGCAACAGAAACGTCCGACGATGATTTTTCAGAATGGTTTCGCAATGCTTCTTGATCACATGATGAGCACCGTAAACAACCTGCTGCGGTCAGAGCTCCAATGTGAGGCTTCGATTTATGAAGCGCCAACTTATTTTGGGTTTACCTTGCTTTTCTTCCATCTCCATAAACAGCAGCCTTCTTTCATTCTGTCAGTGGGCTTTCTTGTTGATGGTTACATTCAGAAATTCGGCAGCTACTACTTGGGAGGGTCGTGCATTGGGTTCAAATGCTTTGTGGAAAATGCTACAGCCATGCATGCGCCGATGAGTGCTTCAATGCCCAAATGCTGTGCTGCTTATGCTGCAGTAGGAGATTGGCGTGCCGCCATAGATGCAGGGGTTTTGTGTTGGAATAAGGTGCTTTGATATGAACATAAAGGGGCACTTTACATTGTCATTCTCGCACTGTTTGAGCTCTACCTGATTGCTTGGTGAATTTGGAGATGCGTTCTGGCCCCTTGCCCGTTTAGCAAATTGTGATTATCTGCTTGCCCCTTTGTGTTCTCGAACCTCTTACTCAGCTTTTCCTGGCACAGATGACCATGCTCCGTACTCCATTTTGTCAACCGCAAAATCAACTTCCCAGTCAGGGCCTTCAAAAGTCTGTAAACTTCCTCCCAAACGCTCCGTTGAAGCCTCTGATGACCCACCTCGCGTTTCCAGGCCCAGTCCGGCGGGGCTCTAGAAAAGTCCTAGATGGACGACTTTGACAACCTAGACCCAGACCTGGAAGCAGCACTAGCAGCCGCCGACCGCTTAGTAGAGCAGCGACGCCGAGCCAGCCTCCCTGGGGTGCCCGGCACCAATCAGAGGGCGCCACCTGGCGCCCCAGGGGGATCCCCCCGCCGCCAGGCTCCCCACAGCGGCTATCCAAGCCAGCACATCGCTTCCCCTGGGCGGCAGGCAGGGCCTTCCGAACGCCACGGTGTCCCCCCCGGGCAGTTCTATGCCCCTCAGGGGGATCCTTCCGGCGCCCCGGTTGCTTTTCCAGGGGGGCATGGGGGCTATGGAACAAACACTGGAGGGGACCCTGGTCCCCAGATTGGTTCCCCCGGGCGCCAGGCAAACTTCCAGAGGGGCGCTGGTGCGGGGCAAGGAATGCCAGCCGTCCAGACGGTCGGGTCCCCTGGGCGGCGGCAGAACCTGCGGGTGTCGATCAATCTGTGCGAACATGGGCGTGTCATGGCGAGAAGCCCATATAGTGAGGTGGGCAGTGGATTTTATGGTTTTGAAACGATCTTTCTCTGCGGAAGAAGTGCCAGCCGCGAGGATTCTGGGCTTTCAGCTCGCTTCTGTATAGCTTCCTAAAGCTCTGAACTCAGGAGTCTTTTGTGACTGCAATGCCAGATCAGCACCTTGCCCCACTAGGAGAGGTACGATACGTCGCCATTTTTGGGTCGTGCGCTTCGAAAAAAGTTATGGGTTCAACCTGCGTCTACCATTCTCAGCAAGTTCACTAAGCTGGACCACAGAGGTAGCAGGTGTTGAGGTACACCAGCAGTGTGCACATTATCGAACTGCCACCCCAATTTTCTATGCTTCCATACTCGCTTGTGCTCCTACTGTCCCTCCCATACCGCCAGCTGTCAATTATTCTGCGCAACCTTGCTCACACGCATCTGCACCGTTCTCAAACATTTTGCAGTTGATGCCAGTCGCCTTGTTTGGCTTTGCTGATAAACACCGTTGACTGTTTCCCGTTTACTTCGAGTTCAAATTGTGTGATCCGGTGCAGGGCGTTGTGAATGTTTGTCGAAGCATCGAGGGCCGCCAGTTCCACTCCGACTCGAAGGGGTGGAGCTTCCCCCAGGCGGCCCTGCCAAACTTTGTCGCTTCTCTTCGTCAGCTAGCGGGAATTCAGGTGGGCAAACAACCTCTTGTTTGTGCAGCGCTTTTATCTAGATCATCTCACTGGTAACGATTGGCCATCATATGCGCACAATCAGTTCAGGATGTGCCCCGTTGCACAGTATGACAGCTGATGGTTGTCGGTTTTGCGGGCAGATTTGACGATCGCCGCAATTTCATAGTTGCATCACAAGTTAGCGCCCCTTAGAGATGTGGTAGGAGGCCTCACGCGTCTCCCGAGGCAATCTAGATGGCATAGCGCCCTATTCAACGGCTCTGTCAGCTTCCAGAATCCTTGCTTGATGAAGCTGAGCGCCTGGTTCCAGATTTAAAGTCCGAGTCTGAGTATCTACACGACGGCAACCTGCAATGCTAGACTGGTCAACACTTCGGTCCAAGTTACTTCGGCGCAAGAGATTGAGCGCAATTTCAGAGAATCAATGAGGGTCGTGCTGTGCATCGCAGGTCGATTTGGTGCCCCCCTTGCGGCTCCCAGAAGGAGCCCCACAACAGATTCCGCCCCCGATGGTAGCTCGTAAGTATCCCCCCTCAAATTCCGGTCGAAGTTAGGTATGGGTGATCCTTCTAAGGTTTGGCCACAGACTTGCCTTGAGACGCTGCCTTCTGGATTAGGGATCTGCTAAATGCGCCTAAGGTCCTAGCCGGGTCTTTGACTTCGACGAGGCTTGATGCTCATCATGATCCGGTCGTTCCCTCTTTCTTGAAGCACGCAACCTTTGCGGATCTTTTGAAGAAGAATCGCGGTCGACGGCGTGCTCCCATACTTTCGCCTCGTGGTTTTCCTGTTTTCGATACAGCTTAGTTTTCACCCTTCCAACGTATGTTTTGCTTCCTCCAACTGCGTACTCTCCAAGTTTTCATATTCTCGTCTACTTTCTCCAATCACAGCTTTGGCGGTCTCCAAGTTATCGTTCTGCTTTCTCGAAATACAGCCCACTCCCCGCCAGCTCAGCGGCCGCAACCCCCTGCGGCCGGCGCACCGTCTCCTTCCACGTCAGCCCCTGGTGTGACGTCACCCGGCCGGTCCTCTCAAAATATTCACGTGAAGCTCGTCGCCCGGGGGATTACCTCCGGATCCAGCCAGGAGGAGCGCTTTGCAGCCAAGTTTGCCTACTCAGAGGCAAGTCTCTGAAATTTCTGAGGCCTTATTTTTTGGCTTCGATGAGAAGCCTCGCTATTTGTCCCGCTGTTGTACAGTTGGCCCGCTGGTCTCGTATGGGGTCCGTGTGCCCAGAAATCTAAGCTCTGACAATGTATCGTTCCTATTGCGGAGACAAAAAGCACACTCTGTGGGCTCTTGTATTTCGTCAACACGAAAAGGGGATCATTGCGTCAACAACATGTCGAGCAGCGAAAGTCCGGTGACAGATAAGCTGTGGACTACCTTACAAAACAATCTCCCTAGAGATGTCACTCTTGAATCACATATAGGACCTATTCCGACTTTCACTTGAAGCAGTCTTTTGCACTCTGCTGAGGAGCAGATAGCCTGTCCCTAGTACTTCCAGAGAAGTCAAGCGAGAGCATTTCCAGCGGTCTAGAGCCTCGAAATAGCCAATCTCTCGCCCGGATCTCCAATAAGCCAGTCGGTCGAGACGTTGCTGTTTCGTCAATCTCGTTAAGCTCTGAAACCTGAAGAGACACGATTCCCGCCTAGCCTGGCCGGAGTCGGGTTACACTCCGGTTCATATGTGCTAACCCGATTCTGACCCGGTTCTGCAGTCGGTAATCGAGGCTTGCCGCGCCACGCCTGGCCGTTCCTGGGACTCCGCTGCCAAAGAGTGGACGTTCCCCCTCTCTAGTCTTCCCGCCCTCCTAGAACGCCTTAGCTCAATCTCCGACCGGGGGGTCCTCGTAGAGCCGATCGCGCCTCTGACTCTACCCCCCCCTCCCTGGAACCGCGCCCCCCCCCGCCCTCCGCCCCCCCCCTCCTCTGTCGTGCAACGACTCTTCCAAGATACCCCCCCTGAAACAGCGGCAGCCCCGCAGGTTCTGAGTCAGGGGGGTACAGTCTCCAGCAATTCGACACCACAGGGGCCGCTACCGACCCCCCCGAAAAGGAAAGTGGAGGTTACTCTGGGGATATTTGGGCGGGATAGGATAAGCGTGCAGTTTCCGTACGATCAGACGGTGCAGGCGGCGGTAAAGGGGGTCCGAGGGGCGGAATGGAATCATGGTGAGGACGACAAAGGGCTCCGATTGTTGGACCCAGGTGGAGCAAGCATCTTTTTGTAAGGCATTCTTTTGGTCTTGGCTAGTGCCCCGACGAAGATTCGATGCTTGGAAAGGCAATCTTGACGTCATGCCAGTACTATTTTAGTAATCTGCGAGTTCGTATCTTTGCGTGTCTCTTGGGACTGGGCGCTGCGAGTTGTCTTAGCGCCGCTCTTGACTGCACGAGCGGACACCCGCCTGGCTGGACTTCCTCTCTTTTCAATTTGACAACACGTTATCTCTGTCGGATACTCTAGTAGCCCCCACACTTCTTGTCATCTGTCCGCTAATGTTCACAGCCTTAAACAAAGCTTGTTTGACTTCTACTGGGAACGAGCTTATTCCCACTACTTGAAAAATATCAGTTTTCCCACAACTTGCCCCTCTCTTCCCGCAGGCAAGCGGCTGTGGCACCTCCCCCTGGCGCAGCGAACCGTGCTCGAGGCCGCGCTGACGTCACTCCCGAACGTCGACGTCAGCATCGTCCCGCTTCACCCCCTGGTATTGAAAGCCATGGAGGCGGCGTCTATCGCAGCGGCGGGGGCGCTCGAGAAAGACGATGCGGAGCGGTACGATCGGATGCTTGACGGGGGGCTCAAGGAGCGCCTGATGGAGTTCCAGAGAGAGGGGGTCAAGTGGGCGCTGCAGCAGGGGGGGCGGGTCTTCATCGCAGGTGCGCTTTCTAAGGTGCATTTGTCTCTCGTCTTTAGAGGGCGAATGGGCGCTGCAGCAAGGGGGACGGATAGATTCTACTCTGGCATTACCCCTATGAGAAGGAAAAGTTAAAAACTCAATCGGAACATGGATCCGAAACGGGCAGGTACACCGATTCGAGGGCCGGCACGATGGCCATTGACTCTGTTTCAAATTGAGTCTTTTCCACGTGTGGGACCAAAGCAAAGCACTAAACTGGAGAGCCAGGTGGGTCGCTTTGGGTTGGCTTGATGGCCCCCAGTGATATGTTGATGCCGACCCTGATTCGCCTCGGTAAGCCAGGAAGGCGGTTTGTCAAAGATCTAGAAACCTTTTGGCCGGACGAACTGTAAATAATAATCCGTTTTCCTTGAATGATGTACTGCCCGATTACACTTTTTAAGTTTCTCGTTGGCACGCTTGAAGAGTCACAGATGTCAAAGCTGGCAGTTGTTGCTTTCCCTCTCGTCTTGTGATTGGATTGCTTGTCACGAACCCAACCATGTAATCCTTGGGGAAGGATCAAAAGGAGGTCCGGTGGGCTGCCTTCAGCAGCTGACTTCTCAAACTCGTCGGTCTTCTGCAGATGAGATGGGCCTTGGGAAAACCGTACAGGTGGGTCTTCTGTTGCGCGGCCTTCCCTGACGTGGCGGACCATGCTTCGCTAGACAAACACAATGAATCATGCTTGTCGAGATGGTTGAGAGTTTTGTCTTGTGGTCTTCCTTCGTATCAGACAATCATAGTGTGCTCAAAGCACTCGATAAACTGTTGATGGGCTACGATATATATTTTAAGGTCACGCACCCGGTAACGAGCTGGGTGCATCTGAGGGTCTAGGATGACTGCGAGGACGGAATGACCCTTTCTAGCACAGCATCCCGAATGTAATAAACAAGGGTTTCAAGGATGTTGAAGGCCCCGGGACGTCCGTTCTACGAAAGGCCGCTTTGGCCAGGCTGGTTCTAACACTGCTACATGTGAATCCTTCCGCTGCTTGTCAAGACCTTACCCGCAACCCGCTCTGACGGTCACATTGAGTCCACCTTCGTTATTCCGAGTCAAACCCTCCAGCTGGTGGTGCAACCGTGTTTTCCCTTGTCCTGATTTAGCTCCTGACTCACCTAGACTCACTTGGAAAATTCCCTTGGAAAGAGGCCCTTCCGCTGGCTCTGTACTATCAGTAGCCTGCCCCTGACACAAGCATTATTACAACAGAAACCCGGTCTTCAGCCATCCTGATCTACTTTTAGACCAGGCCACAGTCAGCCCACAACCAGGCTTCAACCCGCGTCGTTAATCTTCTAATGCGGCCCCAGCGCTGGCCCGTATCGCAAGGCGTTGCCCGTTCTCATATGCTTAATGGATAAGCTGTAGTATTTCGTCATCGAGTCACGTTGACCCCTCTCGCCCTCTCTCGACCGTAAGCGTCGCTTCTTTCACCACGTGGTTATCCTTAACCCGCCTTCTTTACCTTCTCCTCAGGCCCTGGCGCTCGCCGCCTGCTACCGCGAGGCGTGGCCCGTCCTGATCCTGGTCCCCAGCAGTCTCCGCTTCACGTGGGCGCGCATGTGCGTCGACTGGCTCGGGATGACGCCCGATGACGTCACGGTCGTCGTCAGCACCCCATCTCGTATGGCCCGCGCGATGGGCTATACGCTGGTGTTGCCGAGCGGCGCCAAAACCGGCGGGAGGCTGCGCCTGGAGGGGCAGATTAACATCCTGTCGTATGATATACTGCACAAGATTCAGTCGGATTTGACGGGAATGAACTTCCAGGTAAGACGTTTTACAGTCTTCTTCGGACGGCAGTTCTTCTGAAAGTTTTATTGGTATGACCAGGTGAAGAAGTGGTTGATGGGCAGGTGAAATAATGTACACAAAGTTGTTTGAGCAGCCTCTCTCCGAGAGAATAGGGCTGCCCAAACGGCCCTTGCTGTTCTCGCTTAGTCTGATCAAGAGAAGGCCCGCCTTACTCTCCACTTTCTTCTTCGCATAAGCCACAAGAAACCTGAAATTGATGCACTCTATTCCATGTTCAGCCTCTTCAAATGAAGTAGTTCGATGCCCGAAATTTGTGTATTCAGTCCACTTCTTCCCTCCTCGGCTCATTCTTGACCTCTAGTCAATCTCGTCGAGAGCCACTAAGTCAAGTGAAGGGACTCCGGGTTCCCAAAATTCTGAAGCTCTCAAATCGTTAAACCCCTGAGACCCTCGACCCCTATTGATACCGTTCTTTTCGTTGTTTGTTGCAGTTCGTCATCCTCGACGAGAGCCACTACATCAAGAACCCGGCCGCGCAGCGGACCCTCTGCGCGCTCCCCCTCGTGCAACGCTCCCGCTATGCGATCCTTCTCTCCGGCACCCCCGCGCTTTCTCGGCCGATCGAACTGCAACAACAGCTGGCGGCACTGTACTCAAAAGTGTACAGCGACCGGAGAGAGTACGGGGAACGGTACTGCCAGGGCGGGCGGCAGTTCTTCGCGGGACAAGAATACATGGGCGCGAGCAACCTAAAGGTCAGACTTTCCTTTCCCCCTTCTGTCCCAACTTCAAATCGGTTCCCACATCTCACTTCGCCAGACGTGGCAGCTAATAGTGGGACTCTTAAGTCCTTTTGCTTCCCTTGAAGGCATGCGATAATAGGAGGCCACGCTCATGAGCAACAGCACGGGCCGTCGGCTTATCTTAACGCTACACACGAGCTTCCGCCCAAGTTTCGTCGACCGGTCTCCATAGAAGCCCGACACTGACAAGGCAAAGCCACTGTGAAACGGCACAAATCGTAGAATGTCAGGAAAGCAGGTCTTCTAACAGCTTGAGAATCTTGTCGATTACCCTTGCAAGAAGCGCGCACTGATCTCTTGAGCACTGTGATGCTCCGGTGCATTGAAGCCGACGCCCTGTGTCAACGCTTTTCAAACGTCCGCCACCCACCCAGAGTTTTGGACCTTCCAAAGAAAAAGCTAAAGTCTTGAATCTTGAAAAGCTGGACACTTGTTTGTAATTTTGTGTTGCAGTTTCGCAGGGGCTTCACGCTTTGCTCGTGAGCACAGTGATGATCCGGCACCTCAGGCCGACGGTTCACAGCAGCTTCCGTTCAGCCGGTGTTCCTGGACTTTCACTATGATTCCGACAGCGTTTCAAAGCCTCAACCTAAAACCAAACCCAGATTTCTTGGACATTCCATATCTGCAGGAGTTGCACGCTTTGCTTGTAAGTACGGTTATGGTCCGGCGGCTCAAGGGGGACGTTCTACATGAGCTCTCGCCCTGCACGCATCGCTCTACGTTCAAAATCATCACAGAGCAAACCCATCTGTGGAAGCTCACTTTGGGCACACCTTCGTAGTTTCTTTGTTCTATTCTTACCATGTAATCCCTGAACGTTGGCAGGAGTTGCACGCTTTGCTCGTGAGTACGGTGATGGTCCGGCGCCTCAAGGCCGACGTTCTTCAGCAGCTTCCGCCCAAGCGGCGTCAGCAAGTGTTTCTGGACATTCCGGACAAGGCCATGGCGCCCGTCCGGAAGACCAACGAGCGCCTGGCGGCCGTGCGCGCGCGCCGCGAGCTGGTGAGAACTGTAAACTGAGCGTCATATGGGACTGGTCGATCTTAGGGGGGTGTGAATTCCGTCGAGTGGTGTGTGACCATTTGCCGAGTGGTTTACTTTCAAGATGTTGCAGCAGCAACACTGCGTAGTGTTTATTGGAACGAAACTCCCAAAATTCAACGTCACATGGGATTATCGGTCTAGGGGTTGTGTGACCTTGTGTCAAGTGACGTGTGAGCTTTTGTTGAGTGTTGTAGTTTCGCACTATTGCAGCAGACACTATTCCGTAGTTTTGTCTCGAACGAATCTCCACACATGCACGCTCAAGGATGCTCCTGCCACGAAGAGCAAGTGTTTGTATATTTTCCGAAGTTGGGGCTGATGCGAAGTGAAGACTGGCTCATTTGCTGCCTGCTACTAGGTTCCATAAGATAATGGATGCAAACAATAATTCAAACCCTGGTCTAATCCGGGCGGTCGATCTGTACCCTTCGTACATTTCAGGTAACGGGTGACGCTAGCGAGCGGGAACGTCTAGAAACTGAGGAGCGCACGCTCCTCAATGACCTGTACGTGCAAACGGGAATCGCGAAGTGCGGGCCGGCGCAGGACCACATCCAGTTGCTGCTGGAACACGACGAAAAGTTCCTGGTGTTTGCCCACCATAAACACGTCATGGTGAGGATTCGAGATGGGGTCCGGGTTTACTTGTGAGTTTGACCTCTGTTGTGTGTCCGGCTCGGGATCTGAGTTCGCTTTTGATTTGATTCCAGGTCTAGGCTTAGAGTTGGCTTGTAACTCTTGTTCTTGTTTTTCGCTAATTTTGAGAGTGCGTTGGTAATTGTCACCGATAAAGCATCGCAGCGGTAGAAGGCGGCATTAGTTGCAACAGATTTTTGGATTGCCAAGAGAGGCGACTTCGAAAGCAATACTCGGGCTGTCCGGTCGCCGAAAATGGGTTGACCCGACGCTTTGTACTAATGGGGCCCGATTCATACTCTGTACTTATACTAGCCTCTTATTTTGTCGCCACAAGCAGATCCAGGGCCATCTATCCCTTGCGTTAATCATAAGCTGCCTGCTCTGTGGCCCTTCAAAAATATACAGTTCTTGAACTGCAACCCTCGACGATATTGATCTGCCCGTATCGTTGCTACGAGTAGAGCATGAGAGCACATTTTCCCCGGGGGCCAGCTTTAGTGCGCCTCTCACATTCTGAATTGGTCTTCTTTCCCCGTTGACTTCAGCGGGTTATTCGCTCTGATATTAGGGGCATCGATTGCCTGAATCGGCCCCCTGAAATTCGTCACTTGCCCGCAGGACATGATGGAAGCGACGCTCAAGAAGTGGGCCAGCCGGGACAACCAGTACATCAGGATCGACGGGTCGACACCGCCAGCGGAACGGACTGGCCTGGTGAGCGATCTGTCGGTTCACAAGACTTGGCAACAATGATGACGCAAAGCTTGAATATCTCTGACGTTCATTCCATGGTATAGGCACGCTATTTCAGGATTATCGCCAGTAGTGTGATCCGGTCGCGATTGGTGGGTTCAGGAGAAAACGAATGGGTACTTACAAGGTTGAAAGTCCTGCCCCTCGAGCTTTGACGATCAAAAAGTGGATCCGATCTCAGAGTCTTTCAGTCTCTACGATAAGCGAACAGCTTATTGAGCACTGTTTCGCCACCTTTTCCGAGGCTTGACCGGATTTGTCAATTCTGCAGGTCGCCCGGTTCCAGGAGGAGCCTAATTGTAAAGTCGCTCTGCTGAGCATCAAAGTAGGTAAAACCTAACCACGCTTCGGGTTAGCGGGCGGTCACCTGCATGCCTGGAGTTGCTTGACAAGTACCGTACGCAGAAGTGAATGAACGCGGGAATCAGTTGGAAACTGCACAGGACTCTGATTGAATATTTCAATGGTGGGTGGCAGCTTCAGATTCTGAGACATACACTTGTCCGAGGCAGACTCGAAAAAAAATGATTAGATTGTTGAATGGAGAATTGCCACATGTACGAAAAGCTTCGTCTCATCCTCCAAACCACGAGCGGGCTTGCCACGGATTTGGAAGCCTCCACCTTATCGACCTTGGATGACTGAAATGTGGGTCAAGGACCGAAGCCGCCCAATCTAACCACGTCTATTTTACCAGGCTGCCGGAGTGGGGTTGACATTGCACGCTGCACAGACTGTGGTGTTCATTGAGCTGTCGTGGCTGCCGGGCGATCTACTGCAAGCAGAGGTAAGCGTATGCGTCGTGACAGAAGCGTTTACTAGGGGCGGGCCCAAGCAATATGGTTATCGAATCGGTGACGAGGGTTAATTGCCGGGAAGCTTTTGAACAAAGAGGTTGCTTCGGAAAAGGTCTAGACTTATGCGGGAAAGGCTTCGCCAAACCCCTCACTGACGCCAGCGTGACGTCACTGTGCAGGACCGGTGCCACCGCATTGGGCAGAGCTCCAGTGTCAACGTCCTGTACCTACTCGCTCAGGTGCGCGAGCGTTCCAATCTGCTTGAGAGTTTTTCTCTACGGCCCGGCCCTTTCACGGCCAGTTGATCAGATGCAACCTTCCGGTTTTTGATCTCCACTCAACTAATACAAGCACCGCCTGCCTTAGGTTGCGCTGGCCACCGGGCGGGCTGTTTCCACAGAACCGTTCTGGAATCCGTATTTTTGCCGGGCAAGAACTAAGGCCGTTCGTCCAATCCAACTGAACGTGACGGTCTTGAGCTGCCAGGTGGCTTCTACCTTTGCTTCGCTCGATGTTGTAACGGGCGCCCCCCAGGATGGGGCAGACCGATCTCTGTAAACGTCGTAATGCTGGAATGTACACCGCAGACGTAGTCTCGACTTGCCTCGACAACTCACCAGGCGCCACGTGGCCGCTGCAGGAAACGTCCGACGACATCATGTGGGAGTCGGTGCGGCGAAAGCTGGAGAACGTGGGGGAAGTTCTGAATGGCGCGCACGATCACATGAGCGTGGCGCAGCAACACCGGCTCAAGGGGCGGCCGCTCAACCAGCCGCGAATCACGGAGATGCTGGCGCCCCGAAGGGGGCTGGCTGCAGGGGAGAGCGCAGGGGTTCGCACAGGAGCAAGTTCGAGTGGGGGTGGAGAAGTTAGGGGGGGAGACGGGGGCGCGCAATCGAGGGATGACGGTGGGGGGGGTATAAAAGCAGGCGAGAAGGAGGGGTTGAAATCATGGGAGACTGGGGGGGTGAACGTAGAGGGGTATCGGGGAGCGAACTCAGACGAGTATACAAGGGCAGATTTGGGAGAGAATGCCGCTTCAACCGCAGGAGCAACCGCAGAAGGAACCGGAACATTGGGTCCCGACGTGAATGCGGGGCGGAGAGTGAGTGCAGATGCGGAGATGCTCTTCGGCGGACGGAACGGCAGGGGCATCGGGGGAACTGCGAGTGCTCAGCCGAGCAAGGGAAGTAATCCAGGGGACACTCAGAAAGAGGAGCCCGGCAGTCAACGGAGCGCCACGGCAATGTTTAGGCAATCGCTGGGTGGTGAGAACAGCAGGAGAGTGGGCGCGGACGTCAGCGGGGCTGCGCGCCGTGCTCAGAGCGGAAGCCAGGGTTCCGGTCCGGAAGCTTCCAGGAGAAAGGGGGCCAGCGCGTGTCAGTTAGACGCGCTCAGGGGGACAACCCCGACCGCTCCGTTTGAGAAGACGAGTGGTAACCGCGCTTCTGGCGCGGACACTCAGGATTCTGTCGGGGCGCAGGCACACGGATCGGGGGTTCTTAGAACGGGCACTGTGCTGGTCGGGGGGACTTTTCCGAACGCTTCGGTTGAGGGGAGGAGTAAAGATCACACTTCGGGGGCGGACGCTCACGGTTCTTTCGAGGCGCAAGCAAGTGGGTCGGGAGTGCGTAGGATGGGCTCCGGGCTGCAACAGTGCTCGGGAAGTGCCGGGCGGCCGGCGGACTGGGAAGAAGCAAATCGAGCGGAAGGAGCGGAGAGAGCGGAACGAGCGGAAGGAAAACTGCAGCAGTGCCTTGAAGGGACGGTTGGGGTTCCATTGCACGAGGAGCTGAGGCGGGAGTACGAAGAAGCATCGTTTGCAATGGCGGGGAGGCGGCGACAGGAGGCGAAACGAAGGAGAGAGGAGGGAAAGGAAGAGGAAATGAGCAAGGTGCAAAGATTGGAGTAGTTGACGTCAGCAGGCGGATACGACACAATGGCGAGTGAAGGAAAAGGTTTGCGGAGGAGAGTCAAAAGCTGTCACGGGCAGGGGCAGAGGCTTCCGAACAACTTGCACGAGTGCGCGTGTGTACATATTTGGATGCATGCTTGCCATGATCTAAGTTCGATCAAGCCGCTGAACTGAATCTGCAAAACTAGCATGGTTGCGGCCGACCAAGCCGCAGAACATACTGGTCATGGAGGGGTCATAGATCGAGGCACACACCGTCTGAGTCATGCATGCGCCAGAACGATTAGACTGTTGAAGTGACCCAAGAGCGATTCATATCTCTTCACTTTCTCAATGTTATAATGATGCATCACTCAACCGTCCGAGTCAACTCAAGACGAGAGCCAGGACGTGGAAGGACGCGGAATCCGCGAACTGGGGATGCAAGTTTTCGGGTGGCAGTGGGTCTAACCGGAAACGTAATGAATTGCATCAATTGAATCAATTAATGCTGAGTTAGACCAAGTATGACTCAGCCTCAGGTTAAGTTCTTATGTGATCGAACGATACAGTGCCAGGCCCGTGCAGGCTGAGGTGGCAACTATAGCTCCCGTCATGCTGTATATTACACGTGTTTGAAAACTTGAAAACCCAGACACCATCCAGACTTTTTGCATCATGGCATAATTTCGCGCAACGTACTAAAGCTAGATTCGAACTGAGCGTCTCCGGCCATTCCCCTACCATGATGGCCCGGCCACAGGTACTGCGTATATTGCATGCCCCGTTAAGTGACCGTCTGGCGTGCTTCACTAATCTGTGTCTTACTTTGCACACTTACAGACGTTGTGTACGGTATTAGTCCCACGCATGGTCCGAACTTGCTTTCCACCGGCCCGGTACCAATCATTGAATAACTTATTAAGTCGTTGCTTGATCGTATGCGCCAAGTAGATATTAGTAAAACTACGTAATCTTCTCGCCACAAAACTGCTCCCAGCGTGACGGCGCCTGAAGGTTGGGTAAGTACTTCGCTGCCGCCTCACTGAGAGGGTGAAGTCCTGCCTCCAAGCAAGGTGGTCGTAGAGACGATCGGATATCCAATGAACAAGTATTCAACGGAGTTTTCCTGCACCAACTACCGTACGTGCATGCAACGATATATGCCGGTGGGGTTGTGCCGGTCTTGGGTCCTTATTGGTTATGGGCGGCTGCCTATAGGTGGTTGACTGGCAATGATCAATATCATATAGCATATACGCTCGCAGATCAGCTGCAAGCGGGACTTGCGCCAGTACTCGCCGGGCACTGCCCGGGGCAGCAGACGGAGGAGCTCCCGTCAGCGTTGAAGCACTGCACACGTCAGCAAAAAATTGTGAGCACATGAAAAGCAAGCACTTCGAAACCAGCTCCCTGCTCTTCCCAAGGGCGCAGTAAAGGGGCAAGACTGAAGCGTCATGTGTCGGCTGAGTCTGCCGGAACTAGACCCGTGAGACGTATTCGGGACTGCATTTAAGCGACGCTCTTCCAGTTTCACAAACTGTAAGAAGCAGCTCTTGGCTGAACCGTGCAGACTGGTTCGACGAACGCGACCGCTGTTAGGATAACGGCTCAGTTGCCAGACGAGCTCGTAGAAGCGTTGCTCAAGCATTAAGGCTCTGTTCGATGGATAGCCGTTCGTAACTCTTACCTGGTTGGGCTTGTTGGAGTTTGGGTCGCACGTGCCCCCAATCGGAAGCGCCCCTGAACAGAAGGACGGCGGCATGAGTACTGGGCATCTAGATTTCTGATGTGACCAATTCAATTAGGTACACCTCGTACTTTATTGCAATCGCAGAATTGAGGCAGTATCGTCCCGCGCGAGCTTTATGCAGCAACCCAATGCAATAGTACAGTATGCACTGTGCTCGACCTAGATCGTGCTTGCAAAAATATGAGCCTTCGGCCAAGCACAGGAACGTATACGAAACTCGCTTGTAGGGCCGTTCCACTGGCCGATGAACTTGCACCCGACATTTTATTTCAAGTCTTTATCGTGACGCCTTCCTTATCATATTTTCATGACCTTCTCAACCGGTTGTCCTTACCGGGCGTGGCAGGGGCGGGCGGCGCGCATGCCGGAGTGGGACCGGGATTGGCAGAGCACTGGCCGGGGCAACACACGTAGGAGTTGCCAGGCGCGTTGAAGCACTGCCGGGGGAGAAGCAGCTCCGGTCAGTTGCAAAAAAGCTACACATCATACGAGTGACCCCAGGGACGTGGTTCTGCCGGTTGAAAGAAGCCGAAGCTAGAGACGCTTGGGCCCCCGGGCCGTAATCTCGCGCGGCAGCCGACATGTTTTCGACGAAGACTTCCGACAAAGGCGAGGATCGAGGTAACCATATCGTCGAATCCGCCTATTAAAGATGCAGACTGGCTATGCAGCACCTTGGGTGCGAGATTCAGGGGCCCGAGAATTAAGCAGAACATCACGTCTACCGAATTAGGTGCATCCTAAGTGCGTCTTGTTGCTTGTTTAACTTCAACCGACTGAAGTCCGTACAGAGCGTCGCTGTGGCAAAGACGGTGGGAAACATGTTTTCTAGAAGAAGAAAGAGAGATATTTGGCATACCTGGTTGGGCTTTGATGACCGAGGGTCACACGTGCCTCCGACAAGTTGCCCCGTTGGCGGAGCTGCGACTGGCGGAACCGCCACTGCAACGTAAAGAAATAACCTTAGTCGAGCATGTGGGCCAAAAGTATCGTTAGCAGGGCGCTGCCTTGGCCGGTCGGGATTACCCCTGCTATTTGTATTCAGATTCTCGATCAAAACGATTCCCATCGGAGCAATAACCACGCTTCGTGCTGTCACTTTGAAAGCAAAGATCTGGTAAGTGCTGAGGATGCTTAATCAGACGTGAATGAGGAACTGGAACCATGAGCTAAAGGCTCATATCCGTTCTGCATATTTCGTTGACTCTGGCTACTCAACTTATACCCAAATTACACGCAGCTTTCGAATTTGAGAACCTTTTGGCCAGGTAAGAATGCAGCCCGTTCATCAATCAAAGACAAAGGAAATGCAAACTTCCCAGCCATCACTATTATACCCATCTCGGACTCGGTCGCGGCTGAGACTTCCACAGGAATACCACAGTTTCGGGCTCCGCTACCGGCTAACGATCCGTCCACAGTGGAATCGCAGTTTGGACGGTCGAGAGCCCAGAAGAGTAGCTCGGTACTAAGTGCTACAGGATTCGCAAAACCAGTATCGATAATCAACTAAATCGGTTGGCTTGCTTTGATTTCCCGGCCGCTTCCCTGAAAACAAAGGACGGCCGACCTCGCAAATATCCATGCAATTTGAACCACACCGAAGGACACGTATCGAGCGACCACGTACGTATCGAAGATCGAGCTGGACAGTATCTGGTCGCTTGAAAGGATCTGATCAGTCTTAAGTTTTTGCATCAGAAATACTCACCGGCGACCACTCACCGCTCCAAATAGTCGGCGGGTCGCTCAAAGAAACAGACAATACACCAGTCTCAAGTGACACTAGAAACACTTAGCGGCGACCGCTCACCGCTCTGGACCGCCACGTTCTGGACCCCCGAAAATTTGCAGTGAGTGTACGGAATGCTTCCGAAATTGAATAACACTGAACAATCTCAGCGGCGACCGCTTAACCACTCTGGCCAGTCAGGTGGTCGCTGGAAAACTCTCGGAATGAGTCAGGACTGAATCACACCAGAGACACTTCGCGGCGACCACTCACCGCTCTGAACCGCCACGTTCTGGACGCCCGAGAAAGTGCAGTGAGTGTACGGGAGAGACCAGCCAAAGCTTTGAACGGGAACGGGGGGATCGTACGACAGCCGCATGTTGATGCTCTTGAAAGTGAGCGCTCCCGTCTCCGTGAATGGGAGCGACTCGAACCCGATGTTGCTGAAGGTGGGGGGGAGATTGTTGCTCGTCGAGGCTGCGGAAGACAAGGCGACACGTGTCAGCTCACAAGCACAGCTTTCGTCTAGAAATAGGATCCCCTTGCTCGCGCAGTTCCTTTCCAGTCAACCTTGGGAAAAAGTACGTTACAAACCAAATGAGGCGAACTTCTCAAAGCAAAACACCTTCCGACTTTGCTGTAGACTTCCCGATTGAGCGGACTGTTTGGTGAAGTGGAAGCGGACGACAAGCAGGCCCGGCGAAGAACGGCCCCATTCGGCGTGCGAGATTGCGATTCGATGCGAGGCAGTGTGTTTTGGAGCAAAGCGTGTCCGACCTTTTATCTGGTCGACTACGATCAGATCAATGCAGCAGGTTGATGGGAAGTATAAAACGGGGAGGTTCTTAGCGAGTAGCGGTACCGCAAAACAGCGCTTCCGTTTGATGGGATCGGCCCTAATTTGTCACCCCCTCGTATCATTCAACCCTCACTCAAACGTCAAAAAGAGCATTAGACCGACGAATCCAGCCCCAGACTTTCATAGTTGAGCCCTGGGTATTGAGGTTCATCAAATACAGCTCACGTTTCATTGGGATCCGCCCTTGTGTCGGAGGATGAACTTGTTAATGCCTATCTATCCGGCCCTCACCTCATGACGCATCGGGTTGATTACTCCCGATCCCTGGCCTATGCAGAGTTTGGAACGTTACAAATCACGAACTAGGGCTCACGGTTTAAGGAGGTGGACTCAGTGGCGAAGCTTTCTCTAATCAGAACGGTCAGGATTTCCCAATCAGAAAAGTGGGCTCACGTTTGATTGGGATCGGCCCAGTGTCGAAGGACGCCTGGAAGTTCGTGAGGCCCGCAGAAGGCGTGGAAGCGCCCCCGAAGAAGAACGCGATGCAGTTAAAGTAGGCGAGCGGGGTTGGAACTTGGAACTGCAGATCGTCTGAGGCGACCAGCAGGTCCCAAACCTGGGTTACCGCGAGGGTTCCGTTGTTGGGGACGCTGAAGGAACCGGTGCAAGAGCTGCACGCACAAAGGGACAAGCGGAGGGTTTAGCTTTGTTTTGAACAAGAAGGGTTTGGCTGCTAAGGACGCTGTATAGCCAGTTACGAGTCTGGTACTTCGGCTGAACGGAAGATTTAGCTTCCCCGTCACAAAGGAAGGGATTGGCATTTAATCAGGGTGGTCAACCAGACAAAATCTGGTTTCTTAACCAAGAAGTGGGCTGCTCTTTGGGTATTGCTCGACTTTGGTCATGAGGGAATCCACGAGTTGATCAGCCCGCAATCGACTAGAATTAAGCGCCGAAAACCCTCTTTTGTAAAAGCTTTTAAACGGAATAGGGCATGCAAGACGCCTTTTGCTGCAGGCAGGCGCTGAGAAGCCGATGTCTCTCCTCTATTGTTGGTACATGTTGAGGAGGTCACAGATCTCAAGAGAGAAGTCGACAGCTGACGACGTGACCGTGATGCAAACAAGCAAACGCGTTCAAGGGTTGCAAAGACAACCTCGACAGAAGGTACTATAAGATAGGACCCGGAGATAGACAAAAGAGGAAAGTAGACTGCTTACGTGAACAAACTGCCAAGGTCCGGATACTGCCGGGTGGCGATGTCACAGCCCCCTGATGACGTCAGCTGCGTCTTCTGGCCGTTGGAGCCCGCCACGTAAGCCTCAACGGGGTAGAACCACAAATCCGTGCAGTTCTCACAGCTTGACGAAATGGGGTATCTGTTGGAAGGAGGAGCAGAAATTTGAGTTCGGGGGAGGTGGCAAGATGCTTCTTGAAGGCCAGGGACAGATACGAAGCGGTGACACGGATAAGTTCCCATGCTCCTGGCTTTGGTAATCGCAGATTAAACTCATGCGTATGAATTGTTGGGGAAGGACTCAACAAAGACTTGCACTTTTCAAGCCAGTGGCCAATCAGACCTCTGTGCATTAAAATCAGCCTGGGGGTTTGTTTGGCCGGCCGGGTTTGCACAGGTCCAGAATGCCACTTCAACCAAGCATTTTGCTGATCTGCGTTACTGCATCGATGCAAACCACACGGCTCGTTTTGAGGTACGTAATGCAAAGATTCATGCATGTTGGTTTCCCTTCTGGTAGCCGCTTACGCAGCATTCATTCGCACTGCCAAGGGTCACGCAGACGCTTGACACAATTGTAATGGTTAATAGCATGCCATCTCTAGGGCCTTCCATGAAACTTGATGTATTCCTGCAGCCATACAGAAGCTCACATGTTCAACCAGTCATACTGGTACGGGGGGCTTGTGATTTTTCCAAAGTCGGGGCTGTCGGAGTGCTTCGCTGGAACCGGGTTCCAGGTCACAACCAAAGTGCCCGCAGGTGGGGTACCAAAGACGGTGGAGCCTGCAGCCAGAAAACGTGGTTCAGCACGAGAGCTTGAGTGCAAAAGAGTTTCTGGACAAAGAAAAGAAATACGGAGGAAATAGAAGGTGTTGTTTGTTGGAAAAGCTGCATTGTGCTGCGGTGATATGATTTGCGATAAAAGCTTGGAAGAAATTAGTACTGTACTGGGCTCTCACCCAACTGGACTCAATCGGGAAGCTGCAAGTGACGAGCATGATACGATCCTGATTCATGCTGGTTTCTCGCTTGTCCCTCGCGAAGTTAGTAATTGAAGACCTCAGCTCTTGTCACATACCAGCTCCGAAATGCCTAACCACGGGTGGTAAGCTCTGGCAAATCTTGGCACTAATCTTTCAGTAAGAAACAACGATTGGAATAGTCAGGTTAGAGTCACATCTTGCTGCCTAGTTCCTGAGTGCATGCTTTGGCCTGAGTGCACAGAGCCTCAGAAATTTCTGTTACTCCATCCGACTGTTTCCTCTGGGGTTTCCCATATTGGTCTGTTATTTGCAGGAAGTATTTTGGCTGTGTTCCAGACTTAGCATGTCAACAGCTCAAAAACCAGCGTGCAGCTCGTTTCTCTACAAGGGAGAGTGTTGGAATGTGACTGAAGGCCTAAATGCCTCAAACATGAGCAGTGCGCAATTTCAAACACCTAGAGAGGACGCCAGCAATTGACTGATGGAGCAAATGCCTCAGCATGAGCAGTGCGCAAACGTCAGCTGAAGCTCACCAGAAGAACCAGACTGCAGCAGCTTGCGGTTTCCTCCGAACGCACTGAAGGACGCTCCGAGCACAGAGTCAGCTGCAGAGACATGGCTGGCGAGTGCGGCCAGCACGAGCAGCAGACACAAGGGCCCCCCGATCGCAATGTGCGCCATTGCTTTGCCGAGCAGCTTGACACCAGAGGGTCTCAGCAAAGTGGAGCTGGAAATCTGTCTGGGAAACCAGCTGGGAAGGAGCGCTGTACTGCTTTGAAATAGGTGGTGCTGCGGCAGTTTGCTGAATGTGTTTTCAAAGAGAGGAGCAACTGCCTGCTGGTTTGAGATGGCCGGGGGAATTTGAAAGACGCTCTTTATACCTCCTCGTTGCTCTGTCCACAAGGCCCAATGATTGTGCATTGAGTAAGAGCTCTAGCGTCCCGGCTTCGACTCTGGTTAACCTCTTCTTGGTGCAGGCAAGGACCAGCTCCCTGACCGTTTAAACGTTTAAATGGTTCGTAAAGTCCTGCTTTCTGGCGATGCATGCAACGCATGATTGCTCTTGAATGAGAAGTTTTCAATTGAGGGTGATTGTATACCTATCCTAAGCAGGCGGTACTACTGTAGAATGAAAGCGTTTGCAGCGCCATTCGCAAAGGGTGATTGTCGCAGTGCTCATTCAGCATTGACCATTTGGTTAATTCTCGCCAGCAAGCATGATGCCCCCTGCCGTTGCACCATGTGCCCTTGCAAGGTACATTCTGATTCGTGAACCCTGCGGCAGTCTCCTGCATGCCATTGAAAGATCGACGCATGCGTTGCGGGAGGACACTCGCCGTCCCTCGGACCACTCAATGATTACAATTTACAGGGTGATCCCTCCGTTCTACATGAGGCGCAATCTGCCGCAGTGTCTATTGATTGGAAGTTGCATGATGACGCACAGCGTGAACGCCCTGACGTCACAAGCAGCGGGGTGCAGGTCATCGCCGATCGGTCACCCAATGCACCACACAGTGCACACTTGGAATACACCCGGGTCAATAAGTTTTGTACCTGAGGTTTTT